TCAGAAAAGAGTTTCTGGCGTTTGTTTTTCTTTGAGAGAATGAGGTTAGAAGGAGGCAAAATTGATGTTATTACTGTGGTGACCTGTTCTTTCTATTTGGCTTGCTTTTGCAGCCTTGGTTAACGGTAAGACAGATTCAATGGGTGGTGATTAATTATGGGTTTTGATTTATATTTAACCTGTTGCAGAATGCAATGGTTTGACAATGTATGCTAAATGTGGGTTGTATGGAGGTATGCATGTTTTGTGTTTTAAGCAATAATAAGCATTAAAATGTGGTTCTTGGACTTCTTTGATTTGCGTTATGGAAAAATGGACAAGGAACTGAGCTCTATGGCATTTGAATGCATGGAATAGATATGGTGTTGTGCAAACAATGAGTCACCTTCATTAGGCTGCCTTGTATGCACTGCAGTCAACGCAAGATTAGTACATGAAGGGTGGAGGGTGGTTTAATACAAGGTATATAAGTAACTCTCTAACACCTTATTATGGAGCATATACATGCAATGGTGGATCTACTTGCTTCGGCCGGTTGCCCTCAACATGTGCTATAGTTTTATTGAAAATATGCCAATAAACCAGATGCCAAGGCTCTGACCGCATTTTCTTAGCTCTTGTTGCTCTCACAATGAACATAGAGCTAGCAGGATTGCTGGGAAAGGTTACTTGAAATTAGAGCCTCAAAGAAGCTGGGGGCTTACATTTGCTTTCCCAACTTTCTACTATGACTTATAGGGGGTACTTGGAGAGTGTAGCAAATATAAGAAGATTGATGCTCAAATAGAGGAATAGAAAAGAGAAGGCTCGAAATGGATCGAGATTAATAAAAAAAGTTCAAGCTTTAATCAGGAGATAAGTTCCGCATCCTTAGCAAAAAATCTATATTTACCTGCAAAATCTTTTTGAAAAGATGAAACAGATTGGTATTTGCCTAACACAAGCATGGTCCATCAAATGTTAGATAGTGAATAACAAAAGAAGAAATAGTTCTATGGTCACAGTGAGCAATTTGCCTATTGGACTTGGGTTAATAGTACATCTCCGGGGACTCCCTATTATGATTGTTAGAATCTTAGAGTGTGTATAGATTGGCCATGAAGCCAACCAGCATTGATTAAAAAATTGAGGTAGGGAGAAATCACTTGCAAGAGATTCCTAACCGAATTTCTACCAACTTTTCAAAATGGATATTGCTCTTGTAGAATAACCATTGGGAAGGTAATAGAAAAGCATCACGGCATAGAAAAATCTCACACTAATATAAATCCCAAGGTTAAATATAGATGTTTTAAGTGCTTTTAACATTTTTGACTAAGTGGTTTGATAAATAATATTTAAACTAATTTTTGGTAAAGATTAAAATACTTATAAAATATTTAAGTATTTTATAATGATTTAGCTTTTAGCTTTTAACTTTTTATAAAAGCGACTACTAACTACTTACTCAAACTAATTATCAAACGACTAAATGTTTAATAAAACAAGTTCACAACTTAACCAAAATAAACTAATTTTAACCTGGAAAATATATCATACTTGTAAGAAACCTGTTTTTTGTTTATTTTTCCATAACTGTTTCTAGTCTTTCTTTTTCCATGCATTATATTTATTCCACACGCAAATGGATCTAATACCCAGCAGTGAAAGTAATGCACCCTACCCCAGCGCAATAACAAAAGAAAAAGAAAAAGACTAATGAAAATTGAAGAAGTAATGCTATAAAAAGATTTAAAAACCAACAATTTTTGACCTGAATTTACAATTACATATGTACACTCATGGTATTTGGAAAAATTTTTTAAGCCCCCGAATTTCTCATCCTACTGTCAAGCTATTCTGGCTTAAGCGCGACTGAAGAACAGAATTGCTCATGTCCTTCTCTCAATCACCACAAAAAACAATCTTTTAGTGACCACTTCTTTTTCTCACCTTTTAGCTGGTGGATTGACAACAGCTCTTTCAAGCATTAGCAAAACGGTAACCAAGTGGACAATCTCTCTCCTCTGCCGGCCTCGCAAAGAATTATTTTGAAGCTTTTAATTCCTCACCATCGACGAAGGTAGAGATCTGCCTTGCCTTACTGCAACTCATTTCCCTAAAGAATGAAAAGAATCCATCCAGGAATGAACTGATTCATTTAAGTAAAATATGAATAAACCATTGTGGCCTTAAGCCAAAATAATAAAGGAAAGATGAGCCATTTTTTACCTAACTTTTACCAAAGGCATGCATTTGAGGTAACAAATAGAAAAAAAAGCCCTAATGAATATAATCATTTTTAACACAATTTTGCATGAATGGAATTCACCCTAATGCTTATTTCGGGTAATTTGAAACCTAATTGCACAACTAATTGGCAATGTACTTCAAATCAAGAATTGGGGAATTTTCTCCATCTGCAAAGAGAAAAAAGAACAAAAATAAATAAATGAGTGATCTCAACAAGTTAGAATAACATGAATTTACTTGAACCCATGGGATCCACTTTTCTTTTTTTTTATTATTATTACTACTATTATCACTTCTTTCTCCTGCCAGCTAAGGAAAGATAAGCCCTTGGTAATTTCCTCAGTTTTTGACTTGAAGGTCTATTCAACTAAAAATAGCGATGAGTTTCAACGCCAAAAATAAAGAATATTAAAAATTACACATTCGAAGCACAGTTCAAGGTAAGATATCTTGATAGGCCAAGAAAAAATTTTATCACTTGTATCTATTGGGCAATAGCCAATGAAACAGCAGACCCCAACAAAAAAAAGAGCTGTAGCTGTAAGCAATTTTGTGAAGCTTACAATGCCTTAAAAAATTGGCTTTATCAAAAAATGTTGCAAAATCAATTTCAGGAATTTCTCAAAATGAAGCTTACCAAGTCCTCTGCAAAGAGCTTCTTAACACATGCATTTATTTGTCGATTCCTCTGCACATGGGCCAGCGCCATGCTCACAAGCTCCATTTGACTAAACCAAATCACTGATTTTGACATGGATAACAGATTTTAGTCCTGGGGTCCAGAAATTTTCACTTGATTAATTACTGATTTATCTGAAGCCTGTTGCATCTCCCAAATCCAAGAGCTGTGAGAAAGCTTCCTCTGTGAACTTTTGTACCATAGTTTCTCTATATGGTAGGGCGCTTTGCTCAAGAAGCATAAAACCAGAACAAGGTTGATTATGATTTTATGACGGATGAGACACAGATAAGTTCTCCACAAAGCAAATTAGATAATCCTTTAAATTGTAAGTGGAGTATTTTTTTTTTCCCGCTTGGTTCAAAGTGGAAATTCAATAATATCCCTTTCAGCCTTTTTATTTATATTGATGAGATTGACACTCGTGTTTTGAGGAAAGAACAAATGGCCATTCCGAAGCTGAATTTTTCCCATAGTTTGGAAACAAGCAGTCATCGACCAATAGTAAAAGAATAGTTCTTTAACTAATTCACTAATATATAATGCAAGTCATATATCCATAAATTTTAGTCCAGAGATGTTTTAGGCACCTGAATATCACGAATCAAAAATAATGTTAGCTAGAGATCTGGAATCAGCTTGAATAGCTGAATCTTCTACTGACTCGTCAGCCAAAAATTAAGATCTGCATAACAGTTTGCCGCATCAAACTCAGTTAAACTAAGAAATGATAACTTTATATTTAAAAATGGTCGCCATATACAAATATCCTCCACAAATCCACCAAAAATTTGCAGTTTATTTTGAATCCTTAAGCCACTTACAGAATCCAAAAGATTCCAAAGGGATATGCTCTCCAGGTGGCGCCGTATGGGAAAAAAAAAAAAAAAAAAAAAAAAACCCAAAAAAAAAAAAGCAAAAAAAAAAATTTTCCTCTCTATTACGCATGATATATTCACCAACCTGCTGAGATTCCAGTGCCACCATCAAATAAGCTTTTCTTTCCCCTCTCATTTTAGGAACATCATTGAACATCCAAAAGCTCTGATCCAGGTGCTAGAGGCCATCCAATACTTAACAAACATTGATCAGTAAGCAGCAACTATTAGATGAGGAAGAAAGAAAGAACAGAAAAAATGGAGCCGAAACTCTCATCCTACAAGTAGAAAGTCAGTTTAAAGGTAAAACTTAAGTATAAAATAAAAGGTCAAACTGGTCACAACACAAGAGACACTTTGAAATATCTACAACCACTTAGTTCACCCAAGAGTTCTGGACTTGATTGCTGTATCCTGTAGATTACCAATAAATCATATCTTCCATAATCTCGCCGCCCACGCACAAAAAAGTATCCTTTCTGCAGACCCTTGGAATAATGAAAAGTTCTTTGGGTAGACCTTTCCTTACCATAACCTGCAGGGCATTCAGAGCAGAAAAAGAAAGAATAGGGGCTTCAAAAAAGAACTTACCACAATCATATTCATCTAATGTCGCCTCCCTCCATCCACAAAGTTAGAATCTTCTGTGGCTTTCTTGGTGTCGGGCAATAATGTATCAATGAGCCTCATTGACCTGAAAATGGTGAAATTGATTAATATCAATGTAAGTTTTTTCATTTATACTATGCCCCTCTTTAATTCCACTGAAGGTATCATACTAATTTGCACATATGGGAAACAGTTCGTTTACCACAAATGGGCCCTCAGTTACTGTTTTTTAATTTTTATTTTTTTTTTTCCTTCTTTCCCCTTCTTTATTTTATAACCCCATTTACAATCATATCAAAATCAAAGATACATCCTTATTATTGGTATTTTAGCATGTGCCATGTTATAAGAACAAAGATCATCACTGTGCAGGTCCAACCGTATAGCTAATAAGCAGTGTCCAACAATAGACGAATCAACAACAAAAACAGGCCCCAATGCAACAACACATCCCAGCAAGGAAATCTTAGAATGTTTTGAGGCAGTAACATAAATTTTGCCAAAACACGAAACTGCCACATCTCTCTCTCTTCCAACAATAGAAAAGCTTCAAAAAGAATCAAAAGGAGCCAAACCAATCTCTTTGAAATCTTGATAATTCTTTAAGAGAATGAAAGCACCGTAGGTAATGTAGCTGATGCTAATGTATTCATCATCTTCTGCTAATAAACAAGCACTTCATCGGCTTCTTGCAGAACATATGAGTCATCAGGATTCAGCATAATCTTACACCACAAGATGCAACCTGTGACCCACAAGGCTATGGCATCAGGAAAAACTGATTAATACATCTTCAAATTGCAGCAACCATCATTGTGGCCATCTTTTGATGTAAAAACTCGCAATTTTCAAAGCCTAAGGATGGTTCCATTATGGAGTCGTGTCATAGTCATCCATAATCATCAACACGTATGAACCAGTCAGTGAAATGTTGTTGCACGCCGTTCTTGGTTGAAATTTCAACACTATACAAAATGAGTAAAGAGAGACGCTTGCACATGACTACGTAACTATGAAAATGCCGCCATATAGGATAACCTGTGCAAGTCCTGGTTGCCGAGCAACATTGAATCATCAACGCGGCCAATAAGCATCATGAGCTACCACAGTTTTCAACAAGATCTCCAACCAAACAAGTTTTTACAAGGACCTCGTTGTTCAAGGTCACTAAGTTAACACAATGTGCCCTCTCAACCCTTCTTTTACTTCCTGTTAAACTTAAGACTGTTCTTAACGCACGAGCATCACTCTGCAAAAAACCATAAAGGAGTTACAATACCGCAACATATCATTATCAAATGAGACATAGAAGCACAGGAGTCTGGTTCACTCTAAGTCTACCATGGTCAGCATTCCCATCATCTGCCCAAGGACAATTATTGCCGGGCCCCTTGAGACTGACACCTGGAAACTTTAATGTTGTCAGCAAAATGAGAAAGGCAACAAAACAGAAACAATGCTAAATCAATCATCCAATAAGTAGAAAATCCATCATCACTTACCACCTTTTGCTAACCAAAAAAAAAAAAAAATGCTAGCTTGCAACAGCTCAAGGATCACCCGGGTGAGCACAGTCAGGGTGGCACCATCAATTCTAAACAAATGTCAAAAAGAAGATAGGAATATACTAGAGTAACGTAAACAATAACTTGCCATGGATTTAATTACAGGAAATATGACAACCAAGAGCAATCCAGGCAAATTCAGTAGCAATGGAATCCCCTTGATAGCCCTGGAAACTGAAACAAAACAAAATATAGAGTCGGCTTCCTTACCCAACTTATACCATTTTTGGTTAACATCAAATTTCAATTCAATTCATTAAAGTTTCAATCTCTTCAAGAAGGTAAGTTTATCAGCTAGACAGAATTCTAACAGAGGCATATATCAATACTTCACCATGCCACAAGAACTAAGCCAGGCAGTAATGCAATGACGCTTTTTGCAAGGTCCCAGCAGAGAATCAAAGGGCTTCCCACTTCTGCCATAAGTGACTTTTAGTCCTTTAAAGTCAAGGACTCCATTTTAGCATGTCCATTTCCATGCGCTTTCTTTGTCTTCTTTCAGCCATCAGCTACGAACATTGCCTCCAGCCCAAAACTGCTCATTGGGCTTATGGCAAGCTGGTTCAGTAGTGATCCCTGGTTTTAAGATGAAAACATTTACAAAAGGATGCCACAACTTTTGCTTCTAAATTTTTCTCAAGAATGGTCTGCTAAAATCGATATTAAGGATAAATAGTTACATACTTGCATTGGAATTGAAGAATGATAGCTCGTTTATTAGAGGAAAGAACATATATTTTTCTCGTTATATCTTTATTATGATTTGTATCTCTTTGTTATTATATTTATTTTATAATCTTAATATATTTCTATATTATAATTATTATATTGTGATTTTGGATATATTATTTCATTCTCTCATATTAGTGTTGTATTATTATTAATCTTTATTATATATTTTTTTATTTATTATTATGTATTATTTGTGTTCTATTTTTTTGTGTGTTCAAATCTTCATTTGTATTATATATAATATATATATATATCAAGAATCAGGGTGTGGGTTTGCTCAACCACCTCACTTCTTTCTTTACGCAGGGAAAATCAAACTTCTCCGAAATTTGCATAGATACAGTCCAAGCATCATTGCAAAAATAAGCATCCACCAAAAGCCTTAATGGAAACAGAAACCAGCCTGGGACCAATACCTTCCCGAGTTCGCATGATTTCCTGAGTCAGCAATAAAAGTCCCAAAGATAATCCAAAGAGAATCGACAAACTATCATCTTCACAACCAAAAAGTGCGAAGCCAAGCCGATAAGTAGCAGAGTGGCATTAGCAATTGCTAGTGTTTAGTCATATGGAATGGACTGATAAAAAGACATCGCACCCGAATATCCAATCAATCTTGTTTAAAGAAACTTCTTCTGAAATATTATCTATAATCTTGATTTTAGATACAAAAATCAATTGTACTTGAACATAAAAAATCAGGAATGGGATATACGGTAACGAGAAATAAGAGCCAAATTTGTTTTAAGGCCTTCAGTAATGCTTATACAATTTCCTCCGGTGGAATTGAAATCACTATAAAATCTAAATGAGATAACAGTTGGCAAGCTTGTAACTTAAAATGGTAAAAGTTTTTGAAAATTTGGTCCTCGATCCGAAAAACAAGTTTCCTATTAGCATGATATAAAATGGTAATAGGCCTTTAGAACTTGAAAATGAAATACCATTACCTGCAATTCAAGATTACTTGATTGTTTTTAAAGAGAAATTTTGTGTAACTAAGGAAGCGAGTGCGGTGATCACTATCCTGCAATCACAACCAAACAGCTGTCACTTGAGCAAAAACTGACCAAACACTTGTAAAAAAAAGAGAGCGCGTGTACGAGAGAGGAACTAACCGCGGCCTGAAATGGCCATGCTGCCACCGAACTCTAAGCCGAGACCTGTAAATAAAACATTCCTGTCACTAGACGATTTTCTCTCTGCTGGACGTCAAATTTCCGTAACGAAACGGCATCCTCGTGTTCTGTTTCGAAGAATTGTCAGTAAGGCGGGGGAACTCAACTCGTCGACGAAAGCCTAGCATACTTACGATCTCCGTAAGTGTTAGAAACGGAAGCAGAAACCGGGCGTCGAAAACGACGATGTTTGGAATCGGAAAGAGACAGTGATGTGAGAGTCTGGGGGCTGTGGAGAACCTGCGATGATATTTTGTTGAGTTTAGGAGGATGATGATGGTGATGAGGAAGGCGAAGGGAAGAACCAGTCCTGCTCGAAGAAGGATGTTGGTGCTGGTGATGAGTCCGATCAAGGACATAGTTGGGGATTTGAGAATTTTAGGGGCTATTTTTTAAGTAAGTCATGAACTTTTCATTCTGGTGTTAAGACCAGCTTAAGCTTGGGTATTTAATTATTTTATAAAAATATAATTATTATTAATCACATTATATTTATATATATAAATATTATATATACAAGTTCTTTAATTTGTAAAACTTTTGTAATGGTAAATGGAAAGTCACTTAGACAATGGCTAATGAGCTAATCCCTAAATAAATATAAGTCTAGTTAACATTTTGATCGTGACACGGTGAAAAGTCTTCGAGATTAAATTATTATAAATTTATTTAGAAAAAAAAAATCTAATAAGATCATTATGGATTAAAAAATGCAATAATTCACGACGAAAGACTTTATAGCTGGATGGAAATTAAACATGGTACTTTTAATAATTCTCTGAAATAGAGGATAAAATCAGTCAATTTGATAAAATAAAGGGAATTAAATGGCAAGCTTTTCCCAAAATAATAGCTTTACGTGCTTTTACCAAATGGAAAAACTAAGAACTAGCAATTAATAGCCCACCCAAAAGCGCGACTAGAGTCCATTGACATCTCCCGCTTTGCTTTACCGATTCCGACTAAACCGAACAACCGCGTCCCTTTTCTGTCTTCTTTCAAAACGAAGTTCCGCGACTTATCAAATTTCGAGACCTATATCAGTTGCCTTTTTTCATTTTCAACAATACTGCTGCTGTCCAAAGAAAGAAAATTCCATCCTTTTCTTTGCGTTTTCTGTGAATTTGCCTATTTCATATAATTGGGGTTTTTTTCCCCTCTTGTATATGGCTACTTCGGCTCCATTTTATCCATCCCTGCCTCCAATCCCAAATCGACCTCTTCGTCTCTAAGAAACACGAGGCCTTTCTCGCGGTGAAATTGGCTTTCGCTGATCCTTTGGGAATTTAGTTTCAGGGTCACTAAAAACTCATCATCTCACAATTGGGTAGTTTTTTGAATCGGTTGGGTGTTCTAACTGCTCGTCCCATTTACGTCAGCATGGTAAAGTTAACCTTTCTTTCTTTCATTTTGATTTTCGGCGATTACATTAGCTAATTACTGGTTTTATAATTAACAGTTTCTTTAAAGTAATTGAAAATTCAATTACAATCATTAGGTTGTATCTTTGTTATATTTAAAGTTCGTCTATAAATTTTATTTATTTTTGGTAAGAATTTGATTCAAGAATAACTAATTCCCATAAGAGAATAAATGATTTAGAAATTCTAAATAAATTTTCATTTGTGCCTAACAGAGAAACCGGATTTTGTAAATTTATGCAATTCCTTTGCAATTCAATTCTTTGTACTATTATGTCAGTTTAATGGATTACTTCTTTGTTTCAGAATGGATGTTGGCATGTTTTTTTAAAAGGGGGTAATGTGGTGGAGAAGGAAAATGATATTTTAGAGTGGAAAAGAACACCTAAACAAGTTTTTTTCCAAAACCTGAGTTAGAAGCCTTTGTCTTGTCAAAAGCAAAATTCAGGAGATCAACTTCTAAACTTCCAAGGGTAAAAGGTTCCCTTCCAGAGATCCTGTGTCATCCTATGGAAGGCAACACCAATTGTAGCCCGAGGTAACTATTGTTAAATCTATCGTTACTTCTGAGTAGGGGTGTAAAACGAGCCGAGCTGAGCTCGACCATTGCTAAGAACTTATAACTCGACAAGCTTGGAAATTTTTAGGCTCAAGTCAACTCAAAAAATTTTGAGCTTGGAGCTCGCCCTCAAATTTTACCGAACTTTTCGAAACTTTTTCGAGCTGGATAGCTCGTTTACTATGCTACCACTTAGACTTAACTTTGAGTGTTGAGACATCCTTCTTAATGAGCTTAATAGACTTAACTTTGAGTGTTGAGACATCCTTCTTAATGAGCTTAATAGACTTAACTTTGAGTGTTGAGACATCCTTCTTAATGAGCTTAATAGACTTAACTTTGAGTGTTGAGACATCCTTCTTAATGAGCTTAATAGACTTTTATTGGTCAATTGAATAGCGTGAAATTAGATGAGATGTGATAGATATTCTTAACTGTGTAATACTTATTAAATAGAATAGCTATCTACCAGATTTGTGTAATAATTTCATAGATTTAGTGAAGAATAGTTATTTGATGGCTGTTGAATAGCTAGTCCTATTTAGTAACCAAATGAAAATATCGTATTTATCATTTGTTGCTCACTGCAGCTACCTTGAAACTGACTTTAAAAACAAGAACAAATTCTTATCCTGATGATAAAACTGCTTTGTGCAAGTGCTGGAAAAAACACATTCATGTATATGTGTGTGTTTCTTAAATCTTAATTCATTTTTTCAGATGTCTTGCAGTCTGGCTAGCAACAGATTGGATACCCTGTCAGTTAGGAAAACTTATAATCCAATCTGAGTATCTGAACCAATTGAATCAGAAATTTGAGAATATCCGAAACCATGCTGAAATTATCATGTCGGTTGCTGAAAATTGTTGGCTTACATTTCTTTTTGAATTTTTTTAACACACACACACACATATATATATATATATTCAACTGAAAACAACCGCAACTTTGATGTCTAGTGTAGCTTTGATTCTCTATCTAGGCTTAACATGTAAGAACATCCTGTTAAATTAAACAGTATCTGATTTCAAATAAAGGTTCTTTTGTTACATTTTGATGCAGACCAGTCTCATGCACAACCTTCACCAGATTTTTGTTGGGAGGAGTATATTTCGGCTAACCATATTTCCTGGGTCAATAGATCATGCGCTGGTTGTGGCTTTAGTTGTGATATTCTTATATGGATAAAGATACTTCAATCAAATACAATGTACAGCTATCTATTTGTAGGAAGTATTTTTAAGAAACAAGAAATCATAATAACATGCCTTATGATTCTGCATACATTTGTTTCTTCATATGACTTGCTATCTCTTTGTAACTTTTCTTTGTAAGAGCAGACTGTTCCAAGTTCTCAGAATAAAACTCTTAGAGATTCCTTAAAAGTGGTACAGAATGAGTTGTGGTCTTGACCTTGAAATTGGGCCGAGTTTGGAATTCATATTTAGATAAGGGCCCATCCAAAAGAAATATAATCAATATGTAACATATTTTTCTACTTGGATGGGCCATAAACTCAACTGTGTCATAATGAGAATAATGAGAATGACTTGCTTAGACGATAAGAAAAAAAAAATTAAAAAAGCTTACAGTACCCCTCCGTCAGTGACATCACGAATACCAAGCAACGATTTATCGCTTCTGATTGATTTGGATAGAGAAGCAACCCATTTCTAAATCACCAAGAAAGAGAGATCAAAGAAGAAGAATAAACTGAAAACGGACGTAATTGCTCTCAATATTTCGTCTTCAATGAAGATTTATCTGATCTCAAACTTCTGCAATTTTTCCGGCTAAAGGGTTGTGATAAATCTAGCAAGTCTATCACTCGTTTTTTATTTTTCATTCTCTTCGAATTTCTACTAATTTATGGGTTATGTTTATGAAATATAATTTATGTACTAATAATTTTCTTCTTCTTCTTTTGTTAGCATTTCTGTTTTTTGAGCGCATAGTCATGTTTATATATAAAGAGATATCGAGTTGGTTAAAATGAACCATGAAATATATACAGACCCAATATATTGACAACGATGCCAAGTACCAGTTACATATTGTCTGCTTTATGATTTATTTTTTCGTTTTCCTTTTCTTGACTGTCATTTTGTACAATCATCATGTTTGAACTATTGGTTGCCAGGAAATGATATTAAAAGATGATGCATTTGGCTATGGGAGGCAGTGGAAGTAAACCTTCGTTCTACTTACTACCTTCCCTATCTTATTCGCTTTTCTTGGAAGGACCATTGGTGCTATTGACCAACTCTTTAAAAGGAGAAGATCTGATGAAAATTATATGAATAGTTACGGAGCTGCCATGGGTAATGGAAAAGCAGGTTTGGAAGAATAAGATTTAAAAGTTGAGGTCAACGTGAGTTAAGCGTTATCGAAGAGAGCTTGCATGGGTAAATTGGAAAAGCAGGTTTGGAAGAATAACGCATTAAGTTGAGGTCCAAACGGGAAGGACCATTGGTGCTATTGACCAACTCTTTAAAAGGAGAAGATCTGATGAAAATTATATGAATAGTTACGGAGCTGCCATGGGTAATGGAAAAGCAGGTTTGGAAGAATAAGATTTAAAAGTTGAGGTCAACGTGAGTTTTTTTATTGATTGAGTGAATAAAAAAAATGGTAATTTGATACAATTTTTACAAGTTAATGAGTTTTTTGGCAAAAAGAGGTGCAAAATGAAATAAATTGAATATTTGATACAAGTTCAAGGGACAATTTGAGCATTTTTCTTAAAATATTTATTAATTTGACCAAATTACTCTTTATTACACAATTAATTTATAGATAGAGAGAAGATAAAATGATAAATTAATACTTACCTATGTCTAGCGTATGTGGGTTCATCTAATCAATAAATGAGATTTACTTATGCTCGGCGAGAATTCACTTTTGCACCAAGCCAATCAAGCCAATTCACTAAAGGATGTCAAAAAAATTGTTAGTATGTTTTTTTTTTTTTTTCAAGTGAATGGATGGAAATACCTTCATTTGAAAAAAAAAATATTTTAATTAATTTGATGTGGTGGATGCATACATTGAATGTAGATAAATATTTTCCATAAAACAACAATTATTTTAGCATTATTTTTACCTTATTTGATTAAGAATGTGAAAATAACTAGTTAATTGAACTGCAATAATTATGTAAATGCGAATTTTTTTAAAAAAATATTCTTACTTTTCTTTTTTTAAAAAAAATATTCTTATTTTTCTTTTTTTTCCTTGATGTATAATTAGAAATACTCTCGTTTCAATCAAAATATCTATTTTTTTTATCCGGATAAACTCGGTCTATGCAATTCAATCCCAATTAATTAATTTCAAAGCTAATGCATGCATGGGATAGCTCTCTGTGCTTTCTCTCCTCTTGTATTCTATACCTATGAATTTCTAACCCCTGCAAAAAATAGCACATCTCACAAAGCTCTAAAGATCAAGAAAACCATATACACATCAGAAATATTACACACCACCCCATAAAAACAAACTGATAAAAATAGCATGCAAATAAACAACAGCAAACCTTCTTCTCCTAAAGCCTCTCTCAGCCACAACTCCATCTTCTCTTTCCCTTAGATCCTCAAGTGATCATTTTCCCTTCTGTGGAGATTTTTGAGAAAGGAAGGCAAAAAAGGTTTCTCCCTCTAACCCACCAACACCTTCCTCTCTCTCTCTCATGGATTTTCCTATTCTTTTCTTTCTCTTTCTCTCCATCCTTCCTATCTCTCAATCACAAGAACTCTCTGTCGATTACTACAAAACCTCTTGCCCTAACTTTCAACAGATAGTTCGCGAGACTGTCACCAGCAAACAGATCTCTACTCCAACGACCGCAGCTGCCACTTTACGTATGTTTTTTCATGATTGTATGGTAGAAGGTTGCGATGCCTCTGTTCTTATTTCCTCTAACACATTTAACGTAGCTGAACGTGACGCTGAGATCAATCTTTCCTTACCTGGAGATGGTTTTGACGTTGTAGTAAGAGCCAAAACAGCTTTAGAACTCACCTGCCCTAAAATTGTTTCTTGTGCTGATATTCTTGCTCAAGCCACCCGCGATCTTATTATTATGGTTGGTGGACCTTTCTATACAGTGCAATTAGGGAGGAAAGATGGGTTGATCTCTAAAGCAGCGGACGCAGAACAACATGTCCCAAGAAGTAATATGACTCTTGATCATATGATCAATTTGTTTAAACTAAAAGGGTTTACTGAAACTGAATTGGTTGCTTTAATGGGTGCACATACCATTGGATTTTCCCACTGCAAGGAGTTTGCCGAAAGACTTTACAATTATAGCAATACTACACCAACAGATCCAGATTTTAACCCTAAATATGCAGCTGCATTAAAGACCTTATGTGCTAATTATACAATAGATACAACTATGTCTGCGTTTAATGATGTTCTTACACCAAGCAAATTTGACAACATGTACTTCCAGAACTTGCCTAGAGGATTAGGGTTATTGTCAAGTGATCATATTCTTGTTAAGGACCCTAGGACTAAGCCAGCTGTTGACCTTTATGCAAAGAACCAGACACAGTTTTTTGTGGATTTTGCTCGAGCAATGGAGAAGCTAAGTGTTCTTCAGATCAAAACTGGGGATAAAGGAGAGGTCAGACACAGATGCGATCACTTCAATTCTATTGATACTTAATTTTTCTTTTTTTTTTTAATTTATAAGCATATTAATGAGAATGGGATTATAATTAATTAATTATGTTAATCTTTAGCGTATAAGAAACAATTAAGTTAAATTGGTTGGTTATGGTATGATATTGGTTCATTTAAGTTGCTGCTGCTGCTGTTACTGTAGTTTATAAGAAAGAAATGTATTTTTATGTTTTTTATTGTACTTATTGTCATTTTATTTTAATATAAGAAATTAAGGAATGTTATGTATAGATATGTTATGTATCTATAAAAAATTTTGTAGCCGAAACAGAAAATTTTCATTTTGTTGAGTATTATTGTTATTTTTATTATATTTCTATATAAATTATTAATGAGATGTGAATGATAAATAAAATTTATAGTTGGGAATTATATATTGTTTTTAAGGAAAAAAAAACTAAATATTATGTATGCAATATTTAAAAAGTGATAATATTTGAAAGGAAAATATTAAATTGTTTTTGGTAAATCAAGAAGAAACCACAACTTCTTACTAGCAAATCATAAACTATTCTGACCCAATATAGTTTGAATCTACCTTGATGAATCGAGAGTCAATGTCTTGAGAAAAACTTTTAAATATAATTATTTCCTGATCCTCGTAAAATAAAATAATCTTTCTTAAGCATTAGTATATGAGTCAATCTATGGATCGAATCAATAAAAATAAAAATTTTTTAATAATCGATGATATTTTACTTTTTTTTTTCAGTGACTTGTCAGAATACTTTTATATAAAAAAATTTATGTTCATTGATTTAGTTGATATGTTGAGCTAGAGATGGCCATATTACAGTTCTGGGAACCGGAACCGTCGGTTCGAACTGGTCCGGAACCGTAACCGGAACCGGGCTGAACCGGAACCGGGCTGAACCGGAAAATTTCGGTTCGATTCCGGTTCCAAATTTTCTGGAACCGTCGGAACCGGATTGGGACCGCCGGTTCCCCGGCCGGTTAGAACCATCGGTTCGAACCGGCGGTTCTAGCCAAACTATCAGATTCTTTTTTTTTTTTTTTAAATTTTGTTATGAAATCTCTTAATTATGTTCAAGTCTTTAAAAAAATAAATTTAATTGAAGTATTTTTTTTTTATTTTTTAGGTGTATCTTTTAATTTTTTATGTTCAAATATTTTTTTTTTAACCGGTCTTCAAAATTTAAAATTATGTTCAAACTTTTTTAAACAAAATGGAACCGTCGGAACCGAGAAATTGTGACGCTATTTCAGGAAGAGCCGCGTTCCAGTGACCCGGAGCGTTTTAAGAAACTATCGTTCGAACCGGGCAGGTTCTAGCGCCAAACATAATCAGATTCTCTTTTTTTTTTTATTTTTTTAAATTTTAGTTGTATGAAATTCAACTTAATTATGTTCAAGTCCTTAAAAAATAAATTTAATTGAAGGTATTTTTTTTTTATTTTTAGGTGTATCTTTTATTTTTTTATGTTCAAAATAATTTTTTTTTTAAACGCGGTCTTCAAATTTAAAATTATGTTCAAAACTTTTTAAAACAAAAAATAAATTCCAGTTGAAATTTTTTTAAAAAAAAATAATTATGGTTTCAAGTCTTTAAAAAAAATAAATTTAAATTTGAAGTATTTTTTTAAATTTTCAAGCGTGTATCTTTTAATTTTTTATGTTCAAATATATATATTTTTTAAATCGGTCTTCAAAATTTAAAATTTAAAAATTATGCGTTTCGCCGAAAAAAACTGATCGGAACCGTCGGTTTGGTTCACCAAAATACTGGAAATCAAAAATCGAACTCAGAACGCCGTTCGGTTGCCAACGCGGAAACCTTTCGTTATTCCTCGTTACAAGCTATGTTCAAATATATATATTTTTTAAAATCGGTCTTCAAAATTTAAAATTTAAAATTATGCGATTCGCCGAAAAACTGATCGGAACCGTCGGTTTGGTCACCATACTGGAATCAAAATCGGAACCAGAACCGTTCGGTTCCAAACCGGAACCGGAAACGGAACTTTTCGATTCGATTCCGGTTCCAGTTTTTTTGGAACCGGAAACGCCGGTTTCGGAACTGTGGCCACCCCTAGTTGAGCTATAGACGGAGTCTAGATGAGTTATTCTACATTGTCATTTAAAAACTTATTCGTTATTATTATTATTATTATTATTATTATTATTATTATTATCATTTATCTTTTTCTTTTAATCTGCATATTTTTATTTATGTTAATTATGGTTATTAAATTTACTGGACCCACAGAATGCAGGAAAATAGGCCCATAATACCAAGTGCGAGAAAGGCCCAAGTCTAATTCATAAAACATTTCCTTTCTCTCTCCTTTTATCTTTTCAGTGTTACAGCACTCAAAACCCAAAACCCCTCTCTCTCTCTGCTATACAATTCCAGAATCAACTCTCGACGAGAAAAAGAGGGAGAGAGAGATGTTGACATATATGTTCAGAGCCGCAATAAGAAAATCCCAATCAAGCCTTCAGTGGAATCCCAAACCCAACTATCTGATTCCTTGTTTATCTTCATTCAATCATAATCACTTGTACTACTTCTCTTCCAAAACTGCCAAAGCTAATGTCTCCAAATTCAAGAAAGGTGACCAAAAATCCAAAAAGAAATCTTCCGGTGAAACCGCCGCCGGATCAACCCCCGCCGACGATTTTGACGCTGCCCTCTCCGAAGACGGTTCCACGCGCGCCCGACAACTTGCTGAGGATGAAAAGAACCCTTCTCTCGATGTGGGCCCTAACGGCCGCCCTCTCTTCACTTCTACTGCCTCACTCTCTCAGCTCAGTCGCAGAGACACCTGCACTTACTTCAAATTCAGGTTTCTTTCTTTTTTAGCTCTCATATAATGTTTGCACACGCTTATATATAATATATAAATCTGAATTGGATTGATTTTTGCCTAAGTGAGGCGGGACTGAATGGGGTCTTACCGGAAGGATTGCCAATGGGGATGGTGAAGGAGTTTGAGGAATCAATGAGAAGAGCTTTGCTTGTTCGACAGAGTTTTTTGGATCTTCGTGACAATTTTAGACGCATTGTTGATCCTCCTTTACGTTCATCTGATGGTAAAGGTATGCCTTTTCTTTTCGTTTTTAATTTATTAGTTACTGAAATCATTTCTGCTTTTTGATTAGTCTCTATGTACTCTTTGATTCTTTTGGAATTTGTTATTAATGTGAGCAATTAAGTATTATTAGAAGAACTTTAGCTGCTTTTTTCTTTACGCTTTGTTTGGATGGAAGTAGGGAGGGAACATTAAAGTAAGGTATAGTAAAGTGTGATATGGGATCATTAAAGTATGATATAGTGAAGTATTTATGTTTGCTTGTCTAATCTCGTAATCTCTTGAGCTTTTATGTACTAAGTTTTTGGCACACTATTTACCTTAAGGTTGAATCATGATTATTTGAGAATTTTGAACCTTTATTTTATTCCAGGTCCAAAACTGAGAAAGCAAATTGTATTGGATGGTCCTGTTAGCTGTGGGAAGAGTATTACACTTGCAATGCTTGTTCATTGGGCTCGTGATGAGGGTTGGCTAGTTTTTTATGTCCCTAAAGGACGGGAATGGACTCATGGTGGGTTTTTCTATAAAAACCCAGAAACTGGTTTTTGGGACACGCCTGCTCAGGCTGCAAATATTCTCAAGGCAAGCACGTTTAACCCTTTTACTGTTTAATTAATGCAGTTCAAGTTTACTGTGTTATATTATGTTGAGCTGTCAAATCTCCATATCCTTGGTTTTGCCCCATTGTATTTACAATGAACAGGAAGGTTCCATATTTCTCCTATTATATTCTCAACATGCATAATTTAGTAGTCAAATAAGAATTAAAACCATGTCGGACATTCTAGGAACTTGTGCGTGAATTATGATTTGGTGATGAAAACTGTATCTATCACGGCAGATTTTTTTTTTCCCAACTTATGTAGCATCTCTATAGCTGCAATAAATATACAGTTAACAGCAATTATCTCCATACATATTCTCACACACTTAGAAACCCTATTATCCAAAGAAAAAACCAAAAGGAAAAAAAACAGATGTTTAATCTCTCCTTTTTCCTCTATCTGATATTGCCTGAAAAGCACAAGGTTCATGCTTAGGATTCACATTTTTTTCACACTGGTGAATCCTTCCAGGATTTTGTAAAGTACAATGAATCCCACTTGAAGCAATTGCCCTGCCATATATCTGATCCTGTTCCATTAGGAGAGGGTGCCGGTGTTGGATGGATGAAGGGAGTAGAGTCCATGCCAGTCCCTGAAGGTTCAACGTTATATGACTTGATTCAGATTGGAATCAAGCACACCCATGCAGCTGTTGGAGTTGTAGTTCGCTTAAGGAAAGAGTTATCACTTGTGAAAGATATCCCTGTCCTCATTGCAATTGATCAAGTAAGATGGATTCTGGAATATTTTCTATTTGTTAATTTTAGAATTCTATTAGAAGCATTCTAAATTGATGGATGTCTATATTTGTTTCTGTTACTTTTCTGCAGTATAATAACTGGTTTACATTCAGCGAGTATGAAGAGTCAGTAACTAGTCGTTCTTGTCGACCGATACATGCCAGGGAACTTGCAACGGTTAGGATAACTTCTCATCTAAATCAATTTGTTGATTGAATTTTGTATGAGTTCTCTCTATTAAATTTTAGCATTTACAATACTTCAGCAACTTGTTCATTTTACTATTATTAATGAACAATATTTTGTAAATTTCTGTTAAAATAAACATCATTGTGACTATAACTCTAAGGAGAACTTGCCTTCTAAGGGCGTGAGACATCTTACTTCATGTCATGGGAATTTGGCTCTCAAGATTAGTTTCTCCTTCAATTTTTTTTTTATTCATTTGCTTGCTTCATAATCAATGCACAGTCAAAGTGAAAGGTCGGTGGTGTGCATTATATGAGAAGCTATTTTGGTTTTGCAGGTAAATGCTTTTAGGTCCATGACTCATGATGACATGATGGTGGGTGCTTTTTCTCATTCAACAGCAGTCGGAAAACTCCGTCAAGACTTGCCTGATGTTCCCACAGGTGCTCGTGTCAATTTGCCCCGCTACAGTTTAGATGAAGCAGCTGCTGTTTCCCATTACTACCTTAGGTATGCTAGGGAATTATTACATTAACCATTTTCACATTGTTGATATAGGACATCCAACTTGCAGTTTTTCCAAGGCAGTAATTTGTACTTGCTGGATGATTGATGCTAATTTGAAATTGACTTATGATACCAAGCTGGTGTTTCATTTGACAAAAGAACATTTAGTCATAGCTCTTTTGGCATGTTAATCAAAGACATTGTAAGCTTTTCTGGCAATGATGATTGATTTCCTTTTGGGTTTGTTTGTAAACAAAGTGTGAAGGTGTTGGATTCTATGCCACTAAATGATTATTGTACAAAATACACTAGTTAGTGGAAGAGAAATAATTGGACTTTGAATTCAGTTTTAAATTTGGTATGAAAGTATGATCTATCAAAGACTGTCTTATTACTGGCAATGTATCGAGTTGATGTCTTAAGCATTGTTATTCTTGATATCCATCTAGATGTATTAATGGATTCATTTCATTTAGGTTCATTGTCTTAAAAAAGTTTTCCGAAATGAAAAGCAAATCTTGTGATGCTGCATAAACTAATAACGTTAAATGCTTTATTCTGACTTAGTTCTCTGTATTGTTATGTGCAGGCAAAGACTAGTACGACGGGAAGCATTTTCAGAGGAAAACTGGAAGAAAGTGTTTTACTTGGCCAATGGAAATGGTGCAGAAATGAGGTGGTTAGTTCCTCTTATGCGGTAACATAAGAGATACTACATTGAGTTATATTTAAAGACATTTTTCATTCTTATTGCCACTGTTTCTCAAGCGGTTGGTACTTTCTTCTTTTTTGTTCAAGCCCTGAAGGAGCTAGTGAGGTTAGCAGATGGATTTCTGAGAAATTTTATTGACTTCTCAATTTACTTGAACCAGATTTTATTTATAATCTGAGTATGTACCCTATGTAGATCAGTTAGCATTTTGTATTTTGAATATAGAAGATTGATTCCTTTACTTGTAATAATGGTTCTTGGATTATATGCCTAGGTTATGTAATGACCTCTCACAAATGCTACTCTGTAGTTTGTTTTGTGTTTTGTGTTTTATGATATCAACTTTTAAGTTGATCCGGGCTTTGAATGCTTTCAGGGTATCATCAATCTAATAAGAGCCATTTGGTATTAGGGTTTAAATTCTTTTTATGAAAAAACTTTGTTTTAGATATTGTTTAGAAGAAATATAGTTTTTTTCTTTTGATATATATATATATATATATATTGGAAGGCTTTGTGCCAAAATAACATGATAGGCCACGTAAGAAGAGCTACTATGAAGTGAAGTGAACAAAAAAGAATCAAAATTTTAGTTATAATGAATTGAATATAATTTGTTATTTCCTTTTCTGCATTTATTCTTATTAAGAACTATATTGCAATTGAATTGAAAATTGATTTACAAATATATTTTTTAAATATATACTATGTAATTAGTTTACAATAGTGATCATATTTTATTATTAAAAAAAGTACTTATTATTATATACAAGTTGATTATACTTTTCATTTTATTTGCATGGTTTGATAAAATATACATATAAAGAATTTAAGTCATTTTTTACTCTAGCTTATTAAAATATTAATAAAAAAATCATTCATTTAATGAATAATCATAAATGTTATTATATGAAAAATAATTATTTAAATATATAAATTTTATTTGCATGGTTTGATAAAATACATATAAAGAATTTAAGTCAATTTTTTACTCTAAGCTTATTAAAATATTAATAAAAAAAATTCAAATAATTCATTTTAATGAATAATCATAAATGTTTTATATGAAAAATAATTATTTAAAAATAATCATAAATGTTATTATATGAAAAATAATTATTTAAATATATAAATTTAAAAATCTTGCAAACATTTTGAGACATTCAAAAAATAAATAATAAACAAACAAAATGAAACAAAATGAGACGGAAGAAGAATAATATTGTAATAACAAGATAATTCATAAATATATATACAAATTTATTATAAATGTATTTAAACTATGTTTTAATTTAATATGTATATGAACTCTCAAAAATCTATAATAATATAAAAATTACAATATATTTAAAGCACGTTTTAAACTATATTGTAAATGAATCTAAAACTTGTTTACTCTTTCTCATATTAATCTATTTATACACCAAGCAAATAGAAGAAGACCGTTTTAAAAAATTGTCATCATTTATTATTATTTTTCAATAAAATGCACTATTTATCTCATGTATTTTTATTAAATTAGGTTGATATATAGATGTGATTTTATTTTCCGGTTTGCCCCCGTTTAAGCACTGAAAATTCTCTAGGCTTGGCCCAAGAAACTTAGTACTTCTCTTGAGGGCCCATATATATAGGTAGGGCTCAATCCGTTCCTGTTGCTAAGACACTCTCTCCCTCCGTCTCCCTTTCGCGACAAATATACGCAGACCCAGAAGCCTAAGCATCGTTTGGCTGACTGATTCTCTAACACGGTAAGTTTTAGAGAGACGATGCTTACAGGGGATATACCTCCAAACCAAACTATATACATCAAGAACCTCAATGAGAAGGTCAAGAAAGAAGGTATCGCTCGCACTTTTCTATTTCACTTCTAACTTCTAATCTTGTGTTTAGTTGCTGAGAAAACTAAACAACGTGCAACGGTGTTGAAGCTTGAAGCCTCTCTTTTACTATTGATTTTCTGCCTTTTATATACTGACGAACTTGACGCAGCTTAGTTGAAAAAAATGTTCGTCATTGGTTAAGTAGTTTTGGTAGTTAGGTTTGCAGATAAGCATGGATTTGGGTATGAGATGTCCTTTGGCTTCTTGTTAGTACTGTAATTGACCAATTTCGAGTTTTCTGGGTTTTGTGGTGGTTTTTATTGCTATCACTGGGGAATGGGAATTTAGTTTAAAATTTTTAGATTACATGAGAAAGTGTGAATTGTAAATTAGTTCTTTGCCCCCGGTTGCTGAAAATTGTGGGAAAGAAATTATCAGAAAATTTACCAATTGACAATGTTCTATTTTTTTGTTGGAATGTTCTATCACCAGCACTGATCATGGCCTTCTTCTTTGTTGTTGCTTTTCCATGGTAATATGGAGAGTTAATCTGCTGTAATTTTAAGTCAAGTTTGTTCTGGTGTTACAAAATGTGCAATTTGAATGAATTGTGGAATTACAAGTATCAAAATAGTAAAGTAAATTATAGTATAATTCATCCTGAATTGAGTGGGAGTTTTTGTTTGTGGCTATATTTTTCTTTAATCACGTGTGACCGGAAGTGTTTAATGAAAGGGAAAGTATAAAGAAGTATCCTGTGGTTTCATACTTTTCGCTTCAGGGTTTGTGAATTGTTTTTTGGAAAAAAGGGGTCTATATTTTATATTGCTGAGAATTTAGGGTATGATACCTTGATAGTGTTAATTCATGCTTATGTGGGACTAGGTTAATGATGCCATATGTCAACTAAAGTTTGACATATCAGCGTCACATTGGCACAAACTAATAGTATTAAGGTACTGGGCTCTTAATTGTTAATGGAATGAAACACCGACCCATTTTTGTAAAAAAAAAATAAAAAAAAAAAAAAAAAAAGAAATGAAACACCGACGCCAATTTTTGTAAAAAAAAAATAAAAAAAAAAAAAAAAAAAATCGCTGAACCTTTTTTTTAAAAAAAAAAAAAAAAAAAAAAAAAAAAAAATCCCTGACCTTAAAGTGGAAAGTATGAAGTCACAGGATATCTTTTTGAATTCCCTATAATTTATCTACTTCTACCTAACTTTTATTCTATGGAAGGAAAATATTCTGGAGGTTTCTATCCAGTTAAGTTACTATTGGCTGCATTATGGTACTATTGGCTGCATTATGTTTTGATGATTGTTCATAATCATTACAATTTCATTTATGCAACCACTATTGGATAATCAGTTTGCTTTGTAATTAGAATGATGCATTTGCAGTAAACTTTCAGATGATCAAAGAGCATTGTAGCAAGCATTTGCTTGTATGTGTTAGGAGTTTATTGTCCCATTCATTTCTCTGATATGTGAAAATATTTCACTTGGCCAGTTATAAAGAAGTGAAAATGTATAATTTCTTGTGATATTTTCATCTCTCATTCCTAAATTTAACAACATCTTCACATCTTTAATTTCCTTTCAGAGTATCCTAGTTGAGGTTGACACATGTAAAACTTTTTCTTTTGTCAGAACTGAAAAGAGCACTTTATTGTCTATTCTCCCAATATGGAAGGATCTTGGATGTTGTTGCCTTGAAGACACCCAGGCTTCGAGGGCAAGCATGGGTCTGTTTCAGTGAAGTGATGGCTGCGAGTAATGCTGTGCGGCAAATGCAGGGTTTTCCATTTTATGACAAACCTATGGTCTGTCTTAGGAAGTTTTCAACCAATATTAATGCATAAGTGCATGTGTTTTGATGTGTTCTTTAGACTTGTGCATTACTCTTCCACAAATTAAATCAGTTATTTCTTTTTTTCTTAACTCTATACGTTATATTAATATGTTGTTTCAATATTGTTGGCATCAATTAAAAGCCTTTTCATTTGACCCTGTTTGCAAAATTCCTATGATTTTACTGTCACCAACTTACTTTTGTTGCTCAATCTGCACACTTATATTGTGCCACAAAGAGTCTTTTCTATTATTTACATGTTTTTTTTTTTTCTTTTTTGAAAAATCCATTTGGGAAATAGTGTGTCCTGCAACAATTACTTATTTGCAGCCATTGTGACTTTTAAAGGGGACAATTATTAAATATGAAATTGAGCTTCAGAAGGCCAAATGATGTAAACCATCCAAAAGTTTACATCTCCTTGCAGTCTTGTTCATTTCTATTTTAATACTCCATCTTTGAGTCCCATTAAATGTTAGTGTAATGTTATATGTGATTGATGTATGCAGCGGATCCAGTATGCGAAAACGAAGTCCGACTGCCTTGTAGAGGCAGAAGGAATATATGATCCAAATGCAAAGAAAAAGAAGAAACAGGAAGAAAAAGGTGAATAGAAGTTTTAACAGTTCTCTATTTTATTAAATTTAATGAGTTTTATGCATTAGATCATTTTTAATAGCTGTAAGTTCCTGGCTTCTGCACGTTGGTTTATATGTGTATAAAAAGTTAGGAATTGGTGGTCTTGTGAATTATTTGAGTTTATTTCTTAGGTACTGGAACATTCACATTAAAAAGGGGCAAATTAGAATGAGCAAGAAAATATGCTTTTATATGAAGGAGATGATGAAAAACTAATATTCTTGACTGCTCTCTAAAAAGAGAGCAGGACAAACTAGGATTATTAGATCTATAAGGTCAAGTTACATTTTCCTTTTTACCTGGTTAGTTGAGCATATGTTTCTTGAAAGAGGCTCCTAATGTTTTGCTTGGTGATTGATTTACAAAAGAAAAAAGGTATACTACTTGCAGCAAGAACTAATAAATGGTCAATCGCAAGATGTTTTACATGAGAGGGTATCATTTTAAAAGATAAGCCATAAGACAAGAATGGGCATAAGTGTTAAACCTAGATTCCATGTCAATTTCTTGTTTTTGAATTCACCACTCTGATACTGACAAAATAGTTTCTTCTTTAGTTGAGCGAAAGAGACGTGCTGAAGAAGCTCAACAATCTGCTACAGCTAATGGCACAGCTGCTGAGAATAACAGGGGCCCAGTAAGTTGGATTCATTTTAAATTATAGTTATTTTAATGTTTGTCCTTCCATCTTTTCCTCTTGTAGATTGCTACCAACACATATGCTATAATGTTCTTTTAAGAGTGAAGAATATAAGCTTAGGCTTTACATTAATTGAGGCAGAGCTCACCTGTTTAATCTTCTGGTGAATAAAAGGAATTATCAATGATGATTGCTTGATAATTTTACCACTGATATTCTTCAAAATATATATATATATATATTTCCACTTATGTTATCATTTATCGCTATAATTAATGTATCATGGATCCAACTTACAATTTAATATAGTGTGCATGAACTGCTTTACAATTTTATCTGACCAATGCTACTTCTGATGTATTATATTTACTCATCTCCTGTAGGCTTCTTTCCGACAAGGAAACCGGGGTGAACAGGAAACAGTTCCACCAAATAATATACTGTTTATACAGAATTTACCACATGAAACTACTAGCATGATGTTGCAAGTTCTCTTCCAACAATATCCAGGATTCAGGGAAGTCCGAATGATCGAAGCAAAACCAGGTATTGCATTTGTAGAATTTGAGGATGAAGACCAGTCCTTCATGGCCATGCAGGCCCTTCAGGGATTCAAAATTACTCCTCAGAATCCTATGGCTATTACTTATGCCAAGAAGTAATTGTGCATTATTCTAGACTACTACCTTCTGTTTCTTGCGTTGAATCTATAGTTAGAGATGAGACAATCGAAGAATTTATTGCACACAATGGTGATGTTTGATGGACCAACTGTTTGATAAAAATGAGAATATGCTTTTCAAGACACAGATGCTTATGCAAATTGCTATCCATTTTTGTATAATTTGAAGCGTTACGATTTCAAATCACAAGGTAATTTTATGAAACTGTTTTAATTAGTTTTCCTATAATACCTTATTTGAAAAATGGTTCATTTGTGTACTCTATATGTATATTAGTGTTTTTAACTTTTATTTTAGTTTTTCTAGCAGGTAAGGATAAGAGGGAGTCAAATTATATTTTGAAGGGTGGAAATTGAATAATGAAAAATACAATAATACTATTATTTTGTAATTTTTTAGAAAATAAAGAAGTGGGCAATCGGCCCTTTAGCCACGTTCGCCGGGGAAAAGTACTGGTGTTTTGCTTCCGTTGAGAAATGCGCGTAAGAAGGAAATACAAGTGCGTTTCAATGATGGTTGGGAACAGAATGAGGAGTTACAACATGTAAATATAACTAAACTCTTGTTGCACTCACTGTAAATATGACATTATTATTTATTGAATATAATATAAATACATCGGATTTCATTAATTAATTACTTCAAATCAATATAACATAGAATAAAATTATCATAACTAAAATATCACAATTTAAGTTCACTGATTTAATAATAAAATTTTCTTAATATAAATATATCGTATCACATGTTTATATATCTATTTACATTAGCTTTTGAAATTGATGGTTACGTTAAGAGGCGATGGACTATCTATTAAAAAGTATATCCATATTAATTAAATGCAATAATAATTGATTATCATGTACAGAAATATATTAATAATCCAAATTAAATATATAATATATGCTCACAGTAAGATCTTTGAGCAGGAGATTAATTGAATGGAGAGGAGCCAACTTCTCTATTCTCAAGGTAGATTTGTCTAGTGTAAACTCGAAATAAAATTATAAAATAAATAATGAGAAAGCTTTCATTGCCTAAAGAACTTCCTCCTCTCAAAACTGTTCCCAAAATCTCTCTCCCCCTCTCTCTCTCTCTCTCTCTCTGAGCTCTTTATCTCATGTTGCAAGAAAGAAGTAAAATTTCCTTCTTTTCCCAATTGGGTTCCAACATTTTATCCTATTCTATTGTAGACAATAATTTGCTAATTATTCAGTATTTCTCATCTTCTACCTCCAACCTTGATCTCAAACATGGAGAATTCAGGTCGGGTAATAGTGACCATAGGGACTGTGTCAGGCCCTTTCTTCAAAGAAAGCATGGTTTGCCAGTACAAAGACATGATCAGGCCCACCCGTGGTATTTTTCTAGGAGACAATCCTTTCGATTTTACCTTTCCTATTCTTCTTCTTCAAATTTCATTAATCTTTCTCACCACCAGATTCATTTATCTTTTCTTGAAACCTCTTCGACAAAGTATTCTCACTGCAGAAGTTTTGGTAAGCCGTTAATATGTATTGCTTTTATATATATATATATATAAACATACATATAATTCCTTTTGAATGTTTATCAAGACAATCCCTTTTGGAATTCTTCCTTCTGATTATATTTTTGTGATATGATTTGTTCCAATCAGGCTGGAATACTTTTAGGTCCTTCATTTCTATGGCATTATTGTCCAGCTCTAGTGAGAATATTTCCACCAGGAGGCAGGATAATTCTTAACATAATTGCACAGATGGGTCTGATCCTTCATATATTTATACTATCATTACAGATGAATACCAACATAATAAAGCATGCAGGTGCTAGTGAAGCTCTAATTGGTATAACTGGTTTTCTGTTGCCTGCAATAATTGGCTGGTTAACATTCAAAACCTTTATGCAGATAAACGGCGTAGATGAGCGAGTAACTCGTAGCGTTCTTATGATAATTATGCTTCACTCTTTGAGTTCTTTCCCTGTTATCAATAGTCTTCTTATTGATCTAAAAATCCTCAACTCGGATCTTGGTCGTTTTGCTTCTAAGATATGCATGATAAATGATATAAGTTGCTTTGTTGTGAGCGAACTTGCATCCACAGGGTCTACTTTTGCTCGTGAATCCTTTGAGATGGCATTAAGCTATATGATATGTGTTTCTATGTTTCTCCTTGCAGTCGTGTTTATTCTTCGACCATTTATAATATGGATGACAAGATTCGACGAACAAGGACAAACCATGGATGAAATTCACTTCTTTCTAATCTTAACTTCAGTTCTAATTTGTTCTCTTTTATCTGAGATTCTTGGCCAGAATTTTCTCTTTGGACCACTTCTTTTGGGCTTGATTTTGCCGGATGGACCTCCATTAAGTACAGAAATGGAACATAAGCTCCAAGCAGTTACTAATGGATTGTTGCTTCCTTGTTTTTGTGCCTTTAGTGGTTTGAACGTGAACATATTTGCAAGTGAAACTGAAGACTTTCATGGGATGTTCAAAATCATTGTGGTTGTGACCTACATAGCCAAGTTCATAGGCGTCATACTTCCAGCTCTTTGTTGTGGTGTGACCTTTTCTGATGCCTTGTGTCTTGGTTTGATCATGTGCTGCAAAGGCATTATTGAGGTTGCTATGTATGTCAAGTTGGTGGATTCCAAGGTATAAATCAAACTCTTTCTGAATTGTGAATTGTGAATTGTGTTTATGTTTTGTTTTATCATGTTTTTAATTTCATTTCTTTAGTTCAACACTTACTTAATTTCACCCATCATACCACTGACTATACCTCTTATTACATTTGCGTACCAAAATTTCAATTTGTTACGCGAAAATATCATATCTTTAATTTGTGTTTCGCTAAAATGCATCCGTTAATCTAGCCGTTTGATATTAGACGGAATGCTGACATAGGGCGTTAGAACGTAAAAAGTTGCTCTATCAGTCCTACCAAGTCAGACATCAATTAAATCGCTCTCTATTCCATGCAAAAGGTCATTTCTCTCTCTCTTGCCCAAACGTTTCTCTCTCCTACCCATCAGTCTCTTCGTCTTTATCTTTTGAGTTTCAATCTGAACTTTCGTCACTTTCTTTCCTTTCCTCGTTTTCTTTTCCAGCAATGATAGGGACTTTCATCGTTTTCTTCCACCCCACCTTAACAAATAGCTAGAAAAGAACAAAACAACGACCAAAACAACCACAATCACATCTAAAAAAACGTTTAATTTCTTATTACCGCTTCAACTTCTATCTTCTCTTTCTCAATTTTATCTATCTTCTTTAGCAACCCAATTATCACCATTTTCATCCGGAATGCACAACGGGATCTATCCATTCAACAAATCGGTAATAACTCAGTATCTGGAAAGAACGGAGAAGAAATCATTTATAATCATCTCAATGCATTATATCTATGGATCGTTAAAAGACAAAAAATTTACCCCATAATTCACACATTCCAAAAAATGTTGCCAGAATTAATCTCAGCCCATGAGGTTCTCATAATCGCTTCCTGCCCACGTTTACATAAAGTCGAACGACCTCGGTGCATTTCTGAGCTTGAAATGGCTAAGAAAGCCATGAAAGAGGGTTGTGGATGCTTCTTTGGCCGCCGATGAGAGCTTCAGCGAGAGAGAGAGAGAGAGAGAGAAGGAGAGAGAGCAGGAAGAGATGGGTCTTATTGGGAGAAGAGGAAATGGTTTAGTTAGAGAAGAGTAGCACCTTTTTACGTTTCGAACGTGCATGTCCAGCAGTTCCCTCTATATCAAGACGGTAGTACTGACCGTAGGCTTGCCAAATCACAGGTTCCTGACCGGAACCGACGGTTCGACGGTCGAAACCGGTGAACCGAACCGGACGAACGGAACCGGAACTCGGAAATATTCCGGTTGGTTCCGGTTCCAGATTTTCTGGAAACCAGAAACGGCGGTCAGAAACCGGTGGAACCGGTTGGAACCGGCCGTTCTCCGGCGGTTAGAACGCCGGTTCGCACCGGTTCGAACCGGAGGTTCTTATAAAGTTCACACCAAAAAAAAAAAAAAAAATAGCTTCCTTAGACAAAGAAACCAGTCTTACCAACTCTGTCACCCAGACTTAAACACAATAAATATAAACTAACGCTAACCCTACAAAGGGAACAAGTGAAAATGACAATAAAAAAATAAATACATTTCTTCTTTTTATAATTATTGGTGCTGAACGTTGATGTTTTTTTTTTTATTTTATTCTGTGAATCTATTAATTATTCCTCCAATCAGCTATAACGGCTATATAAAGGCTATTTCAAAGGTATTTTTGGAAAAAATTAATTTTTTGATTTATTATTAATTTACTCATTTCAATTATAATTATTACAAAAAATATTTGACTCTTCTATTCTCTCTTACGATATTTTTTAAAATTATATTCAACTTTTTTAACAAAAAATAATTCATTGAAGAAATTTTTTTTGGTAAATAATTATATTCAAGTCTTTAAAAATAAATTTTAATTTGTAGAATTTTTTAATTTTTTAGGTGTATCTTTTTTTACAAAATAACTTTCACAATTTATTAAATTATTGAAAGACCGGTCTTAAATTTAAAATTTAAAATTATGTGATTCACCGGAAAATAGAGTCGTAACGTCGGTTTTTTACCGGACCGAAACCCGGAACGGAACAGGAACCGGACTTTTTCGTTCGGTTCCGGTGTCGTTTTTTTGGAAACGGTGAACGCCGGTTTGGAACGGAACCTGCCGGTTCCGGAACCGTCACCGTAGACTGACGATTTATTTTAGCGAATACAAATAAAGATTTTATATTTTATGCGTGACTTTTTCGGTTCGGTTCCGGTTCCAGTTTTTTTGGAACCGGAACCGCCGGTTCTGGAACCGGAACCGCCGGTTCCGGAACCGTGGCCACCCCTAGACTGACGGATTTATTTTAGCGAAATACAAATTAAAGATTTTATATTTTTGCGTGAAATTTTAGTATACCAATATAATAGGGGTGTCATCCAGGTACGGTGAGTGAAATTAAGCCTTCAACGCTTAGCATAACTGTAAAACATGTGTGCTATATTTGGTACACTGTGATAGAACATAATGTAACATAATTGAGGCATTTATAGTGTAATGTTATCCTTAAGATGCTTTATGATTACATTATATTACGTTTCATTCCGGCTTACCAAACGGAGCTTTTTTATATTTACGTATATATACAGGTACTGGACGTCCATTCCTTTAACTTTCTGCTTGTCTCATTGCTGATTGTGACTGGATTTGCTAGACCTATTGTTTCTTATCTGTATGATCCATCTAAGAGGTACAAAACAGTAAGTAGAAGGACCATTCAAGGCTCAAACTACCACTTGCAGCTAAGAGTATTAGTTTGTATTTACAACGAAGAAAATGTTCCTATGATCATCAACCTCCTTAAAGCTTGTAATCCTACCAGATACAATTGTATTACTGTCTTTGTCTTGCAACTCATGAAGCTTAGTGGTCGAGCATCAGCAATACTCATGCCTCATCACCAATTAGACAACCTCAATTTAACTGCAGGATACAATTCATTGCACATTGTTAATGCCTTCGAGCGTCTCGAACAGGAATATACGGGGAGTGTTTTAGTGCAACACTTCACTGCTATATCACCATACAAAAGCATGCATACTGATATATGCACAGTTGCGTCAGATAAAAGGACAACTATAATAATTTTACCCTTTCATAAGAGATGGGGTATTGATGGAAGAATAGGATCGGTTAATTCCTCTATTAGGCGTGTCAATAAGCATGTAATGGAATGGGCTCCTTGTTCTGTTGGATTGTTCATCGATCGAGGAGAAATGGGTATAAACCAAACTGTACTAACAAGCTATTCATTGTATCAGATAGCGATGCTGTTCTTCGGTGGGGATGATGATTGTGAAGCAATTGCTCTTAGTATACGAATGGCCGGGCATCACCAAGTGAAAGTTACAGTGATTTTGTTCAAACACGAAGATTATAGTTACGACGAAAAGGAAAAAGACATAGAGTATTTGCTAGAAAATTTTGCTGATATAGAGTGCAGGGAAAGGATACATTTTGAGAAGGTGATGGTGAGACATGGTGAAGATACAGCAAAAGTTATGCGTTCTTTACGAGATGCTTTTGATTTAGCAATAGTTGGAAGACATAGTGATCCTCATTCTCCAATTATAATGGGATTAACAGAATGGAATGAGGATCCTGCTCATCTTGGTGTCATAGGAGACATTTTATCTTCTTCAGATTTCAGATTTTCAGTATTGGTGGTAGTTCAACAACCATTAAAAAGTGAATTCAAGTTAAGTAGTAGTAGCAAATCCTTAGATTCAAAGGTGTCCTCTAACTTCTCTAAAGAAGATGAATAGGAACCCATGAATAAAAAATAGTTTTTTCTTTTTTTTTTCTCTCCCTTTTTTAGAACTGTATTTGATTAGAATCTAGCTACAATAATTAATTAAACAATTCTATATGGAATTCAATAGTTTAATACAAAGATCGATGCTCGTCACTTTGAGATATAACCTTCTTGTTTTGCATTTTTTTTTCACATTCATCCAATTTTCATATTTTCAATTGAATCAGACGTTTTGTGAGAACAAAATACTTTTTCCTTTTTTATCTTTTTTGCATGAACTCACAATTTAAATATTGAACATAATAAGATCAACTATCATTTTGAAAGGGTTGAACAAGAAATAAAATTCTTGAACAAGTTCAAAATCCCATCCCTCTATTCTCATTGCAGCCTAAAGAATAAGGGAATTAGTTACAAATCACATCCCTTTGGCAGCCACAACTAGCAACAGAAAACAAATAAAAATGAAATAAAATAAAAAGGCATCAAAGCAAAGAAGACTCAAAATTTTGCTAATTGCTAATTATAATTGGATTTTTATGCTCAATTATTATATTTACTTTTGAGTTTATTTATTTATCCTCAATGTTAGTTAATAAAGGGCCATAATTTGGGGATTTTGAATAACAATGACAGCTATTATTATTATTATTATTATTATTATTATTATTATTATTATTATTATTATTATTACAATGGACTAAAAATTATTGTTAGTTATACAGTAAGAGGTAGTTTTCCCATTTGATTAACATTTAATAAATTAGTGAGATTCCTCGTATCTTGTACATGATATAAGGAGATAAATCAAAGTACTTGATCGACGAAAGAATAATTTTTTTAAAATTAAAAGGACATCTTTCAAACAAACACATAAAAAAGGAGAAAATCTCTGGATATAACAAGAAATTAGATTTTTTTCAATTTTTTTTAGTATCTATCAAAAGAAGTTTCAATAATATAACAAATGCACGTACAATTGACAATTAACTATGAATATTATATGAAATAATGCACAACTGAGCTACTCCTTTCTATAGCCATAAAATAAATCTCCTATAACTTCTTAACTAGATTCTGTTATGAAATGACAGTATACAACCATCCACTTGGAAATTAACAAATGAAATTATTGTTATTACATATTGGAAATTAGTTCAAAACTTTGATAGCCATGTATAATTTAATTTAAAACATAAACAAGAAAACATCTTCAACAACTTTTGGATGCTATTTTGCATATTTCAGTTGTTGAGCAGAAAACAGAATATAAACATTAGTACTGAAAATTTGGTGGCTAAACTCTGTAAAGATAATATAAAAGGCGTAGTTATTCTTTTCCTTTCTAACCATACTTCTCATTCTCATTTTGTTTTCATTTTCTTTACCATTCTGCATATGCAAAAGATCATCATAAAATAAGGATTCTTGTGTATTGAGCACCAAAAAATAAGAACAGAAGCAAAGAACAGAAATTGGCATCAATGAAACTTGCAGCAAATCAAAAACTTATATGCACTGAATTACCACCAAATGTTAATTCCAATGGTATTTGGGAGAATCTAAAATCTCCTCCAGTTTTTGAGTATCAATTGCCATTGTTACAGTTGCAGATTCTTCTAATTTTCTCTATCACCCAAGGTTGTCATTTGATTCTCAAGCATTTTGGGATCCCTGTAATCGTCTCACAAATTCTTGTACGTAGTTTCCTTCCCTTTTTTTTTTTTTTTTTTTTTTTTTTTTTTTTTTTTTTTTTTTTTTTTTTTTTTTTCATTACGTTTTTTTTTTTTTTTTTTTTTTTTTTTTTTTCATTACGAGTCATTTGAAATCTTTCCTTTGAAAATTTAATAATAAAGCAATGCAGGCAATGAAATATATTATTTATCTGTGTGCAGGCTGGGATAATTCTTGGTCCTTCTTTACTTGGAAGCAACACCAAATTCAAAGAAACTGTATTTACGATTGAAAGCCAAGATATATTAGGCACAATAGCCAGTTTAGGTTACACGTTGTTCATCTTTCTATGTGGGGTGAAGATGGATTTAAGTATGATATCTAAAACAGGAAGAAAAGCTTGTGGGATTGGTTTTTTATCTGTGACTGTGCCTTTGGTTCTTGGCCTTGGAATTGAAGTAGCCTTGGAAAAATCTTGGTTAGGAAAAGATTTACCAGATAAACTTTACATAGTAACATCAGTACTTTGTGCAACTCCATTCGCAGTTGTCGCAACCCTTTTGAGCGATCTCGAGATTCTAAATTCAGAACTTGGTCGATTAGGATTATCTGCTGCTATGATTGGTGAAATGGGTACAGTTGGACTTTTTACTTTAGCAACTTTAATTACAGTGGTAAAAGTGATTTCCGTTGGGATGGCTTTTAGAACCCTAGTTTCTATTCTTGCTTATGTTATTCTTGCCATTTTCATCATTCGACCTGCGATGTTTTGGATTGTGCGACAAACACCAAAAGGAAGACCAGTTAAGGATATATACATCATTATGATTGTTATAATGTTTTTTGTAAGTGGAATTTTGTCCAACTCATTTGGCCAACAGATTTACTTTGGACCTTTTATTCTTGGTTTGGCTGTACCAGATGGACCGCCATTAGGATCTGCTGTTGTAGAGAAACTTGATTGTATAGTTTCAGGAATTTTTCTACCACTATTTGTTACTACATCAGCTATGAGAGCTAAGTTTGGAAGTCTTACGATGAACAAAAATTTGCTGACAGTTGAAGCAATTCTAATCTTTGTGACTTTGATTGCAAAAATACTGTCATGTCTCGCAGCTTCAGTTTATTGTAAAATGCCTTTGAATGATTCTTTTGCACTAGCCCTCATCATGAGCTGCAAAGGCATCGTAGAGTTGGCAACTTATAATACTTTAAGAGATAGTCAGGTAATTTTATATTACAAACAGTATAAGAACGAGCTCATCAGCCATTAAATTTTTGAAATTTAGTAATTGATAAGTTTGTTTTTATATAATGTCGAAACATTTATATATCTCGCAATTCTATATATTCTACATTTTTCTCTTATTATAATAACAGAACTTTCATCTCAATTCCTTGCAGGATATTAATGAAACCACTTTTACTTTGCTACTCACAGGCGTTCTAGTCACGGCAAGTATTTTTCCTGTCATTGTGAGAAAACTTTATGACCCATCAAGGAAATATGCTGGTTATCAGAAAAGAAACATCATGAATTTAAAACCGGACTCAGAATTACGTATTCTGATGTGTCTTCATAGTCCTGATGATATCACTTCCGCAATTAATCTTCTTGATGCCTCAGGTCCAACCCGTGATAGCCCTATGACTGTTACTATTCTTCACCTTATAAAGCTAATTGGCCGAGCTTATCCAATCTTTATATCCCATAACATTCAGATCAAAAGTGACATTGCTTCTCTGATAATATCATAGTCTCATTTAATCAATACCAACAAAGGAAAATGGGAGCTGTATCAGTAAACACATTCACAGCAGTTTCTCCACCAAAATTAATGCATGAAGATATATGCACACTTGCATTAGACAAACTTACATCCCTTATAGTCCTTCCATTCCATCGAAATTGGTCTATTGATGGTAGTCTCGTTTCAGAAGATATATCCATTAGAGCCCTTAACTATAATATCCTAGAACGAGCTCCTTGCTCTGTGGGAATCTTGGTTAACCGCGGTAATCTTAGACGAACAAAACAATCAGAGCATTCACGGGTTGCTATCATTTTCTTAGGAGGAAATGATGATAGAGAAGCATTGGCATTTGCTAAACGTATGAGTAATGGCTCTAACATTACCATGACAATTGTTCGACTCATCGCGAAAGAGGAGGATCAAAGTAGTCTAGTAACTTGGGAACAAATTCTTGATTCTGAGGCATTGAAGGATCTTAAACCTAATGGTATTACAAATCAAGATGTTAAATTTATACAAGTAGAGGTGAAAGATGGACCTCAAACTGCATATTTGTTAAGAGAAATGGCTAATCAGTATGATCTTATTATAGTGGGTAGACGCAATGGCGTAGAATGTGCACAAACAAGCGGACTTTCTCAATGGAGTGAATTTCCTGAATTGGGTGTTATAGGAGATTTACTAGCTTCAAGTGATCTTAATGGCAAGGCTTCAATCTTAGTTGTACAGCAACAACAACAATTAACTTAGTTTTTAGTTCATTACCGTAAAGAAATTTGCAGTTTCTTTCAATGTAATGTTGTTAGATTAATCATTATATATTGTGAAATTTATGGATGAAAATCATTCCACAATACTTATGTTATGAACCCAATGCATGCTTAAAAAAAATGAAATTTTAATATATAAATATGAAAAATCTAATAGATAAATCTTTGCAGTTCCATCAACTTAATAGATATATTCCTTCACCAACATGTAACGCCTGCTTCGATCAACGATAATAAAGTATGTGTATATCTACACGAATTTTACGTATAAAGTCATATAAATCGTTATTATTAAAAGAGTTTCACGAGTATATCAGCCTAAAAAAAATAATTTTTTTAAAAACTCAATAGAATCAATTAAATTATAAATTCTCGACGAACAAAAAATATATAACTTAGGGGACAATTTAAATTTTACTTTAATTATATTATTTAAATTTGGATGTGCTCAAAAAATATTAAAAAATTATTTGAAGAAACTAAATTAAAAAATGAAATTCATAAGTCCAACAATTGAAGTGAATGGCTGGATGCGTCTCCGATCTAGAGAGGGAGAGAGAGATTAGCCTCCAGTAATTGGCGACTAAGAAATGCGATCCCTTTTGTCCTGCTAGCGTTGCACAAGGCTCGATGCTAGTTACTAGTTCACTTCATGGGGATCTCCAACCTAATTTATTTAATTAATTCATTTAATTACATGTTTGGTGTTTTAATTCATAATTAATAGACAGCTCATATATCAAACCCATGGTTTGGTTAGTTGAACTAATGGTTTGAACCCATCAACAGACTTAAAATGGAAATTGCAATCAATCCTCTCAAATTTTAGGGTTTCCACAATTCTAGTTTGCACGTAATTACGCTTTTTTTTTTTTTATTACGAAAATAATTGATTTCAATTCTAAAAACAAGAATTAAAATTAATTTGTATTCACCTATTTTGATCAAATTTAAAATTAAAATTTCAAAACTGATTTCACGTCTAAACTTTTCTTCATGATTCATTTTAATTTGATTTTCGAAGCAAATCAAACCAATGGCTATCCTCAACATTAAACTATTTAAAAACGAGTAATGTGTAAATGTGCTTTAGTTAATTAACTTATAATTAATGGTGATTTTCCCAAAGTAGATTTGTAAAAGCTAAGAATGGTGGATCTTGCGATGAGCAAAAATTTAAAAAAAAATAATAATAAAATTAATAAATAAGAAATTTGTAAACTAAAACCAAAGAAGGGATGTTAATAAAATAAGAGGGAATGCATGTGAAGACTGAGTTATACGATAAAATGTTTACGAGGATTTGCCAGCTCCTTTGCTTTTATTTTTCTCTACCTTGTCTTTGTCGCTATTTGAGGACTTTTGGATTTATATGCTATTAATAATACGAGCCCGTATGGCCTTTGTCTCCATATATTTAATAATAATAATAATAATAAATGTTTATGCTAAAATTAACAAATAAATGTTATTAATTTCTTAATTATAAATCAACAGAGATATAGTAAGAATTAAGCATGAACTCATTTTAAAAACAGTTAAAGAGTATAATTTATTTAATTAATTAGAATATATTCAATTGGCATTGCTTAACTTATTTTTAATTGGGCGATGCTACGTAATACAATTAAATAAAAATTTTTATAATATATATGGTAGCGTTCTCCTTAGAACGACAATCACTAAATTCAAACTCAAAATTTTCCGTCTCTGCTTGTTTATTTATTAATATTGTCCAAAATTCCCTCTATTTGTTGGGTAATGCCTAATCAAATGAATTAGCAGTGTTTGACCTTATGAAATTGACAGCTTACAAATAATTAGTTAGAGAATAACATAATATATAGAAATCCTACTTTGTTTCATTTAATGTTAAAAAATCTTTCCTCTAAAAACAAATGGTCTCCATTCTAAGTGGCATGACACTTTGTCTAATTACATTACATTATCATAATAATCTAATCTAAAACATATTTTCTATGTATTAGTTGGACAATCAAGGTCAGCTCTAAAACTCATATAAAAATATCATAAAATTAATGTTAATTAAGCCAATTTAATCACTCCAATCATTCAACTACTACTTCTCTCATCCATTAATATAAGTCGTTTAAAATTGTTATATAGTAATTAAAATAATATTTAATTCTCCTAAATTATAGCAAAATGTTTACTAACTTGATTGAATTATCAATTAATTAAAAAATTACAGAAATAATTATTATATTTAATATAAATAAAAATAAAATTGAAAAAACATCATTAATTACTCTTTAATATTTTATTTCTAGAAAAAAATATCTTAAAACGATTTATATTTATAGACAAAAGAGTAATTTTGAAAAATAAACTAAATTACCTAGTATTTTTACACACATGTTAGGGTTATAGTTTATAAACAAAATAGATTTAGATAAATTATATGAAAATGAACTTGTAATTTGAACACTAAGTAATAATTTAGTGATAAATACGTATACGACCTGCCAATAGTTTTGGTTTTTAAATTCTCCTTCCCTGATAATTAATAATAAATCATTAAGCGAAAGTTTTTTTTTTTTTTTGGGTCTAAATCTTTTTTTTTTTCTCTAGAAAATTGAAAGGAATTGTTATTTATGAACGAATTGTTCTCAAATCTCAAGTACAAAATTATAATTAAAACGAATTGTTGAGGAATCAATCTCCTCATTATAATTAAAACTCAAATTTAGGGCACAAAATTATTTCAAATCATAATTGCAATGAAATTAGTAAAAAAAAACAAAAAAACAGAACATATTTACTTACAATTTTCTCTATGAGATTCATACAATTTCTCATTTAGTCCAAACGATATCGATTTCTCTTGCTTCTATATTCAAACGGATCAAGATCTGATCCACAGTGAAAATTCAGAGTCTGCAACTATTACCCGCAGACCGAAACATTAAAAAAAAAAAAAGAAAAAAACTTATCCACAATTCCAATAACCCCACGTACAATAAAAAAACGTCCCCATTGCATAATTGTACCGGGGATGTCAGATTCCGACACCGGAAAAAAATGTTAGTCTTCGGATATGCTCTGGAGATTAGGCCGCCATACTCCGACACGACCAGTCCGGCGGTCACCACGACGTGAAGATTTTTTTGATGATGAGATAATATCAGTTAAATAACGGTCACAATCTGATATATGATTGTCTTCTGTAGAACTTGTAGTAGTGTTGCATTTTTTGGTCTTCTTGAAGGATTTCTTGGCTGCTTGCTGCTTCTTCTTCTCCGGCAAGGTAGATGCCGGAATAAGGAAGTATATGCTGCCTCTTTTGAGCTCAGATTCCGGCGAAAGGATTAAGATTTTGCGGGTAACTCCTTGAGAACAAGGTTTGCTCAAAACATGATTAGGGTGGGCTTTAAGAACCTCACTAGCAGTGATTGGGCGAGTTATCTCCTCAACGTAGCCGTTTAAATGAACTATACGGATCAAATCTAAGGCTCCACAAGGAAGAACACAAGCCAAACAGCACCTTAAGCTATTACCCATTTCTCTTTCTCTCTGTCTCTCTTTCCTTGGTAAGGGTGTGATCAAAGACTTGATTAGCTTATATATATATATAGAATCAGCTTTAGTTGTAAATACAAACAAAGAAAATAAATTTATATTTATTTCTAAATTACCAAAATGTCCTGAGAGTGACTAATAAATCTGTGGTTTGTTACCTTCTTTTTGATTGCCTTGTCTTAGTAGTTGATATTTTTTTTTCCTTTAGAATCAAGTACGGGCCAGCAGTTCTCGCTTTCTAATTGAGAATGGAACCAAATTAATTTATTTTAATTGAATTTAGATAATTATTTTAAAAATTCAATTATCAGTCGATTTAGATATATAAAATCATTTGGTTTTCGATTTTTAATTTAGTTATTATATATAATTAACTAAATTTATTTTTAGATCTAAATTAGTTTATTTCGTTTGGATAACTAAATTCAAATCGAACCAAATTGATTTAATTATATAGTTTGGATCGATTATCATACCATTTAATTTCGAATATAAATTTCATCAAAACATATTTAGATGAATCGAAATTGAACTAATTCGATTTATTTAATCGAATATTCGCCCCTATAGTCAAGAGATTATTCTCTATTCAAACTGTAGATCACGAAGGTTTTTGTCATTACATTCAGTAGTTATAATCTGTTCCTTGCTGAGATGGAGGTAATTTACCATCTCTTTTGTTTTAAATGATTAGAAAACTTAATTTGAAATTAATGGGTCCCACATACATGACTCAATAACAATGGCTTGAAGGACTCAAAGGAGTGGTTAGGTACGGAATGGAACTCCAAAAGTACATGTTCATTACAAGGTCTTTGAGCCATGATTATATCACACCCGGTAACCAAATTCTAGCTCACTGTTACATTTGGGATCACATTGCCTGGACTGAATTTTAAATATTAAATTTAAATTATCAATTTATTTAACTGAATAATTAAAAATTATACCTAATATACCCTCGCTATGAATCAAGTAAATATCAATCGTATTTATTTTATTATATATATACGTAGTGCTTCTACGATTATTGATATCTTTATATTAAAAATAATATTAATCATATCGATTTATATTTCAATACGGCTCACCAAATAGCTTAAAATCACCAACACCATTAAATTTTATTGCTTCCTTTTGCAAAATATATAAACTTTTAAAATATTTGGGATCTATTTATATGTTTTTGTAATATATATATATATATATATAATATTTATGTATAAAATATTTTAAAAATTTGAACGACTACTGTCCCTTATCGCCCTAGTTATATTACAGTTAGTTTTCTGCTGTCATTTGATTTGTTGGCTGATTGACGTTGATTTGGGTCGCTAATTTAGGAATTTCTATGTAAATATATTTTCTTTTCCTTGTTTGTTTGATTTTGTTCTATTTTGGTAGTTTAGCTTTTATTAGGAGAATATTTTGATAGCTGTATATATTGTATATATTTTGATCTTTCCGGAGGAATGAAAGGCAATTCTCTCTTTCCAAGAAACCTATAGTTTGTTCAAGTTACACCTTTAATTAGATACTAGATACATATAAAATTTTAAAAGAAGTTTTTTTTTTAAAGTGAAAAGGACAATATTAAGATTTATATTTTTCATTATTCTATTAATTAAATAAATATTGATCAATAAATTATATTTTCAACAATATACCAAAAAAATATATAAAACATCTTAATTTATTTTTCTAATAAAAATTGTATTACAACCTGATATAAAATAAGCAATAGAGAAAAAAAAAAATCAATAAATCCACTTTATAGGTTATTAGGAATATTGGTTGAGGACACATTGGCCCTTGATAATTTGCAAGACAACTAAGTTTGCTTTATGAGATGTGATGTGAAAGCAATATAATAAATTAATAATAGCTGGTTTTTATTTCTTTTTTTTAATAATATATTCATGTTAATTTTTATTGCAATCTAATAATGGATGAAGATAAAAGCCTCGGCTCGGTAAAATTAGTAAAATTATATATTTTGATACTATTAATTATTTTAATAGTGATTAATTATTAATTATTTTAATAATTTTTTATGAAGAAAAAATTTTATCTAAATCCGGTCTATAACTCTATATCTCATTAAATAAATTGAATAAATAATTTAAATTATTTAAATTATAAATTTAACTTTTATTTAGAATTAGTTGAATTTTAAAATTTAACATAATATCATATTTTATATATAATACTTCTCCCTCTTCCTCAATTCTTTCGTATTGAAGTCTTTGTTGAAGAAGATCATGACAACACGAAATTGAACTATTGGCAGAACCAAAAGAAGATGGAGAAGATGAAGTGGAATCAGGATCGAAAACGTTGGATCACAAAAGACGAAATTTTGTTTATTTATTTATTTTAATTTTATATTTTGTGCAAATTCTTTATTATTGAGTTATCAAGTAGCGCTCTTAATAACTCAAAGCAATTGAAAACCTTGGATCACCAAGGATATTGGAACTTTGTCTGTTTATTTATTTTATTTTATATTTTGTATATAAATTATAATTTTTTTTTTGAAATCAAGAAGTGACGCACCCATTTTGGATCCACGGATAGGGTGTAAAATAATTTTGTTCATGTGATTTTTAAGCATTAATTGAAACATATTGAAAAAAAAGTAAATATATAATAATTAAAAAAATAAATATATTATAAAAAATAAACATATTACTCAAAAGTTTTGCTGATTCTCTTGAATTTAGTTAAATATCATGACTTTATATATTTAAATTTTACATTTTTATACTATTAAATATTTTTAAAAAATAATATATAATATGACAACAAAATAATCATGCTATCTAGTTATTTAATTTTATTTCCTAAACAAATCTAATTTTCTTATCTATTACAACTTTTTATCATGTATAGATTTTGTTTTTTGGATAAATTATTATTTAGTCCAACAAGTGCAAATCACGTAAATGCATTCATATATTTTTTGAAAAGGTAAGAATTGATTTCACCAAATAAATTGTAATTCATTAAACTAAAGATATTATATATTTTTTATTTTTTTTAATGAAAATTATGGACATAAATCACTGTCAGCTCAATCCTTACGAGTTTCAGTCATCGTCCTTAGGAATCTCTTGAACTTGATGTTATTATTAGCTACTTTAATTGTCCCATTTGCTTGAGGACAATAATGAGATGATTTGATTTTTCAAGTAAGAAGCCTGTTTATAAAAAAATAAAAAATAAAAAAATAAAAGTACAAGGCCTTTATCTGTGATTTTTAATTATTTATTTTAATTTTTAATAGACAAAACTGTCTGTAACCACTTCAAATAAACAGGCTTAGCTGGCACCAAAAAAAAAATTATTAAATTCAATTGCGTGTGGCAGACATAAAAATATGTATATTTCTTTTGGTAGCTCACTTTCAGAATCTTCATGTCATTTATTGAATTTTTATATATAAAATTTTCGTTTGGTGAATTAATTATTCTGTACCTTATTGTTGTTGTTTTTTTCTGCTGTTGAAGCAGAATTTTATTTTATTTTATTTTACCGTATCTAAATATCTAAAATTAAAAATTTAATTGATAAAAGTAATCTGAATTTTGCGACTTGTTTAATATTTTGATGAGGTATATCTTAATTTATAAATTAATTTCACTCTATAATTAAGATAGAGTGTAATCGCAACGAAACTCAAAATTCAAAGTATTTTTACGCTTCAATATATACAAATAATTCAAAAGTTATTTTTATCGGCTTCAATATATATATATAATATATAATTATATATATATATATATATATATATATATAATGTAAGCTCTTTTTCTTATAATAGAATGAAAATTAATAAAAAATTAACATATCTAATTTATTTATATGTGAAAATTAAATCTTATATAATGTAAGCTCTTTTTCTTATAATAGAATGAAAATTAATAAAAAAATTAAACATATCTAAATTTTAGTTTATATGTGAAAATTAAATCTTTATTAAGAAAAATAAAAAATTTCTATATAATTAATTTGTTGTAAATAGACGAATAATCAAGTACAACTAAAAGTTTATTTATATATGAAAATTTAATTCTTATCGAGTAAAATATTGATATACACCTTGGATGTTTCCAAGTCAATTATGAACTAAAAAGAACAATAAAATGTAATTTAATTTTAAAAAATATATAATTTAACCGCTCAAATAATTATGGTAATATACATTAATTTGTAAAAAAATATAAATTAATTAATTATTCTAGGATGTAAAAGTACTATGAAATTTTTATATTATTGTAATTAAATCATATTTTCAATTATACAACGAAATTAATTATTTTACAGTGTAAAAATATCTTGAGCTTATGTAGAAAAATATTACTTTATAGTGTATATATACAAGGGAAAAAATATACGTACACCTTAATTATAATATTTATTATAAATATATATATATCTGTAAATTGTATGTCAAATAAAACATTATAAGACTATATATTATCAAAACCTTCATCCTCCTCCAAGCATGCTGATGCTTCATGTTAGAAAATTAACGGTCATATATATAGTTAAATACTTACTGACAATAACTGTTACTTTCTCTATAATTATAAATAGTTTAATTACTAATTTTAGTAATTTTATTATCCATTGAATATAGCATTTCCACAGGACGAAGCATCGTGGCACGGAGGTTTCCGGCACCGACCTAAAAAACGGACAACGTGAAAATGATTTTTAAGGAAACGCACGAGGTCGGCTTAGTTCAAGATTCTGAATGTTGTTAGATATTGATAAACATGGTTTCTAGCTTGCTATAATTGAACAACGTGAGTCAAGTCTGTCTTGAAGCTAAAACCTAGGTGGAACCCTAATTTTTTAATCTTGAGTTAGTTGATTATCGCTAATCATCATTACTTGCTGTTTGAGTATATGATTAGTAGCTAACCGTAGTACTTTTCTTTGCTATTGTTTATTCTTATTTAAAATTATTACTACTCCCTAAGGATATGGAGATTATTTAAGTTTGATGAACTTGTTTAGATAGGAAGTTTTGTCTTTTCTTTATTATTTTTTTTAATTTTTTTTCTTTGTTTCAGGCTCGATCTGATCTGAGTAGATTAGGGTTTAGGCTTTTCTTGAAGATGGTGGATACCAGCATATGCAAATGTTCCATTTTTGTATTATTTCAAGTCCAGTTAATCCTATTCAATTAAATATTACATTTTTTTAAATATATTTTTACATATTTAATTATTTGATTTATTAATATTTTTTGTTTGGCTCGCACTAGATTTAAAGACTTCTTTTTTTCCATCTAATTTGATTTATCGTTTTTTAAAAGTTATTCCATCTAAAATTATCGGTTTTTTTGAGAAGTTATTATCTATCTTATCACCTATTTTTTCTCTCAACCGATTAAGAAAGAGAGAGTGTTTTTGAAATTAGAGTAATTAAATGAAATAAAAAGTAATTTAGTCAAATTAAAAAGTGTTTTGTCATCATTTAGGTAATTTAATCGTTTGCCTAATTAGTATGCAAAAACTTTAAATGACAAAAAGAATGTATGGATAGAGCATTACGTTTTTGACCTGATGTGGTAAAATAAAATTTTCTAATATTAAGAGTTTCAGGTCTCGTATTCTTGACTTTACAGATAAAATTCACTTAGAAAAAAAATTATTTCTATTAATTCGATCCAACGGTCTTTTTACTTATTTTTATAAATCTAAAACTAATTAATTTTAAGAACTCGATGCACAGATTCTATGCTGAAATTCGAATATGATTCATTGCATCCAATTGAAATTAATTTAATTGTAATAAGAAATGTGCACTCAATTTATTATTAGGATTATTAATTTATTTATTTACACATTGGAATTTTGAAGTTACCAAACCCAGAATTCAATTAGATATGATTCACACGTGCGAGTCAGCTTAATTATTTCTTCACCAATTTAACCAATAATGGACTTGAAGAAAAAGGTTTTCAAAAAAATAAAAAGAAAAGTGACGGAGAAAAGTTTCTCAATTCTGTCACGGTCCAATCTCAAGATTACATTGAATCATATTCCACCATGTATGCCTTTCTCCAATAAGAAAATGGCTAAATCACTAAATAAAAAAAACTTCAACGTTTTTGGTAAATTTTAGTTAATATTTTTAATTTTGACAATCACTGCTTCAGATTTATTTTTCGTTATCAATTACGGTCTCTATCCAAAGTATTTTAGTTTGTTGCTTATTTGATCATTACTCTATTATTTGGTCCCACAACACGCCAGTTTACATCCACATGTCTATTCTTTAGTCTTTCATCATTACTTTTAGAATCTTTAATTGAAAGATTGTATCGGTGAGATAATATTCTTTTCATCTCATCACAAGCTTAAAAGAATTTGATATGGTTTTACAATTAATGTACTTTTGATGGACCCTCAGTGAGTAACTTACACTGTCAACAATCACAAGGTTCACAAAGTAAGTTTCTTCACTTTTAGAATTGCATCGCTCGACTATACCCGATCAGACTCTAGATGGAAATCAAAATTGACAATAAAAAATAAGTACAGAGCATTGATTGGTAAAATTAAAAATATGACCAAATTTAAAAAAAAAAAAAAAACTCAAAAGTTCAAAATTTTTTTTTTGGTGATTATGCCAAAGAAAAAAAATACTAGAAGAAAAAATTTTCAAACTCCAAACCTCAATTTGACATTAAAATATAACTAATAATTATTCAAAATGATTTTGAGCAATCATCCATACAATACAAACCAACACTATAGTGTTTGAAGTTGGAATTTGGTCCATAAAGTCCCACAATATTTGGTGAAATGTCAAGTTCCACAAATCTAAATATGTGAAGGAGATATAATTTTTGCCCCATCTAAATAAATAATAAATAATGGTAGGTTGGTAAGATCAAAATTAATATTATATTAGTATGTTTGAGAGGCTATTTTTCATTTTGATAATGAGGACTAAGGAGTAAGGACCCATTATAGGATTATGTGGTGTGAGAAAGAGCTTGCAATATAAAAGCAAACCTCACCCTAAATGGGAAAAACAAAAATGCATATTGTTCAATTTGGCCCTATTTCTTTTTGCTTTTTCATTTCTTTTTTTTTTTTTTTTGGACATTACAACAAGATAAATATATCAGCACAAATATGGCTAGTGTATGCACAAAGATTACAAATAGAAAAATTCCTAAAAGTTGTTGGATTTTTAGTGGCTGGACACAATTTCATTTTTGATGGATTACTTTTTTTGTGTGTAAACCACGGTATCCAGAACCTATTGTTGGAGTATGTGGGTAATCGCACATCGGATAATACAACTAACTAAAACGGCATATAATGTGAAGGGTGAATCAACCAAAATGGCTGAGGCCATTTTGTATTAAAGCTAAGCCCAACTCATTATAAGCTTAATATTAAATATATAATTGAATTTGATATGATTAATTTGCTCCTAGGGCCGAAATTCTCAACACATATTACTAAGGACTGACTAAATTCAACTTGAGCTTTGTCACAGTTAAAGATTTCCATCATTCCCTACAAATGTGTTTAGTAGGGATCGAACTCGAGAGCTCTTCTTTTATGCCTAATCTGCGTAACTAAGCCATGACCCATATGTTGATGGATGACTTATTTTTGATATCAAGTGACAATCAATTATTTTTTTTCTAATGAACATATAATAGCTAACCATATTAAAATTTATTGGCCCATGTATATATCACCTTTTAAGTAGATGAGTGTTGAAACCACTTTAAACAAAATCAATTTGCTTGTGCTAGGTTTACCTCCTATTCAAACAATTAGTTTATCGGAATCCTTTCACTCTCGAGTACTCAAGGAGGATTGGGATCGGGTCTATTGACCACCTATTCAAACAATAATAATAATAATAATAATAATCCTACAAGATTTTTGAATCGGTTCAGTTTGGTAATTCAAATTTTCCGAACTGTGCTCTGAACTATTAAACAATCATTCAATCAATTGACTTAAAAAAAATCACTGCATAGAACAAGAAAATATTATGAAAGGGTAATTAAGGTGTTGAGGAAGTGAAAAAAGGAATGAGATCTTTGATTAAGTAATCAGAAAGATAGTTGTAGGCTGCTTGGGTGGGATGAACACTATCCCAAAACACGAATTGGTCAGCAATTCCACATGTTGGAGTTTCTTCGTTGCATAAGGCTGCTGCTTCCACTAGCCCCGTCCCGCAGCATCCTTTGCTCGTTTCCATGAAACCTGTCAATATCGTTTCATCACACGACAACACAAGTCACTATTGCATTTCTCAAATTTCACCAAATTATTCAATTTCTCATATTTATATCTCATGGAGTATAAATATCGGGAAAATTATAGTACGATACTTGTGGTTTGCAAAATACAACTAGTCCGTCCATGTTTTTTAGAAAATAGGTTAATATGTTTTGATAGTTTACTTCCATCAAACTATGAGGTCATTTCGTCTAATTTTTTTACATCTTTTCAGTTAAGTATCTTATGAAACGACGAAAATGCTCCTTTTATTTTTAAAAATATATGGACGGATTAATTGTATTTTTCAAACCATAGGAACTAAACTGTAATTTTCTGCTATAATATTTTACTATCTCTATTTTGACTTATGTGTTTTCTTATTAACTTAACTGAAAAAATGTAAAAATTGGACAAAATGATCTAATAGTATAATGGAAATAAAATATAAAGACAAATTAGTATACTTTAAAAAAGACATGAATGAACTAATTGTGTTTTACAAACCATAAAGATTATAGTATAATTTTTTCATAAATATTTATCAGGAACTGAACAATAACTTATATAAAGAACTTATATAAGTTAGTGTACCAATTAAGATGTTCCGATGGAATCATTATTAAGAATATCTTTAATGCTAATATGGATTGTAGCTGATATGTCATATGGAATAGAAGGTATAAATGGTGATGTGGCTCAATGTCTATTTATAAACGTTAATTTTAAAAATCTCTTTCCAATGCATTAATTTTCAATTTTCCTCCATCCTTTTTTTCTTTTCTTTCTTGAGCCCACAAGTTAATATGCAACTAATCACCAGAGCAATAAATGTTCATATTGTTTAAAAAGCCCATTAGAAATAGAAGGTGTGATATATATTGTCTTTTTTTTTTTTTTTTTTTTTTTTTTTTTTTTTTTTGACACTTCAACTTGACATCCCAGATAGATGTTAGCATCGGAGAGCATTTTTAACAAAAAAAAAAAAAAATTGCAATTAAATAAGAGCAATCCACGTTAGCATTGCTAATGTAGATTGAAATAAAAGATATGTATAGTTTTGAATCATCTTCCATCCTCTTTTTTTCTTTTCTTTTTAAGACCCACAATTCAATAAGCAATCAATCACTATAGAACAATAAATATCTGCATTATCTAAGAGACTCTAAAAATAGAACACATCAATTTGACATACCAAATAGACCTTAGCACTGGAGCATATTTTTTAAAAAATCTTTTTATTTTTCTGATGTGGCAATTAAATGAGAGAAATACAGATGACTTATATACACCAAGTGTATGGGATCACCCATATACCAAATCAATCAAAAAAATATTATTTTTATAAAGTTATTACTCATTTATTCATATTTTTTTTTTTCTAGTTAATGGCCATGAATACCCTCATTTTAGCAAAATAAAACTGTTTTTCACTAGTTTTGTGCATCTGGTTATAGATAAGTCATTCCTGTCTTTCTAAATACAGACAGTGACTTTCCTCCTAAAGGAATACTATAAATAAACATAATTAACTCTCTGAAAGTGGAAAACCAAATAATGTTAGATGAACTGGAAGGTGATGCAGAGCAGTACAACATTTATTTGATGGGTTTTGAAAAGCTTGGGGTAGGTGTTGAATTAGCATTCAGAAGCAGAGTGTGTGTATGTGTGTGTCAGGGATTAAATAGTAATAATAAATATGCCACCAAACCAAACAACCATTAGAGAAGATTTGAAGTTACCATAATTTTGTGGATGAGAAATCATGTCAAATAATGGGTCATACACATTTGCATACCCAATTCTGCTCTGTGGAATTGAAGCCTGCATTTGGTTTAACAGTTGCTTCAGCTTCATATTGTAGGCTTTTGAATCTGAGTTTTCATCTTCCAAACATGTTCTTTCCATTGAATTTTTAGACATTCTTTCTGTAATTTGAATGGGTAGACATCCAATTGGTGGGATTCCAGCAATCACCATTAATCTCCCTCCTAAATTGTACAATTCCTGCAAATTGAATAAGACATGTTAAATTCCTATTGTGCATATCATAATATTATTTCAACTTATTAGCTCCCAATGAATATAAAACATGAAATATTAAAAAATGAAAATTATCATAATTAGAAGTAGTTCACTTAATGAGCTCAAAAACGAGGAACTATATATAGTTAAATTTAGTGGTGTACAAATTGGCGGTTCGGTTCCGAATCATAGAAAGTGAAAATCCAAAATAGTTTTTCCTTGAAATCGAATTAAGTTTAGAAACCGAATCAAACCGGTCGATTCAGTTTAGTTTTACCCGGAAAATAAATATTTTGTAATAGCAATCCAAAGTCTGAAACCGAAATTATAGAAAATTAAAAACTGAAGACTACATTAACCGAACCAAAAATTGAAATAATTCAGTTTGATTTTCGATTTTTCCATAATATAGTTAAATTTTAAAATATGAAGTTCTTAAGTAGTAAATATCAATAATGGAAAAATACAAAAATAATGGGAAAAAAGAAAAGAAAAGAAAGAAATTATTGCCTAAACAAGGAAAGAGGAGATTTATAGACCTTGACAAAATCGTGTAAAATACTCAGCAGAAAGTCTTGATAACTGGAAATGTTGAACTGAAGGCTTCTTGCAGGAATATCATAAAAGTTGTAAACAAAATCATTAGTTCCTGCACTAACAATTATCAAAGAACTACCAATTATCTTATTGCCCTCTTCTTCTCCAACAATACTCTTAAGCCTCGCAATATAGTCATTGAAGAACTCAAGTTGTTTGGACATAGGGATAACTCCCGATACAGAAGTGGTTAAGTAGTCATAACCTGAACCTGCTGATGCAAAACAAACCCCAGTAAGAATATCTTGATTCGATAGATTTGGGTCAAGAAAAGGAGGAATAGTTTCTTTAATTCCAAGAAAACTGCCCAGAAAATCAGGAATCAGTTTGCCATTGGAGCACCTTCCTGTAGGAATATGACCTGGAAAGTCCTGGCCATATGGGAAGTGGTCAGTTCTAAATGGAGTTTGAATATATTTATTGTTACCAGTATCAACTGTTGAATCTCCAAAGACAAGAATGGCTGAGGCTCTGGGGAAGGTTGTGGCTTTTGAGAAGTTGCAGATTGAGAGAGTAATGGCTAGAAAAGTTGAGAGGAAGAAGGAAGTGACTGCCATTGTTTATCAGTCATCTACTATCTGCCTGTGCATTTATGTAGCAGTAGCAAGTTACTACCTATAGGGCTAGCTTTGTTTGTTGAAAATTAACTTAGCTATATTTATTTATTGAACAATCATCATATCAAGTAACTTAGCTATATTTAGCTATGTTGTTTAAAATGATTTAATTCTTTTTGTTATTAAGAAATGATTTAATTCTTTTTTTTTTATTAAGAAATGATTGAATTCAATTAATAGACAATCATAAATTAATTGGAAATCTTAAGTAAAATCTGACTGCTTTATAGTGATATTGATATTGATATTGACGTCCTTCGTACTCACATCTCTTTGGGGTGAAAATGAATTAATGGAAGGGACGATTGTTCTACGGGCGACTCTTTGATCCTTATGGTGATTACTTTGTCCCTCGGCGTCAAGGCCAGTCATTATATGATACAATAGCAACACTTGTTATCCATCACATTAAAAATCTATCCCTTTATTTATTTATTTATTTTTTAAACCTTCTCAGACAAATTTTTAGAAGAAAGTTATACGGAAAGAAACATCAAAAATGGTGAATAATCATCTCAGATTATGCTCTAAAGATTAATATCTAACATCCTTAACCAGTTAGAGGGTTAAAGTAGGCATTCACAAGTTAATTAAAAAACGGTTATGGAGTTAAATAATAATTTATTTAAATAATAATAATAATAATAATAATAATAATAATGACCCTTATCCTTTGCATCCCTACTTTAGCCATTCAGTGTCTTCCGTTCCGGCATGTCTTTTTGCTATACTATTTTTTTTTTTTTGAAAGAGTCTTTTTGCTATACTATTGAAATTATGATACGTGCAAATACTGAGTGGTCTTTTCCATCTTTAAATTTGTCTGGCTTATTTGATATTTGAATTTTACATTTCCTCTTAGGTTCATACTCTATAATAAAACTTTATTCAACCCCGATACTCAGCCCATGTCCCGTCGGTAATAGGGCAAAGTGAGCTCATTTCTATATATATATATATATATATATATATATAAGCAGAGCAATCCCTTCTTCAATGATCTACAAAGATCACGTCTGTCCATCTCCATGTTACTCAGTGCAGTACTACACTATATAATCAAAACACAGAAAAGGAGAATAAAACTGAACAGTCCAATTCTACATACATGAAGCTGTAACAAAACGAATACGAGATACTACACTAATAGTAATATACTACTAAAAAAAACACAAGTTAGTAGAATGTCATAATACCCTGTGCCGGAAGCATTTCGTGTTAAGTGTCATGCTGGAGAATGTCCACATATTCGTAAGAGTAAAGTGCTTCACAAACATAATTGAACCTGCAGCCATCATACAGTAACCCCAAATGTTGATATGTTTATTTTGATTCCTTCTAATCTACTTGAACAACCTTTTAAATATGTGCATAAACAGAGTATCACACACTAAGTGCAATCCAAGCACAACATAAGAGTACTTCAAAAGATGGGAGATCTATGAAACTAAAAAAAGATAATCATCAAAACATCGACTATTATACTAGATATTCAAAATCCAAATTGAAGAGTCTACAAAAACAAAATGAGCAATCGACGGATTAACTTAATAACTTTTACCCTCTAAACCTGCGATCCTTTCTTGGCTATAACCCAGAAAATCTCAACAATTAATTGAGGCATTTACTATAGCTTCCTCCTCTATCCACAACATAAACAGTTTCTACATCAGATTATCACGACACATCAAGCCAATCCTGTTCCACAGATTGTTTTGAATTAAACCCTCCCCCAAGTAGCTTTCAGAGCTAAAAAAGCAATCATTTTTAGGCACATTCATCAACAAAAGGTTTCACATAGAAGCAGCCCTTCACAGACCCCCTATGCAAGCCCTTATGCAATGAATCAAATGAAATTGTAACAATTTCTAATTTCTGCTCATAAACTGTACTTGTGAAAGATGCACAGTTTATGAAAGATGCATTACACTTCACCTCCCTGTAATGATAATTGCTTACATGTAATTGGCAAGGTAATGACAACTACCACAATGACCATTTATTTCTCGTGATGTTTCTCAATTAATACCTTTTAACTACAGAACCACACACAGTGTTATTCAGAGATCCTGACCTATTTGATTAAGTAACATTCAGTGAGGTGCTTCTGTCTTCCCGGTTTCCATAATAGAGCAACATATTCTATTCAGTAACATATTTTATCATAGATCAACCTTACTCTCTTAAAGTTGCGAAATTGGTAACTCGTATTGGCTGAGAACTTGGCAACTTGGATGTGTTTCCTATCTTTCTAGTTGGTTGTTCCTTAATACACAAGAATCCAATGATAATGCGTACAACAATGAAAGGATAATCACTTTGAATATCCAATTGTATAATACTACTGACCATATATACAAAAACATAATTCATCTTAACAGTAGGATATACAACAACCTAATTGATCATGGTACCTAATTCACAACTTTCATTCAAAAACAAGAAAACAAAATAAAATAATTCAAACACATTAAGGATCCTATAAATTAGGACTATATCATCTACTATATCCATTGAAGATTAAAACTTTGACTTTACTCAAGTTCATAACAAATGAATGGAACAAGCAGCTGCTTACCTTCACTTTCTGCTGCCATCTGATCCACCACCTCCCTGGAACAACTCATTAATCTGCACATCAATGTCCTCCACACTGTACTTAATATATTTTTCAGCATGCTTCCCAACTTCCGGAGAATTCTGGAACCTTTTAATAAAGTTTCCATACGCTGGCAGCAACAGGTTAGCCAAATAATTCCTCAACTCGTTTCTCTGCTGCTCGTCGAATATGACCCATTGGGATTGAGTTTTACAAGTCTCCTCAAAGTAGGAATTAAATAACCTAATCTTGTCTTTCATAGACAATGACTTCCCCCCTCCTCCAACATTAGAAGTTGTAGAGCCATTATCTGATTTCAACACTCCCAAAGCTTTATTCCATGAGCTTCGCTGGTAATTCATATGAAATTGTTTGATTTTCGCATTGTGCTTTCTAATCCAATCATCCCCTAAAAGTGAACCCAATTCAGTATCCTTGACCTTTTGTACAATATATCTTCCATTATTCATCATAAAAATATTGCACAAAGCAGGGTCCCCATAAATCTTTGACTTAACCTCTAAATTACTCTCCAATAACTCCATAATCCACGCCATTTGAACTGACAGTGAAGAGGAGGCCGAATCCTTAGATGGAACAACATTAACATTCTCCTCAAATACTTGTTCAAGGGTCTGTCTTGATCGGCAGGCAGCACGTAGATAATTCATTACGTAGCGTGTGATGGGGTGAAGCCCACCACGAGGCACTGGAGCCTTAGCTGGGTCTCGCCTGATTAAATTCTCCAGCTCCATAAATATCCCTCTTATAGCTTCTCCTAATCTCTTCCATATTGCAACGGCATCATTTCTAAGAACTAAACAGTATTGGTCAGAGAAATTAGACTCAAATTCAGGCATTAATTCTCTTAAAGTCTCAAACAAATCAAGAATCTTAAACAACCGCTCCGGTGACCGGCTTCCGATTGCCACCGCGTCAGCGAAGTTGAGAATCTGAATGGTGGATCCCCGACAAACCTCCATAAACGACAAATCAGCTGCAGATGAGAATCCAAAATACACGCGATCACATAGACGACGCTCGCTTGGGAAGAGGATACGGAGAGCAACATTAGCAGCCTTAATCCACTTATCAATCTCGTCCTCAAGGTCTTGCCATGGCATTTTTTGGACCTCGTCGATGCTCAGCTTCTGTATCCCTAACCTCGACATACTTTCTTCCAGAAACTCCCTCCTGCAGCTACTGTACACGTGCGAGCACTCTTTACCAAAACCAGCTGCTACCATCCGCTTTGCGATCTCATGAAGATCGTTAATAGTTCCCGATGGAAGCGCGTCGATTACAATATCGTAGTCAGTAAGTGGTTGCGCGACAGGGATCTGACTGTGATCCTCACCGTTGGTGATAACTGCTTCTTCTCCATCATCATCATCATCATCAGAGTCGAAAAATGTGTTTCCCGTTGACTCGGCGTTTCCATACGGACGCACAATTTCAAATGCCTCACAGCCACGTTCCATTAAGAGTCTGAACTCCTCCTCCAGACGGAACATGGCCTGTTGCATGAAGTCCTCTGCGCGTACCAAACACGCGCTGATGGTTTTGTCTGCAGTAGCCATATGAGTCCAGTCTCTGATCATTGCGATTAATTCATCGACGGAGTCGAGGAAGGCAGAGGAATCAGCGGAGTCGGACCAGATCGGATGATCGGCGACTACGTACTGCGAGATCTGACGTTCTAAAGACTCGAGGGTCTGTTCAAGTGAGGCACAGGCTCTCATATCGTCACCGCCGATTTTATCGGACAATTTCTCGCGAGAAAATCTCCCATCAAAGTTAGAAAAAATTTGCAAAATATCGTCGGCCATGGATTCGTTGTGGCCAAGAGTCTTGGCTATGTGTCGCGCCACCGCTATTAATTTCTCTTCGCCGTTCTCTTCCATTATCGTCCGGTATGAGGTGACTAACAGTGAACAAAAACTAGAAGAAAAAGAAAAGGAAGAAGAGAAGAAGTCCTGGGAAGACGCGCTTTGAACGTTGAAGGCATAAAGAAAGAAACAGGACAAGTCAGTCTGATAAAAGAAACGCGGAGAAGAAATTGATAGTACAGAGACTTGACAGAGACATGAAACTCGAACGTGGTTTTTTTTTTTTTTTTTTTTTTTTTTTTTTTACTTTTAGATTTTATTTTACATTTTCTTTTGCAGTCAGCTAGCAATAGCCAACAAGAATCGATACTTCGAAGGGCCTGATATCTTCTAACAGGATTAAAAGGGGCGTTGTGATCTTGGGAAACAAAAAAAAAAAAATTGTTTATGGTGGAACAGGAAATGAAGGCAGCTACCGTCCTTTTTGTACTTTTTTTTTTTCCAAGAAAAGGGCACCCACTATCTGATGCTCAATTAATATTATAATTTGACTGGAAAAAATTTATTCCCTTCATTTTAAAATTTTAATTTTCACTTTTTTTATACAATTTAAAATATTTAAAAATTATAATTTTAAAAATATTTAATATTATAATTTGACTGGAAAAAATTTATTCCCTTCATACAATTTTTTTTGGAGTATATATTAAAAATTCTTTTAACTAATACTTTCAAAATACGAGTTAATATATCAAAGTTGAGATTTTTTTCAGTATTTAGTAATTCAACTAATATTAATTACTCATTCAGATCATTGTATAAAGATATTATAGCAAGTAAAAGAAAAATATTTTAAAAATACAAACGAAAATATTACTTTGAAACCTCGATAAAGAATATTTGAGACAATAAAATAATTATATAGGAAGTAAATTCCAAGTGTGGAGAGTTGATATTCAAGAAGAACCACAAAAGAATGGACATCTTCTGCATTTTTTATTTCCAATTTTTTTAAGATCATCTTTATTTCTATGTCTACTCTTTTATCAGCGAAGCACAAAAAAATGCAAAAAGAAAAAAAAAATCAAATATCCTCCAATTTATTTATTAACACTTTGGTAGTTACTATCAATGAGATTGTTATACAAGGTAATCCTATAAGGCCTAATGCATACATTTGTCTGAAGGCGATTTGTCTTGTGGCACTCTTAAATTTACAGGAGACTTATTATTCACATTTTAATAATAACTATGCCCTTAATTGAATTCTTACAAAATTATTTCACTTTGGAAAAGGTACAATAATTACTGAAATGTGAAAATATAAAATCATGATAAATACTTCACAAACTTAAAGGTGTCGCAAAACAAATCTCCAATCATTACTGAAATGTGAAAATGCAAAACAAATCTCCAATCATTACTGAAATGTGAAAATGTAAGATCATGATAAATACTTCCCAAACTTAAAAGGTGCCACAAAACAAATCTCCTAAACTTTAAGGATAAATCTATACATTTGGCCAATATGGTAAGTTTTCACTATAATATTGTAACTTTCTCTTTTATGTAGCAGCCAAATAATTAGAGGACAGCACAGGCTTTTTTCTTTTTTTTTTCTTAAAGCACAGAGGTGATTTGTGTACTTGGCCTTTATAGCATATATTGCAATTGACTAGTCTATTAATAACATAGGTATTCACGTATTAGTTGCCCTATCCCTTAAATGCTAATGGGAATAGTTTCACCCTATTCTTTTTCTTTTTTCTTTTTGGCCAATTTGGTAAGAGTGAAGTCATATAACTTCTAAAATGACCATGACACTTTTCAACATCAAACAGTTACAATGTGATTATGATCTCAACACCAGTGTACAACATCAAATTAAAATTTCAGGGTGTATAGACAACCTCTCTAACAGGCAAACTTGAAAGTGAAATTGATAAGCTACAACCTACAGAGTAATCTCTTTTCTTTATTGTATCAATGCAAAACTACTTCCTAGCAGTGTGGCAATATTAAATATAAAGAAAAGAGAAATAAGAGCAGAAGATCTGAATTTACATGCACACTTTCAAGTGCTCTCTCTTGCGTACCCACTAGTCTCCTCTGCAACCTTCGACCACACATTTGCAATTTTCTCAGCATACCCCACCTGCATTTTGAGAGTCAACCATATGAAGAGATGGGGAACAAACACATCATCTTGATCAAAAAGGATGTTGAAAGACATTCCACGTATGTTTTCAAAACAGCTAGTCTTGGTCAGTCTCATTCATCCTTCCATGCAAGGAAGCAAAGAAATCTTATGCCGCTAACGTATGAATTTCGGTAGGCATTTAACAAATATTGTGTAGTCAAGTCAAGAACACACTCACTAGAGCTTCAAGTGTACACAGGACTGACCAATTGTACAGAAGTTAATTGTGCAACTATACTTAACAATGTTGACAGCACTGGATACAAGTTGGATTAGAATTGTTAATAATTTAGTGCCTCAGTTGTTTATGACAACAATGCTAGAAATCTCGTCTATCTATCCCACCTAACGCGGCACAACAGTATTCATGTATCCCAAAAATTTTCACATGTAAGGTACAGATTGTAACAAAACAATGCAATCCAGCATATGAAAGGGGAAAAAAATTTCCTTCATTAAGTCTATCTGTCTAGTTTGGGCTGCATGCACTCCAATCTGCTTGAAGCTTATATGCAAGCATCACTTTCTTAAGAGTAAAAAGAAGCAAGACTAGGAACTTGAAACGATTCTCGACGTGCCATCTCATTTTATGCCATATTTCCTCATCCCAGGTAGAAAATTTTTTTTTTTTTTTTTTTTTGATTCATGAAATGTTGCATAATGCTCGGTGAAGCTAGATACTTTTAGCAAATAAATAAAATCATTAGAAAGCCTTGTCTTTTCTTTTTTCTTTCCTATCTTGCTCTAAGAACTTCATTGCTTGAATGAATTCCATAAAATTTAATGAATACAATTCCACATTTTCATGTTTGGCATAAATGAATATTCTTTTAGATTGCTACGTTCTTAATTTTATACATATAGAATTAGTTACGCTTGAATACAATTGATAAAATTTGCAAATGAACTTTAAGCTTAAAAAAGCTAAAAATTATTAAACTAATGAATTCCAAGTACAAGCATATACAGCTATATCTTTAAAACGAACACTATAGTTAATCCAAACATGAACATTCATTTGCAGTAAATTAATCACAGCAGATTATGTTTTTATCTTTGAGTCGTGAGATACAGTTTTAACCCTCAAAAGTGTGATTCTTTCTTGATAGGAGTCCTAGACTCTATACTAGGGTGATGCTAGTAATATATTTTCATTTGCTTAATTTTTCCTTTATTTTCTAAAGAATTGACATCTATAACACTGATATTTAAGGCCTAATTCTTAATTTCTACGAACCCTAGCCCTAATCTCATAAAACATCAAGTTTTCCCACCCTGTCCTGCATCAGTTCGTAACTAGCTCATGGTTTCAACGTTGTCACAACATGGGAGATCATCCAATGACAGGCTATGAGAAAAGTCGAAGACACTTTTTTAACGAGAAGAATTTTTTCTTTCAAGAGTTGATGAGATGTACACACTGAGGATCTCATCACCCTAAACCTAATCTTTTTTATATAAAATTTCTACAAACCCTAACCCCAATTTCCACGAGTCACATTTTCCCCAAGCAGTCCTGCATCAACTCCCTCGGAAAGTGCAACGACTAGTGGAGGTTTGATCATCATAGAACCTCTTACAGAAATAACCAGCAGAATCAAAGAAGTTGCAGAGGCATGTAAGTACCATCACCCGCATTTTAGGGTTTCAGGTGCAAGAGGTTGTAACATCACCACTTGTGCTTGAGACACACCTTAACATCTATGGGATTATCCTATGATTAGGACTACAAAAAGCTCGTGATTCAGTTCTCCAATGCAGGTTAAGGTTTTTCAGAAATTAATAAAATTTAGAATTTTCTCCATTGCTAATTTCCATTGGGAGAATTCTTCTGCTTATCAGGCAATAACTGAGTTCTCTGGATTAGATCTCAGTCAAATCTTGCAATCTAATCCAGATGAACTCGTAAGATCAAACTTAGTCCACAAACAAAAGTTTAAAGGAAAGTAACGCATAATTCACTCAAGAAAACAGAAAGTTATATCATCCTCTATCAACAGGAACTCAAAACATACAAAGTACCTGATTAAGAACAAAGCCCTTCAACATGTTCAAGAAATCAGCACGTCTTTCGCTGTCAAGCCTTTCTACTTCACTTCTGTTATTCTCCTGCAATTATATTCTTATTATAAGCTAATTGAAACATTTATAGCCCCACAAATAAAAACAGGACATAGACAAAAAATTCCCAGGGAAATTATTAAACTTGGGAAGAACTTAAAAAGTAAAGCAACATGTATTGGAGATTTTGCCCATCACAATATCAGGCTTAAATTCACTCTTCAAATTAAATTCATAGAGAATTAGACCATTACAAACAACACAAAATAGAATTATTTATGAAACCAGAAAATAAAATTTAAACACTAATATCTGGTGGCTACGGCCAGAATCAAACTTACTACAAAGACAAACTAACAAAGATGAAAGAGAAAACGACATCAGAAAATATTGACTAACTTCACTCCTAAGTCAACTGATGTTAGAACTTCAGCTATGATATGCTTCTAGCTACAGTGATAGTTTTTAGCTAGAAAATAGTTCCTCAAAATTCAAAATATAGCCATCAATTTGTTAATTAGTTTCCAGGTCATCAATTGTTCAGTTTCCTTCTTCTCAGAAATCAGAAAGGCAAGCGAATAAATAGAATATGAGCTATATTTTTCATTCAATTTTTGACAATTAATAGAGAATATCCAGATTGTTAGGTTGCAACTTGCTGTAATTGCATCTCTAACAGAGACTAAATTGCAACTCATTTACATGCAATTATCACTAACAAACACTAAATTTACATGCATCTCTAACAAAGACTAAATTGCAAATTGCGCAATTGCATTTCTAACAGAGACTAAATACGGCAAGTTGCAATTTAGTCTTCCTATTTAGTAGTTTCCTATTTTTTATTTTTTTATTTATTTATTTATTTTTTTTGGTAGGATATCAACTATTTAGTAGTCTTCTTAGTTAGTAGTTTCCTATTTCTTTTTTTGGTAGGAGATCTACTATTTAATAACCTTCCTATTTAGTTGTCTTTCTACTTACTAATCTTCTCATTTAGTAGTTTCCTATTATATTTATGGTAGGAGATCTCATTCTAGTAGAATTACTTTAATTAGTACTTGTGTTCCTCTATAAATTGGAGGCTTTTAATCATGAAATAAAATAAGCAGAATTACTACCAACTAAATCGAGATCTAGACTCTCTCTAACGATTCCAAGGTTAGAGCTCCATTTAACGAGCCTAAGGTTAGAGCTCCCTTTTAATAAGCTCCTAATTTTCAGCAACAATAGGTTGAGGAAAGAATCATGGTAAAACAAAAGCTTTAGCTTTTGAATCAGATTTTATTGTTAACAGGCCCGTGACAAGATCCTGGTTACGTGAACATAACAGTCTCACATCCCTAAAGTAGGTTTCTGTATCAGAAGTGAAAGATAGAAGTGGTTTATGTAAGTTTTTCTATGGACACGTTGGAAACATATAAAACATGTAAATGAGCTGGCCATTGAACTGATAATCCAAATTTATTACTACCAAAAGTAACCTGTGATATCAGTAAACTCTACAACTAAAACAATTTTTTATGACACTCTGCATCAGGAATATCATTGAACTTTTCCTTCCTGCTCATAAGTAGGTAAGCATCATAATTCATAAAGATCAACGTCAACAGGCAGTTATCCAGGTGAATTTGTCTTGAGCATGCCACTAGCTTTCCCTCTCTTATACCCATAATCCAAACTTTGGTTAACTTTCCCTCATATGACTTAATATGCAAGGAGTACCTTCTCCGAGAAATGAACAGTTGCTCATCATTCATCAATTTAAATAACAACTTCCCAGATTCGTTCGATTTAACCTTCTAACTTCATGAGCATGATATGGATTAGGCTTTGGGTATTTGTTGGCAGAGAATAAGCACAATCAAAAATGGGAAAAGGGCTTAACTTGAGCATCATAGAGGCCATCTATTTGGATAATCAAACTAATTTTGAAAACTGGGAGAAATTCCCAAGTAAAAAGACATTTACCCTCTTTCAAGTACTATGTTCTTTCTTTGAGCTAAATTTTGATATGTCCAAGTTAATCAGATGGAAATGAAGCATTGACTGTTCATACAATTGCTTACCCGGGAAAGGACCGTCTTATCTTATTTGTATTAAGATCTCAAATGGAATTAAAGATGGAATGAGATTACATCACAACCTCAATAAATCGAATAGAGCAAATCCTTCAAGAATAAAAGAAATGGCGTCTATCTCCTACTCAAAATCTCTTCCCAAAAGAAATATGTGACCAGTCCCCAACTTATATTTGATCCATGGAAGCAATGAGTGAGACACCTGTCATATCAATTTCCAAAGACTTTAAAAGGTAAATTTGCTCGTCCTGGTATCCAACTCATCCTACTGCGGCCCATATGTGCTCTTAATTCCCTTACTCCATAGAGAATAAGACTTTAAGATTTTGTTTAAGTCGGGTGGGTGGAAAATGGATGGAAAATGTATTTTGACTATAAAATTGACCAGATGCATTAAGGAAAAGAAGTGCACCTTGACTTAATATTTACTATATACATTTTCTCCCATTTTCCCCCTTTCCAAGGAAAGCACCATAACCAGATAGTAACTATGGCAATTCTTTGAGACACTTACTTTAGCAATATGTTATGCACAGGCTCCCAGACCACCTTCCAGCTAAAAACATGACTTCTCCTTCTCCCCACTACATCAATCCAAAGAATATTAAGAATGAAGAGAGATTCAAAGAAATGCTACACAAACAAACTTCGGAAGAGTTATACATCCATCAACAGAGATCAAACCACATTCCATTATCCAATCTCTCAGCAACCACAGGATCTAAGAAAAGATCATTGATCTGAGGACTTAACCCAAAATGAAACCCTTAGTTGTTGTTGGCCAACCTTGGGCCACAAATAAAGATGCAAAACTAGGCAACAACCAGGTCTGCAAATTAATTAATATACCCTCCGATCTGGATGCACTCAAAAATCTGTACCAAAATCAAAAGTAGCTATAACTATTTCTATCCTCATATAATAAGAAAATGGGCATTATCCACAAAATGAAAGATTTCTCAAATCTAGTTTTGTTTCCTGCAAATGTTATGCAAAATTAAATGGTTTTATTGCTTAAGATTGCATCCGTTGATAGTACTCATGAGAAACTCAGGTATTCATCAGTTGAAAACCAATATACAAGGAACAAACAGGCCCTAATAAATATTCCTCTAAGTTCATCTTTTGCATTTACAAACATGCTAAATTTAAGAAGTTTGACGATTCTAAGCAAGAAAAAAGGTAAAAATGAACAGAAATGTATAACATGATACCTTGATCCTTTCATACTCTCTGATAGCAACATTTTTTGCATCCTCAGTAACTCTTATGGTTTCTTTCAACTCCTCTATTTTGCGAATCCTCGACTTATCGCCGCCAAATATTTTTGATGATGCAGCCTCAAGTTTTTCAGCCCTTGAGTGCAATGAGGACAATTCCGATAGAAGAGTTTGCACAGTCAGCAAAGCACTAGATCGGTCCGAAAATGCTCCATGCACAGACAACATCAGCCCAAGATATTCATGGAGAGTATCCTGCCAAATTCAAGCAACAGCGAGTAAAAATGTGAAATATACCTCTCTGTCATGCAACACATATTACTAATCCATTTCAAATAGAATGCATTTACTGGAAAACTCATTCTTATTAATTCATGCAAATAATTGAATTTATTAGAAAACCATAGCCAAAGTTTCTGCAATGTACCAAATGCTTGACAGTCTGAGCATTTAGCTCCCGGTAGAATCTGCTTGCTTTGACTGCAGCTGTTGCCACATTTTTCATGTCAGCAGCCCTTACTCTCTGGGAGTTAAAGATAGCTTCCTCATTCTCAAATTTAGTCAATTTGATAAACGCTAATCCTAATTCTCCCATTGTCTCCCCCATATCTTGCTGTGCTTTAACCAATGATTCAGCCTATTAACAAATTCCACCGCTCAATAATCATTTTCTAAAGTCTAAATGCATAATTGAAACATACAAAATAACCTTCATATTTTTCATATGAGTTAACCAAAATTTACAAATTACAAATGCACCTGCTGAGAAGCATTGCTGAGCTGCTGCTCAAGATCATTCATCCTTTCCTTCTTCTCCAAAAACTCTTTATCTTCCTCAACAACAGGCGGCCTTGCTCCTCCCCAATCATTAGCCACTGACTGCTTCAACTCTTTAAACAGCCTCAACAAATCCCTCCCTCCTTTTGCCGGCTGCACAACTTCTTGTGGCGCAACTACCGCACTCTCTCCAAATAACTGCTTTGGTAACTTCACTGCACCATCAAGCATCCTCGAAGCCACATCAGTACTCGTTGGCAATGGAAGCTTACCTTGGACCTGTAAAAACACCTTCAGTTCATCGCTTTTCCTTATCACTGGATGTGCAGCAAGTCTTCTCAAGTACTTCTCTAACGCTACTCTCCTCTGCTCCACAAACTCCTGTTTTTGCATCACTTGACTCTCCACCACATTCTTGTCTGGTCTTGGCGGGATAAAAAAACCTCTATATGCCTCTGCTAATCGATCTGATAAAGTAACCACGTCTTTAAATCTCCTCCGTACGCTAAATTCAGATCCGTTAAATTCTGGTATGTTGGTTCTTGTCGTGATTAGATACGTAACGTAAGTATTGCCTCCTGGAACGAGAGAATTCGAAGTTTCTTGCTCCTTTTGGGGATTCGAGACAGTTACTTTAATATAGTCGGAGCTCGAAGACGGTGACCGTGAGAGAGAAGCAGAAGAATCAGTGGACCGACCAGGGCTATCAACGCCGTTGATTTCATTGACGGTATTTTCATCGAACGGACTAAAAATGACATCAGCATAGGATGGTGGTTCGATGTAAGAAGAGTTATCGGTTGCGACGCGATAAGGTGGAGGAACGAGTAAAGGATCAGAGTCAGCCGGAGCAGTCAACATCGGCGGCGATAGAGGGTGGTGAGCATCGGAGAGTGATGACATGGCACTACGGTAATCAGAAAAAGATTTGGTACCGTTGCTGGTGTTATTTGATGGCTCGTCGAGAACGAGATTTTCCATCTCTTCTCTAGATGCGTAGAGGTGGGCTTCTTCAAAGCCCTGATTCTCTGATCCCATCATTTTACTTATATTTAGATTGATAATTTACAAAACAAGAAAATTATACTGCAAGTAACAAACTATCAAGAGAAGAGAAATTGGACATTAGGGTTTTGACAGAGAGTGAGCTTGGAGCTGGGGTTAACGTACGCCGGGGTGTATGTGGAAGAAGACGATCGAGCATTGAAGCACGTGGACATAGAGAAGGAGTTTTCTGGAATTCTGAATGTTTTGGATTTGGATTTAGTTCAGATTTTTATTTTTATTGTTAAAGACTAGATGGAAAAGGAGATGGTATGGGTTTTCTTGAGCTTGGAGAGCCTTTGACGTTACTTCAGAGAATTATATGTGTGTGGGTTCACTGTATTTTTGGTGTAGGATAACCTTTGAACGTTCGATAGGCTGGCTTTCTTCTTGGGTGGGTTAGAACGGAAGGTGATGCGTTTGGTTTTGACAATCGGTTGACTTCCATTGTGGTAGGAAAATAATTTGCAAGGGGTGAACCCACACCTAGACACACAAGCCCGAGTTGGGCCATTTAGCACAACTCGGATTAAAATTAAAAATTGATCTTTTAGATTGAACCACAATGCAAAATTGAGAAGGAAATAAAACCCATGCTGAAGCCCAATAGCCCATCATCAAACAATTAGAGAGAGAGAGAAAAAAACAACAATTAAAGTTGAAAGAGAAAAAGAGAGAAAATAAAATCAAATCTCAATAACTATATCTAAAACAAAGGAAGAAAAGATGGAAAAGAGAGAGGAAATGCAAAATTGCAAGAAAAAGAAAGAGGAAAAAGCAATTAATGTAAGAATGAGGGATGTTAAAGGAAGAGGGGGTAAGGAAGGTCAGAGTAGTAAAAATGTTGTGTTTGAAAATAAGTAAATTAATAGAAAGGTAAGAAGAAGTAATATACATTTTTTATGTTTGGAAAAAGATGAAGGACAGAGATGGAGTTTATTTTTTAAGTATAAATTAATTTTAATCTTATCTCTCATTTCTTGTACCCCAATTTGAGGTATGTAAGAAAAATTGAAGTTTGAGAAGATAAAGAAAGGTAAGAATTTATCTTTATTTATCTCTAGTTAAACGCTCGTGCTTTTACGTGGCTTTATTATTATATAATATATTTTATAAATTTATTTAATATGCTATTAAAATATGCTTTTCAGCAGATTATATATTTAATTAAGCATGTCTAAGTTTTAGTTAAAATTTATAATTTAAATAATTTAAATACCATATCTTGTAATTGATAATTCTATATAGATAAAGTTTTTGTAATTCAAATAATTCAATATGAATAGCATATACATAAATATTATTTATAATTATTTAATATTAAAACATAATTGACTTATTATTATTAAACATTAATCCTATAAAACATAGAAAAATGAAAAAAAAAATAAAATTGATTCTATTAATATTCTATTAATATTTTAGATTAATCTAACATATGTAATACGGTATTTTAAGTAACTATGACACGTGAGTTAAATTAAAATGAAAGTAAATTGAAAGAAAATGAGTAAAAAAATGAATTTCAAGACTAAAATTACAAATAGACACTAAAAATAAATCAATTAAAACAAAAATATCAAAATTAATTTGTCTACAATCACTTAATATGTATAAAACTTATAACTGTACGAATGGAAAAATACAAAAATGAATTAGACAAATATAATTTCACTAACGAAAAATTTAAGAAAAAAATAAAAATAGAAGAGTTTGAAAAAAAAGGATAAAAGAGTATAATGAAAAGACAAATGAATCATTGATAAATATGAAGAAATAGTAGTTTATTCAATACCAAAATCACTATGGCTCTATCACATACACTTTCACATAATCTAAATTGAACCAAACTGAATAAGATAAATTGAACCAAACTGAATAAGATTATTAAATCCAAGCTCTGCAATGGTGTTTTTCATATCTAAAAAAAAAAAAAAAAATCAAATCCTAGATAATTAACTTTTCATTCGTTTAGTGATAACGAAAGACAACTAAATGAATGTAGCATGTCGTCTGGATCTATACCTGCATCTTACCAACAAACGCAGTTACTCATATTTACATAATTACCTAAAAACTATATTTCAAATGTAACTTGCTCTTTATCTAATTTCAAGAGTATAAGTACAACAATATCCAAGCTTTAAATAGATCACAGCAAAATAAATTGTCAAAATTAGAAAAAAAAAAAAACAACATGCATAATTTATTCATTAACAGAGTAAATCAATATGAGAGAATAAAAAAATTAAAGAAAAACTCACAAACTTGCACCTTTAAATCACGCTCAGGTTTGCAAATTCTCTTTAAATAAGTATACAGAGGATAAATAGTTAAAGAGAGATAAAAAGAGCCAATTTAAAGCATTTAATTATAAAGATATATAAAGAGATTTGCTTCAATTTATTAAAGATATATAGAAAAAGATTTGCTTAAATTTGTTAATTAATTTTCAAATAGAATCTATATATCAATATAATTCTTTAAAAATATTTTTATAGGCAATCAAATTAAAGTAAAAAAGAAAAAAGCTCAAAAATCTGTAAAAAAATAAAAAAAGAATTAGCGAGAGAATAGAATACCAACTCAACATTTCAAAGATATTTTTTAATTTAAGAATATATAAATATATATATAGTTTACTCATCGTTGACGCACTCATTTCCAAACAGAGTACATAACTTACTTACCCACCCCACCATTATTTACCTCTTATTCACCTCAATTCAAACATGTTCTGATAAAAAGTATGATTAGAATAATGTCTCAGTTAGCTTATAAGTTTTAAAAACTACTTACAAATTCAAATAGAACAAAAAGTTTTATTATTGCATTTTGTAAAAAATACATGACTTTGCCCTCTAAATATATAATTTTTATCTACATCTTTTCCATATTGTTCAGAATTTGGTAACGATTAAATATAAAATTCATAAAGGTAAATAAGAGCGGCAAACTAACTGACTAATCAGTTAGTACTAACCTTTTAGTATTGATTGTCCCAAGTCTAAATTAGCTTATATTACGCTTTTTTCACTATTTTATCTATATATACTAGAATTTAGATTTTTTTAGGAATGTAGTATTTGATTATTTATTTAACGAGCACGTAAATTTAATATATATATATACTATAAATAATGAGAATATATATAATAACCTTAGTGAAATTTTAGAAATTCTAAAATATCATTCGTTGTTGGATAAGTGAAAATAGTTTGAGTTTATTAAATAACTTTAGTTTTTAATAATTGATAAATTAAGATATTAAATTATTAATCAACTGAGGTTTTTTTTTTAATAAATTTTATTAATTAATTTAAAATTTTTTATTTAATATATTATTTTAACATATTATCCTCAATTCAATCATTGAGTTTAATTGAAGGATACTATGTGTCAAAAAAAGATTATTATCCTTAATTTTAAAATTAAACTTAAAAAATCTAAAAAAATATGTTTTGCACGTTTATAATATATATTATATAATATATATATATATAGATATTGCTTTTAAAATTATGAATATTTTTCTTTTTATATCTATTATCTATTGTATCTCAATATTTAATTAAAGCAAAGTGAGAAATAATAAAGTTTAAAGAGAAATGGTTAGGATTTTCTAAGATATTTTAATAAATTTGAGTATCCGAAATACCCCATGCCAATAAAAACACATTAATTTAATAATATATAATATAATATATATATATAGATATATATATATGTATAATTATTATAATATTTGAATAATTAATATATAAATAATCATAACTTTTATATTTTAAATTTTTAAATACTATACACGATTAATTTATAAATAAATAAATAATTATAACTTTCAAGTTTTTTAATTTTAGAGTTTTGTATACTTTTAACTTTTTGAATGGTGCACCCACGAATGCGCATAATAAATTTTAATACCCTTTAGTTCCCTTAATGAATATTTTATATATTTTATCTACTTAATTTTAATAAATATTTATTAGTTTATTTAATCTATTTAATTTAATTTATTTTAAATTATGTAAAATTTGTTTATTTAATTATATATTTTAAAATTGCAAATCAATGATACATATTAAAGTTATTTAATATAAGTATATGTGTTTATTTATTATGTTATTCTTCTTTTGAACGTGTAAAAGTAAATAGCGAAATTAAATTCCCACTTATTAGTGTTATGAAGCATACATTTGAATTTATTTAAATAATTAAATTCCCATTAATTAAATAGTCAAATTAAACTGCCTATTTTTCAATTTATTTATTAATTTGAAAACTAAATTTGAAGACGAAAAGTCCTCTTCCAAATTCTAATCCTAATTAAAAGCTGAGTAAGGTACACCGTATAGTAGTATACGACCTTCTTCTAAGCGCCATCTTCCCTTATTCCCACATCCAAACACACTGATTAGGTTTCCCAGTTCCCACAATTTCAATTCCATCACTTCCACAGTGACAAACATAGCGAGATAGATTACTTATATCAGCACTAGCCTTACTCTTCCCTCTAATTTCGTCAAAATCTAACCGCAAAATAACCGACAGCTAGAAACACAGAGAACGAATCGAACCCTGATGGCATCTAAATTCGGGTTAGCCGGCGGTATACCGGAGCGGCGGGTTCGACCAATATGGGACGCTATAGATTCTCGGCAGTTCAAGAACGCTCTCAAACATTCGACTGGGCTGCTCGCGAAATATCCTAATTCTCCTTACGCTCTTGTAAGATGGTCACCTGAGACTCTTTTGGTTCTATAGTTATCCATATAATCTTATTTCTTTACATGTGCTTTTGCAGGCATTGAAAGCTCTTATCTTGGAGAGAATGGGTAAATCTGATGAAGCATTGTCCATTTGCTTAAATTCTAAGGAGCTTTTATATAAAAATGATTCAATGTTAATGGATGATCTCACACTCAGTACGCTTCAGATTGTTTTTCAACGGCTTGATCACTGTCAGTATATCGTTTTTTTTTCTTTATTTTAAGAATTTGTTTAATGCATGCTATTCGGACTTTATAATTTTCTTTTTTGGTTGAAATCAGTGGATTTGGCTACTAGCTGTTATGAGTATGCTTGTGGTAAATTTCCAAACAACTTGGAACTAATGATGGGGCTTTTCAACTGTTATGTTCGCGAGTATTCATTTGTCAAGCAGCAACAGGTTGGTGTTTTTGTTTTCATGTTTCTGTTCCTCCATTTTATCTGTCAAATATTTTGATAGTTTTGACATTTCTTTTGCATAGATTGCGGAAAATTAACGGTTGCCTTTTGTTTATTCTTTTTCCAGACAGCCATCAAAATGTACAAGCTTGTTGGTGAAGAAAGGTTTTTGCTTTGGGCAGTTTGTAGTATTCAGCTACAGGTTCTTGTTGCCTTCCATGCTCATTTTCCCTATTGTGTTAACAGTTTCCTCATTCATAATTTTTTTTTTTTTTTTTTGATGTAAAAAATGAATTGCTGGTGAAGATGTTTGTTTTCCCCCACTTGCCTATAAAAAAAAAAAAAACAAAAAACAGCGAGTAAAGTAAGAACATGAAAAAGAATGGTGGGAGCAATTCATCTATTAATTTAGGTTCTGATGTGTTATTTGGCATATATTTTTTTTTATATAGTTTTTATATAATAACTTGTATGTTTCTGTGGTGAAGATTGGAAATTTGCCTGATTTAATTGATAAATTGCATTCTGGCTTTGCGTTCTTAAGCCTTAACTTTTTTATGTCTCAGACTCTCAATATTTTCTTACGTCAATTTTGAACAGTATTATGGAGCCTCATTAGAATGCCCTTAACAGGAAAAAAAAAAAAAAAAAAATAGTAAAAAAAAAAAAAAAAAAAAACTAGATTTGGTCTATAATTGAATAATTTTTTTTGAATAAGATATATTTTAAATAAAACTATTAATTAAATGTTTGAGTAAAAATGTTTTAAATAAGATATCTTTTAAATAAAACTGTTTAAGTAAATATTTTACATGCAGTTTGGGTTGCTCCAAAAACCTGCTGTCTGCAAAGCCAAGATCGAATCTGTTGATGGTTGAAGCGGCTCAACAGTCCGATCTGGTTTCAGGTTCGAAATATTGTAATCCCTTTTGATAAAACTTAAAAATGATATTAGGCTTGTGCTAGTACAGAAATCTGATGCCTCTACTGGAAGACTTTGAGAAACTGCAACCAGTATAAGATGCAGCTAAATGTGTTGGCTTTGACATGTAAATAAAGTGGCTGAGGCAATTAGCGAAGAGATTATATTCTGCTTCGATAAAAATTTGCAGGATAGGTGCTGCACTGCATTCTTTATTTCAATGCTTGAAAGCTCTCAAGGACTTGAAATTAGGAGTTTAAGGCCAGGGTGTTAGTTTTTCCTCCCCATTTTCCTTTTAAGTGGGATGTGACACTAGGGTGTAATGAACCTTTGACTTTATTTGAAACATCCAGCACATCCATCCTGTTGCTTTGGCACCTTAAAGCTGATAGCATTCTCCTTAACATGGTCACTCTTCTGATTTACCTTTAAGTTGTGTAACTTTTGCCGTATGACTTTTCTGCTTCATTTTTATTCTGATGAATACACTAGTTACCAGCCAACCAAGATATAGATATCTTGATATTCATTCTTCTCGTGTACTCTTTGGTTCTTTGTGCATTCAGCTTGTTTTTATAATGTGGACATGAGTGTTCTATATTGCTTTTGAGCTTTTTCCTCATTGTGAAAAAGCTTAAGGTGTTCTACATTCATTAGGTACGTTGTCTCTCATTAATGATTGTACCGTTTTCATTTTTCAGCTATCCATATATCAATTTAGGACGTATATTTGTCTTGTTAATATATGTATCCTAGTGTTAGTAGTAATGTTACGATCCCAAGTTTTAATCTAGTTATGGGTCTTTTTGATTGAACTGAAAGGTGGAATTAGGCTTGTTAAGACAGAACCATATACTCTCTTAGAGCTTGTTTGTGGGAACTGATCTCTGTGTTTTAGGAAATCAAACATTTGTTAAAAATTCTGCTTACATCTTTCTCACTAATCTACAGCCATCTAAACAATCGAATGCAAAGCTAAAGACTAATAACTACCAACTACAATAAAGAACTTGCCTAACCACCGATAATAAAGAAACTGATTCACACCGTTTTAGCTGTACATGAGAAAAGGCATTGGAACATTACATTCCCCGTCAAAAAGGCGATTGTCCTCAAGCGGAAAAGGATGGATGACATGCAACCTTCAACTTATTATGTGAAGCACCTTATCACCCTCTATTATTGCTGCAAATAAGGAGCTACTTTTTGATTCCTGATGCATGCCATTTAGTAGTTCTATGCTTTTATATTTAAGTAAATTTCTTGGATCAAATGGTGGCTTAATGCTTCCTCTATGCCATTCTCGAGTTGGTTCTCTCCAATCTCTTCCAACCAAACAACTTTTTGTAACAATTGCTGTTGTTTTGTTTTTTTGATAGCTTTCCTTGTTTTCTTTATTTTTCCTGCCAAAAATTGAACATAATCAAACATCTTAGGAAGCCTAATTTTTTCACTTTTCCTTGTTCCTTCATTTTTGTCAATACGAGAGGTTGATGTTGCCAATTTGGTGTTGTTTTTGTAACCGAAAAGATTTTGGGTATGTTATCTTCCATATTCTTGCTGTCTTTTCTTTTTGGTGGTTTGGAGTGGCTTTCTAATGTCATTCATTATGCTTCAAGAAATAGTTTTCTTATCCAATTTAATTTCCTCCATGAATCTGAGTCTTCAGACTGTAATTTTGTGTTGTGTCTCTTTATCATCCTAAAATAAATCTGTGGCTATATGCCTGTTTTGTGCAAGGAATCTAATAAACTTCTTTCTAAATATGTCTCATGTCTTTTACCTCTGTCTGAGTAGACTGCAATATGTTTATCTGTTGATAGCTCTTGCTGGTGAACTTTACGTTGTTTCCTTCTTATATTTCCTATGACTTTTTATAGGTGTTCTGCGGCAATGGAGGAGAGAAACTGTTACTCTTGGCTGAAGGCTTACTTAAGAAGCATGTTGTGTCGCACAGCTTGCATGAACCAGAAGGTGCCTTCCATTCCCTCTTGCCTATTCCTAGTAGTTCCTTTTGTAAAAGCAACAATCGTTGATTTTTTGCTAAAGGTTTGTAATTTCTTGCAGCTCTTATTGTCTATATATCCATACTGGAGCAGCAAGCAAAGTATGGTGATGCATTGGAAATTCTCTCTGGCAAATTAGGATCCCTTTTGATGATTGAAGTTGATAAGCTACGCTTGCAGGTATTTTCTGAAGCTTTATTCCTTTATTTTTTTAGTCAAATTATGTTAGTCGAAAAGCAATCTTTTTTACATTTATGAATTTTATAACACTGTTCTAAATTTGCCTGATTAATTAATGTATGGACGACTTGCATGCTAAATTGTAAGGGATAAAATAAAACATGAGGAATGGACACAAATGGAGCAAGAATGCATGTGAGAACAGCTTGCAAGCTTTAATATTATTGTCTTTTCTTCATTTTGTAATGTTACTTTTGGAAATTCAAATGTCATGTAAGGTGTTCTTTATTGACAGAAAGTATTTCCAGTTTCATACATGAGTTTCTTGATACTCCTTGTAACTTTGGTCCTGGTTACCTTGTGCACCTTAGGGCATCTAATGCCTTTTGGATCTTTGTGCAAATGACAAGTGGCACTAAAAAAGAGAAACAAGTTAAGAAATTGGAATTATGTTTGTGATTTAATATAGAGTTTACTTTTGGCTTTGTTGAGTACTTTGTATTCCTTAAAGAATCTTATTTTCATGTTTGTGCAAACTTTTTGTCTAGTTTTTCACAGCTTCACATCTTAGGGGTTTGTAATTTCCAGCTTTGCTGGAAAAGCTGTCTAGATGTTTGAAGTCTCAGTTGGGGCCTAGTTGGTTTGGTATGACCTTAATTTTCTTTGTTGTTCACAGTAGCCAGATCTGAAATTCTGTACATATTTGCATATTTCAGCCACTGTAAGTCAACCTCAGTCATCTATTTGAGTTTCTACCCATTTTTAATTTTAAAATTGACTTGATAGAAACAAAACTGCAAGCAATCTTCTACCAGACCTTTGCTAGGAGGGCTGTGTTCAGAACTATCTGATATTTATTAAGTGATGAAACATGGCCTTTCTGTTAGTATTTGATCTTCCTTTTGTTTCCTTCATTTTGTGTGGAATACATAAATCAAATCCTTTTGATACAACTTCCTAAAATATTCTTTTGTTATCTTGGACTTGATTTGAAATCATTGAAACTTTGTTCCTGTCAATTTTTGGTTTCCTTATAACTTGCACTCTTTGACTTTAAGTTGACAGGGGAGGCTGCTTGCCCAATCAGGTGATTATGCTGCTGGAGCTGATATATATCAGAAGATTTTAGAATTATGGTAAGCTTTTGAAAGTTGCAGTTTTTTGACCATTTCTATTTGGATTTTTCATCATCAATTGGAGGTGGTTAGGTGCATATAACTTAGAGGCAATAGCATGACTTAATAATTAAAGGAGCTATTTCATTTTCAATTAAGCTGTATGTTTTATCTTCTACACTCTCAGATTTCTAGCTTCCGTTTATTTGTGATATGGTGGTAAGTTTATTCTGTTATTTATCGCCTTCCCCTCCTCTCCCTACATGCACACACCACCTTGATGCTTTAAGGGCCATTCAATTACTCTAACGTGGTGACATGGGGCTTGACTACACTTCCAGTTCCTCAGGATTATTTTTCCTTTTCCTGAAGTTATCCAGATTCTTCTCAAATAGCCTTTGTTTAATACTCTGGGTGGATTAGGGAAAAGTAATCGGGAGATTTTGGGGATGATTTCTTTTTCCCCCATGAGGAATGAGATGCAGGTGTAGCATGATGACACAGAAGGACATTTTTCTTTTTCTTTTGTTTTTTTAAATGTTTGTTCATTGTTTATGGTCTGAATTGTGGCCTGGTTTGAACTTGACTGTTGCAAAATGGCTCTATACTATCCATGACCTTGTGAGGATCACCTGGTGATTCTAAAGTATTCTTATATCTATAATTCTTGGGGTAAATCAGAAAAGTAACTTTGGTTCTTGATTTTATAAATTTCATAAACTTTTAGAATTCAATTTTGTGATGAGGCTTTCTAAATTTAAGAAAAATTTAGGTGATCATCTTCTTAATGGAACAAGTTCTCCTGAATTTTAATCAAAATGAAACCTGTCTTTTATTAGTGTTTGCCTAAAGGTTGTTTGACTTAAAATTTAAACCAAATGGTTCAGTTTGATAGATCTAAAAAGTTGAGACAACTTGCATCCAAAGAAAAAAGGAACCAAGTGTATGCCAGTTTGTCTTATTTATTTTTATTGTTTAACTGCATCCTAGACTCCTCCTGTCATGGTAAATAAATATTTTCGTTTCTCCTCATGCTTAGCCCAATGATTCTAGCATCAAGTTTCCTGATTCACAAATTGAGTTAAGAATTTGTACATAAAGTTTGAAATGCAAATACATTTTGCCTGCTTTCGTAATTGTATTTCTGCAGTTATTTTCTCTCTGTTAATGTCGCTTCATTCATCTGGCAGCCCTGATGATTGGGAGTGTTTCCTACATTATCTAGGCTGTTTGCTGGAAGATGACAGCAGCTGGAGTAAGGGAGTGAACAATGGTTCAATTCATCCCCCTAAATTAGTGGATTGCAAAATCTCTCACTTGGCAGATGAAGTGGTGCATGTCTTCAGCTTTTAAATTGGATTACTGGTCTTATGTTTTCTTTATCTGATACAGTATTTGATGGTGTAATTTGGTTATGCAGTTCAATTCTCGTTTATCAAAAGCATCAGCTTTTGTGAAGAAGTTACAAGCAGATGTGAATAATGACTTTATTAGGTGTCCATACTTGGCAATTCTCGAAATTGAAAGGAGGCGGCACTTATATGGAACAGGCAATCATCATGAGATAATGGATGCTCTAATGCAATATTTTATCAAGTATGTTGGGTTTCAATTTGGATTAAGATATTTCTCTTTTCTTCATGAACTTTTATTAACTTAGGGGTTTGTTCATATATCATGTCTAGTCAGTGCAATGATTGTTTTTCTACTGGTGGTGAATTATTGGTTTTAAAATGATGGAGAGATCAACAAATTATTTGTTCCTCACAAATATTTTGTCAGCTATTTGTATGCTTTAAAGCTACCACTACCTTTGTTGTGTAATTTTTTATGCCTCTTTTAGAATAATAAGATGCATGAGATTGCTTCATTTCGCGATATATTGTCAATAAGCTTTTCCATTTTTTTAACACAGGTTTGGTCACTTAGCTTGCTTCACTTCTGATGTTGAGGTGTTCCTTCAAGTATTAACTACAGATAGAAAGATGGAGTTTTTAGAGAAATTGATGAAAAGCTTCAACTACGTTGCAACAATTCCCAGTAAAGTGCTTGGGCAGTCGATAAATGTATTCAAAATTCAACAGTTGATTGGAAACATATGCAAGCATCCTGTTGTTGGTGCGTTTATATTTTACATACAGGTGCATTTATATTTGTTGGATGTGGCACATGACTACATGATATTCTTCCTGTAAACATCTCTCACCTCTGTTATCCAGGGTATTACATAAAGGGTAATAGGTAATAATAATATTGGCCAATGTAGCGTTGGAACATCAGGCTACTGATATGATTGTGTTGCTGGGACTTTCAAAATCCTGAAATGACCTGTAATGTCTGTTACCATGAGAGGCTGTGAAAACCCCAATTGGACTATTAACCTCATTTTTAAGTTTCATTTTAATTTGCATAAACTTTTTGTAAATTTAATATGTTAACCCATTCCAATAAACATGTGCTTTTATATAAAAAACAGATTCTGTAATCTTCCTTTGACTTTTATTTTATTTTTCAACTATAAATTATTAGATCTAGAAGATATTATAATATACAGTTAAGCTATTGGTTAAAATGTTGATTTGAATGATTTTTCTAATTTTGTAAACAAATTCACAGTAGCAGTAACATGATTAAGTCCAATTCTATGACACTGATTGATTTCAAATTCTGATATACTCAGAATGTTGGTCATATCCTTGATTTTCTGGTACTACAGTTGATTTAAATGTCAAATAAAGCTATGACAGTGATTGCACCGCATAAGAATTTCCATCATGTATTTTTTCAATTTTAATCTGGTAATCTTTTGAGCATGTATTTGTCAAGTATCATTCTCATTATCTTCTGATCTTATACTCAGTTCACTTTTCTTTAATTAGGTTCTTGATGTGACTTTATATTAGCTGTGTCTTGCTTTAAGATATTTTTAGTATATTAATCGTACTGTCAAGTGGCCTTTTGAAATATGTGAGATTAACATGTGTTCTTCCCCAGAACTTGAGGGTTCTGCTGGAAAAATGGTGGAGATGTTCTGGAAAAGTCTTCCATTGTCCAAGGACCTGGATCCACAAGAAAGTATGCATGGAGAAGAGCTGCTAACTATGACATGCAATGTGTTGGTTCAGGTATCTCATTTAATGTGATTGATGTAGATTTTCAATGTGAATGTTTGTGGTTGCATGTTTAGAACGTGTTAATGGATTGGTTCATATGATATGTTCCTGACTCTAAAACATGTAACCTTTTCAGAATAGTATGTCTGGTTCTGTTTGGTGCTTAGCATATTCCTTTGCATAACCTTGTGTCTTGTTAACTTTTATACTGTCAGAAACATGAAAAGAAATCCAATGGTTCTGCCAACTTTATTATGTTTGTTTGCCGTTAGATTATGCAAAACTCAAATTTTGTCAACTTGATTATGTTTGTTTGCCACTACCTTATGCAAAACTAGAACCTTTGAGATTGAGAAACTATCTACCTGTTGGCTGACTTTCACTATTAAGTTCTTCGGCTTTGCAGTATAAAGTGTGCTAGCATCAGTGAGAAATTGCATTTTCAAATATTATGGTTACAGCTGTCATATAAACATCATGTTATGCCCTTGAAAAATCCAGAAATTCTCCTTTTATGTGGAACTTGTATTCACTTATGATGTTGACACCTTAGTTTTGTGCCACTCATTACAAGGAGATGGTTTTATTTGGTTCTTTTATTATTGGCCCACTTAGGAACTGAAATTGATTGAAATCTGTTGCCTGTAACTTCCAACCAGGATAACCCTGAGATGGCTCCTATCATTTTAAATTTGAGGATTGAATCAAATCCAAATGAAAGTGACGTAGAAATAATGGCAAATGATGAATGGATATTTCATGGATGTTGAAGTTAGGTTGTAGTGCTTTTTTCGTACACAATGCTCATGTACTATTGATGCTTGGCTACTGTCTGAACTGGCATCTTGTATTCATGTGGCAATTACATTACCTTCTTGAAGAATGTACTTTTATAGTTTATTCATTTTTTTCCCCCTTGTTTATTTAGTTATTCTGGAAAACAAGACATATTGGCTACTTTATGGAGGCAATTATGGTTTTGGAGTTTGGCTTGACTATTCGCGGGTAAGAGAAATGTTATTCTTCATTGTTGCTACTAATATAATGATTAGGGTAATGTTAGTTGTGCATATAACTGTTTCAAAACCTTTTAATGGATTCTAGCGGCTGACACCTTTTTTATAATAAATTATGTCCTACAATTCAAACAAATTCTACAATCTAGTGTTTTGGATTTAGAACTTTCAAAACCATTGAATTAAGAACCTTGGATTTTTTTTCCCATTAATTCCATAGATATATAAGAATTCTTGTTTGTTATGGAATTGATAGGTATTTTTGGGACAAAAATATCTTTTAGAATTATCATTCATTAAAATTAGAATTTTACAAAATCAGTTGCCTAGGTGGGATTTTGAAACCCCAACAAAATCAGGGATTTGATATGATAAGGGACTTTCCATGATCCATGTATTCGGTCCACCCTTTTACCAACCAAACAAAGGACTAGTGCTAAATCCATGGATTTAGTGAAATATGTAATCCAAAATCCCTCCAACCAAAATGGCTTAATGGAATTTAATTTATTCTAGTTTTGTAATAAAGTTCTCATATTTGGAATGCCTTCTAAAATGATACAATTTAGTTGAACTTTGTTGTTTGGAATAAAAGAAATGCTAATTGAATGTGTAAACTTCTATTTGCTTTTAAGGGTGCTCTAGTTTTTAAAAATTAGACCTTATGACTACTAAAGCAAACAGATAGAATTCCTGTAACTTGTCACTTTTTAACTGCTTTAGAATTGAGATCATTTATTCTTATTTCAAAAATGAAATTTGAAATGGTAAAATTTAACTGAAACCTAGCATTTTGAGAATTTCCAGAAAGTATTCATATTCTAGGACCTACCTAACATTGTTTATATGGTGATATTTTGGCAGACATGTGTGGCAGTACAAGATCTTATTGCTGCACCTGTATTCACACTTGGGTGCCCTTTCATTAGCTTATGAATGGTAAATAGTTAATTTATTATCCATTTGCATTTTTAATTTATGATCCTGTGGCGCCAACTGCATTCTCTTTCCCTAGTTGATTGGTTTTTACTGTGGCCTCTCTCTTTTTCCCTCTCTAAGGAGCTCTTTGCCTGTCTTTCCCGTTTAGGTATAAATCTCTTGATGTGAAGAATATATTGATGGAAACTGTTTCCCACCACATTTTGTCCCATATGTTGCTTTCTCCTCATTGGGTTGATTTAAGTAATCTACTGAAAGATTACATCAGGTTTATGGATGACCACTTCAGGGAATCTGCAGACCTTACATTTCTTGCATATCGCCATAGAAATTATTCAAAGGTATGAGAATGGCTTCTCTGCTCTGTGCATACTTTTGAGTATGAAGTTTTAGGCTCCATTTATTTTCAAAAAATTACTTACTTTTGGAAAATATTTTCCAAGAAAAATTTCTTCGAAAATATTTCCCAAACAACTCATTTTTTGTTGTTTGGTCACAATGTTGAAAATTAGTAAAAAAAAAAATTGAAATTTATAATTTATAGGGCTATAAGAATATTCAGAAATCTAGAAATTTCATATTTTTTTTAAAAAAAAAAGTTGTTAAAGTTGAGGAAAAAATTGCATAAAAATGATAAACTGTGGCAGTCGCTGCTAGCCGGCAGTCGCTGGTGACCTGTGTTGGTGATTAATAATGGCAACTATCGGTAATCAATTGAAATAAATGTGCATTTATAAGGTTATAATAAGTTTGTCATTGTTAGAAAAATATTTTCTTCTTTCAAAAATGTTAAGTCATTTTCCTTTAAATTGACTTAATTTTCCCTTTAACTAGGAAAATATTTTCCATTGATTAATTTTCCTGAGCACTCCAAACATCAGAAAATTTGGAAAATCTTTTCTAGAGAAGCTATTTTTCAGATACAAATGGAGTCTTAGAGTGTTGGAAATAACTTATGGAACCTTTGAATGTATTAGCAAATGCACTTACCTATTTCTACAGTAATTTAATTTTCATTTTAGTAGTTTTATAGATGATTGCTGCATTCATTTCTTTGTGCATCTTATATGATATCTAAACAAAATTGTTTGTTTATTTATCTCTCTGTATGGGAGTGGTTATATCTTGTGACATTGAGAATAAATTATGATGTTTGTGATCGCTTGACCAAAACATGTATTGGATTTCATTTCAGGTGATCGAATTTGTTCAATTTAAAGAACAGTTGCAACGATCAAATCAGTATTTAGTTGCAAGGGTTGAATCATCGATTCTACAGCTAAAGCAGAAGGCTGATAACATTGAAGAAGAGGAGGTGCCTTGTCTTTTTTCTCTTCTAGAAATAGATACCTATACTTTTATTTTTATGATGATATATGTTGATATTTTTCTTTTAGGTTGTTCTTGAAAGCTTGAATTCTGGGATTCACTTTGTTGAGCTTTCTAATGAGATCAGATCCAAGACTTTGTCATTCAATGAAGATTTTCAGTCACGGCCTTGGTGGACACCAGTTCCAGAGAAAAATTATCTTTTAGGTTAGCGTCAAATACACCTTGTTTATTACTACTCCTTGGTAAGGAAAAGTTTTGGCTACACACAGTGTACTGTGACTTATCCATGCTGGTGATCTAGGTAGCAGGGAAACATTAGAGAGATGCCATTTCACGTCTTGGAACATTTCAGAAACAGAATGCTTGGGAAACGGGATTGAAACATCTCAAGCCAGTTTCTGTAATTTTGCAAAATCACAAATGTTTTTCCTGATCAGAAATGTGTTTCTTTCAATCTGCTGCTCAAATAAAAAAAAATAAAAAATAAAAAATAAAACCTAGGTCTTTGAATAAAAGACAAGCACCAAATAAATTGAAGTAAAAGAGATTAAGTCAAGGGCCAATGCAAGTTGGATCTAACCTGCAAAAATCTATCCTGGTTGATTTTGTTAATTCAGGTATTGCCTTTTCAGTTTCTTTTGTGGATTAAACAAATCCTACCATAATTACAGCAAATTGCAGTGCTTTTACTGTTTTCATCTTCTCTTTTGTGTTCTTGAAGAGAAGTGGTGGTGGTGAAGTATTTTGTGTATTGTGGTTAAACAAGAATTTCCAGTCCTGGTGGATTGTTGATGAGTGATTTTATTTAATGTTTGATAGGTCATGTAATAGGTAGATATTGTTAAAATGAGAAGAGTATTGATAAAAATGCCACTATTTTTTATATTTACACCCCACATTTCTTTCCTATATTTTTGAGAAATGCCTGTTGCTTTGTTTCTGTTTCGTATTATATCTGTTTCCCATTTCCATTTTCATCTCTGTGTTACATAGCCGGTGATTGAAGCTTATTGCTTAAGGGTATATGATTTTGAGCTAGGAAATTTAGTATAAATATTAGGAAAGAAAAGAAGTAAAATAGTACTAGAGGATAAGCTCTAAAAATGAGCTTGGAGAATTATCAGCTCCTCGGTGATAGCTGTTGACTTTTTTGTACTCTATGCATTCATCTAATTGTTGGGGTCAGGCAACCGAGTGATATCGTCCAACGATTAAACAAAAGAACCCTGCTATTCTTTTGAAGATGCATTAGAGTTCATAATATATGAATTTTTCCTGTAAAATTGTTATATAATTTGTTAGCTATAGAATGTTGAGGAGTCATGATGTTTTAAAGGTTGGGCCATTTGTTCTCTCATCCTCATGATTTCTCTCTGATATTCTCCTTCACTTAATTAATAATATTTATCTTTTCCAGGTCCTTTTGAAGAAATTTCGTATTATCCTAAACAGAACTTGGTAAGTAACTCTCGTCTTCGTACTTCTGCATTCAGTAGGCTTTTACTTTTGTTTCTAACACCTTTTATGTTTTATTTTTCTTTTGATGCATTGGCCAAAATATAGGCGAGAGAAAGAGAAGAGAATGTACGGAGGGTTATTGAAAGGAAATCCCTTCTCCCTCGGATGATCTATTTATCTATTCAAAGCGCTTCTGTATCAATTAAGGAAAATGCTGAAGTTAATGGCTCTACATCTGAACCTAAAATCTCACAAGAGTTGAAGTTTTTGCTTGAGTGCTATGCAAAGATGTTGGGCTATTCTCTAACCAATGCTATAGAATTGGTTATTGGAGTTTCTAGTGGCACAAAATCGTCTGAGGTATAACCATGCTTTCCTTGTTACTTGCATATCTTCTGTCACATCATTCTGCTCAAGTTAATCTTTTTCGTCCATTGGTGAGCAAGCAACTGGGTATAGCTTGCTAATAGAACATTGCTTACCTGCAGCTTTTTAGCATTAAACATTTGGATGACCTTTGTTTAAACTGATGCTTGCACTTGACGCAGGCTTTTGATTCAGACATAGTTGACTGGCTTAATTTTGCTGTGTTTTTGAACGCCTGGAACTTGAATTCCCATGAGCTCTCTCAGCCAGGTGGTGATCAGTGTGGGTGTGGTATTTGGTACAATGTGGATACTCTGCTAGCGAAGTATATTTCAGAGAAGGTCAGATCCATCGAGTCTCTTATTTGCTCACCAAGGGGTGATCTTCCAGTTTTAGTGCAGTTGGTTTCTGAGCCATTGGCTTGGCATGGTCTTATAATCCAATCTTGTGTCCGATCATCTCTTCCATCTGGAAAGAAGAAGAAGAAAGGTGGGTCCACAGAGCAGTCTACCTCTCTACTATTTAGTACAATACGAAATTCAATTGATTCATCCAATGGTATAGTTAAAGAGGTTGCAAAATGGATAAGAAATCAGATTAACAGATCAGAAGATGAGATTTCGGAAACTATCCTATCCTCATTTAGGAATAATGGACAGGATGAAGGGCCCGGGAAGGTTTTTCAGACTCTGGAAAGCTTTATCTCATCCATGGATGAAGTTGAACTTGGTGGTCGGATCTCCCAAGCAATAAAGTCATGGAGCCCTATCGATGTAGCAAGGAAGATAGTGATCGGCAATTCTACAGTATTGTCTGAGTTTCTTCATATTTGTGAGTCTAAAATTAAGTTATTGCAGGCGTTGAGACAGCAGATAGCTCAAGTATAAAGAGCATGTTTGTGGTGCGATCAGGGTTTCACGAGCTGAGCTTGCCCCGACTCGGGGGCACTGCACTTCAACTGCTTGTGTTTCGTGTTGAGTGCAAGTGTGTGCTCGACTCTTGTGTTTCATGTGGAGTGCTAGTGTGTGCTTGACGACAGTTCTTTGGGCGCCTATGGAAATTTTGTGCAAGATTTTTGGATTGAAGTAATGTAAACGAAATGCTCTTTGTTTTATTATTAGTTCGAACATTCTTTGCATTTGCACAGGTTTGTAACTTTGTATTCCGAGTGATTTTTTGGGTGGCAATGTATCCATTTTTTTTATTTTCGTTCTGAAAAATTATAAACCGATTTTGTAATTTTTACTTTATTTATTGAACAAGAACTAATGATGGCAATTATCAATTGTTTTATCAAATTTTTAAGAATTAATTAAAATCTACTTGGATATTAACAATTTTTAAATTTAACGATTTGAGTTTGTACAAAGTTTTTAAAAAAGAAAAAAAAAAATTTAATGATTGAGTTTGTACTAGGATGACTTTTTCTGTCAATAAATTAATTATGGGGTAATTTTACTTGTCCTTTCTATTCGAATTTCAATTATGAAAGTGTAAAATGACTTTTTTTTTTTTTTTTTATTTAAGAATTTAATTAAAATCTACTTGGTATTAACAATTTTTTTAAATTTAACGATTTTGAGTTTGTACAAAGTTTTTAAAAAGGAAAAAAAAAAATGTTAATGATTGAGATTTGTAACTAGGATGACTTTTCTGTCAAAAAATTAATATATGGGTATTTACTTTGTCCTTTTCTATTCGATTTCAAATTATGAAAGGAAATGGACTTTTTTTTTTTTTTTAATCATTTTTAAAAAATAAAACTATAAAAATAGAGTAAAGTAAATTGATGAAAATAAATTAAATCCATCCTAATCTAAATTATTGATGTATATATTAGTTTAATTTGCAAATTTAAGATTGTATCGATTCAAATTTTAAATTAAGATTATAACATTTCTTTTAAAAAAAATGGACTAAAATCCAAGTCGATATTTTTATTTTGACAAATCAAAATTTTAAACACTATAAAAGAAGTGTTAGTGTATATTTGCCGGTAATAAAATAAGATATATATATATATATATATATAGAAGAGAAGAGAGAGAGAGAGAGTATATAGAGAGAGAGAGAGAGAGAGAGAGAATTAAGAAATGAAGAACAACTATGACTAAAGAAGTAAGTATGAGGGCAAACTCTTTAACAAACTCTTTAACAAAGTAAGCACTAATTTCCACTTTGAGGGCAAAGAATTATAGGAAAATAGTTGCACTACCTAATTCGTTATGAAGACTTTAAATAGTTTCTCCAAAGTACAGCAAAAATAATAATAAAAAAAAAAATTGGAGAAGTGGTTCAAATCATTAATCAACTTTGAAAATTAGGGTTTTTATTGGACTTGCTCTTCCTAATACCTGCTCTGCTTCTTTCAATATATATATATATATATATGAGAAAGCTACTTAACCGAGAGATTGAGTGGCTTGATTGATGATTTCAATTGATACAATTACCGGGTTTATGAAAAATTATTTAAACATTTAACAATCACCAAAAAATATTAAAAGCTATTTAAAAGTTATTGTCGAATACAATTTAAAATAGTTAATAGCTACCAAAATAACTAATGTTACCGAATAGAATCTTAATCTCCCATCCAACTATTTTTACAATATATTTCAAACAATTCGTGCGTAAGAACTCAATTCTATAAATAGATATGAACCGAATTAAATTCTTGTGTTCAAAATTTTTTTTCCTCATTCATTTTCTTTAAAGGGATTAAGTGGTCAGCCTGCCTAAGGGAAAAAGTTCACATCATCCCTTCTCCTTCCTCTACCAAACCTAAACCAAAATTTCAATTTCCAGAATCTGGAAGGCAAAACTCAAAATCAACATCAGATGGTCTATGTTATTAATTTGAGAAGAACATGCATGGTCCAGGTGGCTCGACAAGCAACTAAAAATTGTTGAGCTAACAACTAATTTAACTTGTTCTTAATTCGTTAATATTGACTAAATGCAAATACTGACCGATTCAATTTGTTAAATCGGTCAATTTTCCATTTCCATTTCCATTTGCTAATTAGAAATTGAAATTTTCAAAGTAACGGCTAAATATATGAAATTAGGGAAAAAATTTCAGATTCTTGTAAACAATTACTTCCAATTTTTCACGTAAATTTTCATTACTTTCTTAAGGATTAATCTTGAAAGTAATAAACAATATCAATATGTGTTTTAGGGGAAGTGAACAATAGAAGCACGTTTGTTAAAGCAGCCACCTAATCTTAGATTATCCAATTTCTTTTATTCGTTAGAAGGCTTAATGGATCAAAACTCGATACTTCTGCTCCTCACACGAGTGATAAGACTAATCAGATCACACCATAATAATATTTAATGTTTTTCACTTAATATTATTATGTATTAAAATTTGAAAAATATTAAAACTTAAAACAGAAGGACAAATATGAATCAATTAAAAATCTTAATAAAAAAATTAATATTTGGAATAAAGAAAAAAGGACAATGAAGTTTTAATTATCCTTAGTAATTTCCTCTCAAAAGACAAATTTGTCTTTATTAGTTCAATATTATGTCATTAATGATTAATATTTATAGTATCCTTAATGTATTTATTATTATGATGAAGCTAATACTTGAATTTAATATTGAAATTAAAAAAAAAAAAATTCATGTCTTAATACTCCCTCTGTTCTTAGTCCATCTTTTTTTTTTGTTTGTTCCAAAATATAGTCCACTTTTTTTTTTTTTTTTTAGTAGTCCACTTTTTTTTTTTTTTTCTTTTTTTTTTTTTTTTTTCATTATAGTTAATCCTTACATTATCTATTATACCCTTATTAAAATTTATGTTATTTTCAATAACCTTCGTTAATTCTTACTTATTATTCTTATATAATAATTGCCATGTACTATTTAAGATGTGCATAATAAGAAAATTATATGAATAAAATTATTTTTTTAACCATATTTCTTAATTTATGTGAAAATAGAAAATAGACTATCTAATTTTGCAAGGATTAATATTTAAACTCAATTAGAAATTCTATAAAGGATTAGTATTTAAACTCAACTAGAATTTCTATAGATAAAAAAATCATTAAAAAGATAGTGTTTGACAGCTTAATATTTATACTAGTGTTCATATTTCTTAATTTATGTGAAAATAGAAAATAGACTATCTAATTTTGCAAGGATTAATATTTAAACTCAATTAGAAATTCTATAAAGGATTAGTATTTAAACTCAACTAGAATTTCTATAGATAAAAAAATCATTAAAAAGATAGTGTTTGACAGCTTAATATTTATACTAGTGTTTAAAATTTGAGAGAGCAGATTATGTATTATTAAGAGTCTGTTCGGCAAATTTAGCTATTCTAATAGTTGTCAGCTGTTTTATTAGTGGTTAGCTGCTAAATATTAGTTTTTAGTGGTTAATGATTATATAGTGGCTTAGAATAAAAGTATCTAGTACAAATAATTAGTTGATTAGCTGTAGATAAAAAAGAGTATGAAAGCGAGGAACAAGGTAAAGACAAGTGATGAGTATATGTGCCATAAAGAAATTATAAAACACCTAAACGTTAATGAAGATAACGGTTCATAAAACACTGTCTCAAACTCTAAATGCTAGGGTAGATATTGTATTATCGAACGTTATAATTAATTAAGATAGTATTTCAACTCTATCAAAACACTAAACACTACTTCAAACGCTGCCACTAAACAGAGCTTAAACATTTGATGAAACACTAGTAAAACAACTTGTAGTTACCGGGAGAGGTAATAGCTACTAAGACTTCTAATTTTGCAACAGTGTATATGTATATATATATATATATATAATGCATATTCTGAAAACTTAGTTATATAGAAATATGTGGAAAATTTATGACAGTGAATCATTTAAAAATTCACATAAATAGATTAGGATTTTACTTTATACACACAATATAAATGTTTTCTTCTGCATGGAGCTAAAATGCCATTTGACTCCTTTTTTTTCTTCTTCTTCTTCTAGAAACCAGTGGAGGAGTTTGAACTACTAACTATATTATCATAAGATAAAGTATTCCACTAATAGATTGTTAGTTACGCAACAAAAATAAGTAAAAAATGAAATTTATTCAATAAAAATACACTTGCAAATTTGATGATTAGTTTGCTCTCAATTAGACTTTATCAATCAAAATTTCAACATTGATCAAATAACAATATGTTAAGTTTTCTTTAACAAGAGGTAAATTTTTCTTTCATATGACAAAATTTCAACTCATGATATCAAAAACAAAGAAATTAAATACAAATAAGAACCTTTCATTCAGTCCTAAATTTGGATTTTCTTCAACTAATTAGAATAAAAGAGTTTTTGCAACAGAGATTATGTGAATGATGTGGGTTTCCAACAATCCTACGTTGTACAAAATCTTTCATTAATTTTATAAAATTAAAAGGGGCTAGTGGGTGGTGCACCAAATCCGCTATGTGGTTAGACTAAAGAGTCCCAATTTACAAATGTGTAAGTTGACTCAAAACCTAATTTGCTACAACCCCTCCTTTTGTAAGTTTAAAAGTATACTACCATTTTTAAGAAGCCTTGTCCTTTCCTGCTTTATCTAAGTATAAATAGGGATAATCTTCTAGTAGATCATAAGCTTATTCAACCAAGGCTAAGAGAGCAAAAATGAAGCCTGACAACTTAAACATCTTCCTTGTCATTTTTGTGATATTCAGTTTCTTAGCTGCTAATTCTCAAGCAGAAATCCACTATCATGAATTTGTTGTATGTATAAATAATTTTCCTTCTCTTTTATGTGTGTCTTATTATCTTCTCATGCATGATTTATACTTGCTTCATTATTATTACTATTATAGATTCAAGCCAAGCCAGTGAAGAGGCTGTGCAGAACCCATAACACAATCACAGTGAATGGACAATTCCCAGGACCAACACTGCAAGTGAGAAATGGAGACTCTCTTGTCATCAAAGCTATAAACAATGCTCAATACAATGTCACTCTCCACTGGTAATTACTATTCTCAAACCTATATAAAAGCAATAGGATAAAATAATCAAGAATAGAGAATGAATGTATTGTGATTAAGCAACCAAATGAATTTTTTCATCTGGACAAAACAAAAATAACATGAAATTTCAGATGAATTTCATTTGTTCTGAATTGTGGTAATCATTGTCTGCCATATTATTCTATCAGGCATGGAATAAGACAACTTCGAAATCCATGGGCAGATGGACCTGACATGGTGACTCAGTGTCCAATTCGACCAGGAAGAAGTTACACGTACAGATTCACAATTCAAAACCAAGAGGGAACTTTATGGTGGCATGCTCATAGCAAATGGCTAAGAGCTACTGTTTATGGAGCTCTCATAATCTATCCTAAATTGGGTTCTTCATATCCATTCCCAATGCCTAAGCAAGAAATTCCAATTCTTCTCGGTAATGAAAATTTGATCTAACTATGTTGAATTCTATAAAATTAAGTCATAAGAGACTGAAATAAATGTTTTCCTTCATTATCAAATATGAATATATAAAATTCACAAATTTTATAAAGTTGACATACCAAACAAGCTGATTGACAGGGGAGTGGTGGGATAGAAATCCTATGGACGTATTGAAGCTGGCAACCTTCACAGGAGCAGCACCAAATGTGTCTGATGCTTATACCATCAATGGCCAACCTGGCGATCTCTACAGATGCTCCCAAAAAGGTTTGACAATTCTCCTTACTTTTCTTCAGATTTGGCTAGCTGTATCTTTTACTTGCGTTTTGGTGATGCAGAAACTGCTGTATTCCCTGTGGCTTCGGGTGAAACGATTCTCCTAAGAATCATCAATTCTGCAATGAACCAAGAACTCTTCTTTGCTATAGCCAATCACAAAATGACTGTCGTTGAGGTTGATGCTGCCTACACCAAGCCCTTCACAACGTCAGTGATCGTGATATCTCCAGGTCAGACAACCACTGTCCTCCTCACTGCCGATCAAACACCAGGTCGTTACTACATGGCTGCACGTGCCTATCACCCAGCCCAGAATGCACCATTTGACAACACTACAACAACTGCAATCTTGCAATATACATCTGCTCCTTGTAATACCAAGAAAGGAAAGTCATTGCCACCGATCCTCCCCCAACTACCGGCCTATAATGACACAAATACTGTAACTGCATTCACTGGCCAGCTACGTAGTCCTCAAAAGGTAGAGGTTCCTATCCAGATTGATGAAAATCTGTTCTTCACAGTGGGATTAGGACTCATCAACTGCACTAATCCTAATAGCCCTCGCTGTCAAGGTCCAAATGGAACTCGATTTACTGCTAGTATCAACAATGTGTCTTTCGTTCTGCCAACAAGAAACTCCTTAATGCAAGCTTACTACCAAGGTCAACCTGGCATCTTCACCACAGACTTTCCACCTGTTCCTCCTTTGCAATTTGATTACACAGGCAATGTGAGCAGAGGGCTATGGACACCAGTTAAAAGAACTAAGCTTTACAAGCTCAAATATGGTTCCAAAGTACAAATTGTATTTCAGGATACTAGCATCGTCACACCTGATGACCATCCAATGCATCTCCATGGTTACCACTTTGCTGTTGTTGGGACGGGTTTTGGTAACTTCAACCCAGGAACAGATACAGTCAAGTTTAACCTTATTGACCCACCCTTTAGGAATACCATTGGAGCTCCTCCTGGGGGTTGGGTAGCCATCCGATTTGTTGCTGATAATCCAGGTAATATACTACAATCCATATTTTAATACAATCAATTCACTAACATAATACCTCTTACTGACACATTGGTATGCAACAGGAATTTGGTTGCTGCACTGTCACCTGGATAGCCATCTCACTTGGGGTCTGGCTATGTCTTTTCTGGTTGAAAATGGAGCTGGGCAATTGCAGTCTGTACAGCCTCCACCACTAGATCTACCCCAGTGTTAACATCACCAATAAGGATGACATAACAATTGATTTTAATTGTTGAGTCAATGGACTGTTATTGTTTTACTCTTATTTGTTTTTCAGGTACTAGAGTTCCAAAGTGGACTTTGTCACATTAAGAAATTAGCTTGATATATGTCATGAATGTGTGCATCACTTTAGATTGTAGAATCAAGAAAAAAAAAAGTTCCATTTTTAATAAGTTGGAATCTCTGTCATTTATTTTGCTTTTTTACTTTTCCATTATTAACTTGATACTCTAAGGCTACTTTGTACACCGTAATAGAAAGTAATATAATCAAATGCATTTTATATTAGATTATATTTGATTATGGCATTACTGAACATAATGATATAGAGTCATCCAGTAAATATATACTCATGGATCCAGTAAATATATACTCATGGATCATCATTGGGAAGTGGACACATGTTAACAAAAATTTCCAAGTGTGTGTGTGTGTCTTTGTTTGTTCTTTGAAATGAACAGATATGACACATATGATTATAACTTGGAGACCTAAGATCTATTTTTGTGATGCAACTTCACTGGATATACGAACAGAACTTAGTTTCATAAAACATTACAATCATAATGTAAAATTCTAAAATGTTCATATAAAAACGGCTTATATAAATGGGCACAGCAACCTGGAACATGCACTGCCAATGCTGGTCAAAAGGAGGGGTAAAAAAACTCAACTGACACCTACAGAATAACTAGGGTTTTACCAAGTGCATTACGACTAAATATGCAGACAAACAGTGGTCAAAAACCTTGCTTCAATGGGTTAAATCATGTACTGGCTGCTCTATCCTAGTACAGTATGTCCAAGGTCAAGTTGTATCTACAACAATCTTATGCAACAAATTTCTGACAACGAGTATCATCATGAATTTTCTGGCAACGGATTGAACAAAAGCGCATCCCACACCGAACACATGTATAGTTGGAAGCATATCCACAAACAGTGCAGAAATGACGGCGGCAGGTAGAGCTTGGTGGTCCTACTGCTGCCCTCAAATAAGATGGAACATGTGGAGGCAAAGATTCCAAATTTGCCTGTTTTTGTGTAATTAATATTTTGAACAGCTAAATAGACAATTTAAATACAGAATATGAACATCGAAAACCTAACCTCATGTAAGAGCTCAAGAAAATTTCTTGGCGCTTTCCTAGCATTCTCAAGCGCTTTTGCTTGTCGCGTTTTGCGTTTTGAGCTCTTAGACTGCTTCTTTTGCATATATCCTGCAGCGAGAGATCAAAGACTGTTTTCACAGAACTACATGGAAACACATGAACTATGTGAACAGCATTGATAAGAAACACCATTAAATCACCTCCATTCATAAATAAACACTGGTAATAAATTCTAAAAGATAGAAAGATCCCTTCCCATTCAAACACTGATCCTTAATTGACCAATCAAAAACCCATATCCAAAAGTTCAATCAAGTAGCTAAAGACCTTCATAAAAAGAATGAAATGAATTTAACAGAGGTTAAAAAATTCACATACAAAAAGAACTAAGACCTTCATCATCATCATCAAGGGAGGCCTCATCATCATCATTAGTTTCCACCGTTTCCATGCCGACATAATCATTTTCCAATGCTTCAAGTCGGGCAAGAGCTGCCTGAAAAATCAACGTAAAAATTTATTAAAAAAAAAAAAGAATCAATACTTGCAGAAATAAAGAATGAAATAAAATTCGATACCTGAGTTCGATTGTCGGTGCTTGCAAGAGCTGCAGCCATTCTCGGAGCAACTTTACGAGTTCGGCTCGACATTCGCCTAAACGAGTTCGAAACGTCATCGTCCATTGCTGCAAAAGCAAGACAGAATTAATCAGTAACAAAATAACTAAAAAAGAAAGAAGATTAGCTTTATTATTAGCACCAAAAAAAAAAAAAAAAAAAAAAAAAAATTGTCGGTGCTTTTGCAAGAGCTGCAGGCCCATTCTCGGAGCCAACTTTACGAGGTTCGGCTCGACCATTCGCCTTAAAACAGAGTATCGAAACCGTCATCGTCCATTGCCTGCAAAAGCAAGACAGAATTAATCCAGTTCAACAAAATTAACTAAAAAAGAAAAGAAAGATTAGCTTTTTATTTAGCACCAAAAAAAAAAAAAAAAAAAAAAAAAAAACTTACGGTGTTGGTTGCGGTTAAAAAAAAAAAAAAAAAAAAAAAAAAAACTTACTGGTGTGTTGCGGTTAGGGTTGCGGAGAAATTGGATGAGACTGATAGGGAAGGAAGAAAGAGCAAATTTGTTGCTGGTTCACTGGTTGGACTTCTTGGTCTCTAAACGATGTCGGTTTATTCTCGTGAGGGTTCTACGGGTCACATTTGGTACAGACATTCCATGCGTCAGCAAATTTGGACCGTTAGATTTACCTACCCTGACTGTTAAAAATGTTATAAATAATAATAATTCTATTGATTTAATAGAGAATGTGAATATAAAAGCAATATTGCTGCTTAAGCAACAAACGATATTTTTATAAAAGCATTTGATTTTTCTTTTATTCAATAAAAGCAATTGATTTAATTGGGTTTTTGAACAGAAAATTTTATTGATCGGGTTTCTGAACTTTTTAAATTATGCAATCACTGAATCAACAAGTAGTGGGGCTCACTTGAGCCTAATCACATGCTGATGTCCAATGACACGTCACCAATGACCGTTTTAAAAAATAAAATGACATGGCAAATCGGAGAATTTCCCTTTTGCCTCACTTTCACTTAAAGCTTCCGTTTCATTCAACTTACAGAGAAACTAAGAGAGAGGTATCATCCTTAATTTGTCAGGGATTGTCGGCAATGATAAAGAGCTCAGAAGCTTCCACTTTAATTGGTTTTGTTTTCCAAATTGAAGCTAAAATTTATGCAGCAGAGACTAAAACGTTTTAGTTGAATGCGAGAGAAGAAGATGAGAGAAAGAGAGGCAAGAAGAGAAATTAGTTGCCTGACCTGTGGAACCAAGCAAATTGGAGGAAAATTTTCAGATTCAAAGAATATTGATGGGACATAGCTTCTTCTTCTTCTTCTTTCTCTTCCTCTTTCTCTTCTTCTCTCGCATTAAACTAAAACGTTGTTGACCTCTTCTTGGCTTTCTCTTACTCTCCATAGAGTTCAATTTTCTTCAATTTCAATTCATTTTTGTCTCTCTCTCCCTCCCTCGTTCCTCAAAATTCTTTCTTGTGGGTTTTTGGGTTTTGGCATCTTATTCTAATTTTAAAAAAAAAAAAAGAAAAGAAAAGAAATATAAGGAACCCTCTTTGATCAATCTGTAATGTTAACATTACACTCTCCTTCCCCAACTAGCTAATATTCATTTTCCTTTTTTCTTCTTTTAATTTTTAATTTTTTTGGATGGCTAATTTTCATTTTCTTTTTAATTTTTTTGGATGCAAAATGACGATAATGAGCACAAGTCATCAGCTTTGTGCAATTGAAAGTGAGGGTAAATGAGTAAATTCTTACCATCTACCTCATGCCATGTCACTATGTGAGTAGGCTCAAGTGGATCCCATTACTTGCCAAGTCATATTTTCAGTTGCCAATTCACCATTCTATGTTCATATACCAAATTGAAAATTTTTATAAATTGAGATACTAAATTTATCATTTATCTCAAATTAAAATATTCTATAGGAAAAGATTTACCTACACTGTATACCGGGTTATGCATACACCCAATCTTTTTATTTAAATGAATATATTTTTGACCATTTATTAAGACACTAGGTGAAACGCCCTGAATTTTTATTTTCGAAACTTTTGAATTTTTATTAAATCAAAAATCGCAAATTTTGGCCGCGTGGGCTGCAATTGTAAAAATTTTGGCCGCGTGGAGGCTGGCAAATTGTAACACAGTCCCAATTCGAGCCCAAATTTTTGAATTTAAGGCCTAAGCCCAAAATAGTTCATTTGGAAATTTTCGGGTTGAGAACAAGTTAAAAAATTTTCGAAGAAAATAACATTGAAACAACCAGCGATTAATCTATTATAAATATAATAATTGAAATTTAACTATTCTAAATTTTAAATCATTACTATTTAATAACTTTTTTATTATTAAAAAAACCATGCATGCATGCTCCAAAAATATGATATAAAATATTAACCAAATATAATAATTTTTCCGGACCAAAATAATACTGACTCCCGGACCGAGAGTACTATTCACAGACCGATAAACTACTATTTCAACGCAGGAAAAATAGGGCGTCACAAACCAAGTGAAAAACCTGCAAATTGAGCAAGAATTGAGCCAAATCGTTGAATCAGACCAAATCGATTTGAATCAAGCCGGAATGATCTAGAAACCGACATACTTTCTTCTCTTTTTCTTTCTTTTCTTTCCCTTCCTCTTCTCCTTCTTCTTCCTCACGCGACAGCACTCTATCCTTGGCTCCACTGCGTTCTCCGTTGACGAGCCACGGAATTCGGCAACCAAACTCTCTATCTTCATCTTCTCGACGAGAGGAGCTCACTGGTGGTATTGTTTCGCAAAACAGAGGTCGAGATCGAGGGGGCCACAACTCAGCGTCGCGCGGTGAAGATCCGGCGATCCACACCGTTTGCGACGGCTGCAGCTTGAAGGAACAGCGTCGATCGACTCCTCTCCTCCATATGAACATTTCCCCTCCATCAATTTGTGATTTTGCCTGCGTTTTGATGAACCACCATGGACGGCGGCTTGAAGGTGGCTGTGGAGGTCGATCCGGCCAAACGAGCCACTGGCTCAACAAACTTGATAGCAGATTTGGATTCCTCACAAAAATTTGCGAAGTCGGGTGATGGTGACCGTTGCAATTTTCTGGGCGGTTTAACTTTCCGGCCACCGTGCACAGGCTCAGACGGGCGTCGGCTGGCGGTTCGGTTGACCGGCCGGCGATCACTTTCCGGTGAGGCCTCGATAGACAGAATTTTCTTCCCTTCACGCTGATCCCGGAATCGTCTGCCCCTTCACGCTGATCCCGGAATCGTCGCCCGCTTCTCAATTGGTACGCTCTAAGACTAAACTCTCAATTTTTATACATATAAAAAGAATTAATTGATTAATGAATTGAATTGAGTAATTAAATAGATTAAGTTGAATAATAAGAAAGTAGGTATTGGAATAGCTTAAAAATACATAGAACATTTGTAGTCCTTTGTAAATAGATTAGATTGGTTAGTATGTGGTAATTGCGATAGCGAATATGATCAGTTAACTGGTTTAGGTTCTTTAGAATAACGTAATTGCAAATTGGTTTAGAACATTGACAAATAAATTACATGCGCTATAATTATAATTAGGAGGTTTGCTAATGAGATAAGAATTCAATTCCTAGCTAATATTTATGTAAGTTAATTTAGGAATTTTAATAAATATTGTTAGGAGAAGTTATAATTTAAAGTAAATAGTTATAGGGGCAATTAACAATCTTATTGAATCACGCATGGAGGTTAATATAAATTGTTAATTAGTTGATTTGGAATTATTAAGTGTATATATGTAAGTGTGATGGATGATATCTGTAGCTTGAAGTTGATTGGCCGTCTGAGATGATTGATCGAATGATTGAAAAATAAAATTATGGCGGATGGGATGAGTTGATTTGAATTACCCGATGGATGGGCTGTGTGTATTGATTGATAAATATATAATATTATTGTGATATTTAAACAGGTTTTTAAACAGGTAAGATAGTCTTATTTTTAGGGGAGATGCTGCCGAATTTTTGATAGAAAATTAGATTTAAATATTTAATTAACCAACAAATTAATTAAGTTTATATAGTGCTCTGATTATTTATTATCTTTATTATTCATTTAATTATTTACATATTTATTTATTTATCTTCATTATTATTATTAATATTGTTATTTATTTTATTATTATTGTTTATTGTTACTACTATTTATTTATTTATTTATTTATTTGCATTGATTTTGGATGTTTAATTGTACATTACATTACGATGTCTAATTGATTAATTTGTCTGCATTCGATTGCAATGTTTGATTAATTGTGTTGTGATATTTTTGTGCTTTGCTTGTGTGGAATTGGGATGAAGTGGGTCACCATGGGTTTGTGAGTTGAGGACTGTTTCTGTTATCGGATCCTGGATTCTGATTTTCTGTTATCATGGAATCGCTGATTCTGTTTCTGTTAGCCGGGGTAATGGGAGATCGGCGCCCCCGTGTGCACCTTAACTTGTTTACCGTTAATGTTAACCACAGGTTGGCTTTCTTTATTTGGGCGCACCGGATAACTAATTTTGATCGCAGGCCCGCAGGGTTTGCCCTCCTGTTGTGAGCGCCTGATGTATCTAGATTTGATGGAAGACGACCGGGTTTTGCCTCCTGTTGGTATGGAAAAGAAAAGAGAAGGGATGGAAAGAAAAATGAGAGGGCTGGTCAAGTGAGGATTTGGACCGGTCGGCCAGTTATGGGGGGATCGCTCCCTGGTGCACATGTGAGAGGATGAGCCATGCGGAGGGAGGCTCATCGGGGTTTCGGTGACTCCACTGACTGAATTCCAGTGATGTGATTATGATGAACCGATGTTAATAATTGTGAGTGCTGTGTGATTATGCCATTTGTGTGACTGGCTGTTGTTGAGCATATACCTAGTCGGAATTGACTAGGGGTTGATTATTATTTATTACAATGATGTGGTGAATGCTTGTTTGTGCTAATAATTATTATTCATTAATAAACTCACATCTCTTTTTTTGTTTAATTTCTTTAGGGAAGTAGCCATTTTCTAAATCCAGCTATAACTCTGTCTTCACTATAAAAAAAAGAAATTCGGCTAACTAATTTTCGTTATTGATCCAATTAAATAGATAAATGTCCGAAGAACTCGAAGACTTATATGTATACATCCGTCAATGAACTCCGCAGTTATAGAATTTGTATACTTTTAAGTTGTGTATTATTATAGATGGAATAATTCTGTGAGCCTGTATTATTAAATATAGTGTATTGTAAGCAGGGAAATTTGTAAATGTTTAAAATTATATTGAGATAGCAAATTTGTAGTGTTTCAAGCTTACTACGGGCCTCGGGAGCCTTAAGCTTACCTAGGGCCTAGTGCCGGTCCGGTCCTTGGAAATGGGTCGTGACACCCTTGAATCACCGGTTCTGAGCACGGTTTTCGACGATGTGTATTAATTTTTTCTAAAAAAAATAAAAATTCAATTCTAAGGCGTCCTTATTTTAAAAAAATTAATGTGAATTTTAAAAAAAAATTTAGTAAATTGATTTTAAATAACTTTTAGAATTCTGATACTCAAGCAATAAAATTAATTTTATAAAATAATCAAACATAAATTATCATTTTATTTTATCTAATGTTATTAATTAAATAAATTATTAGAAAATTTTAAAAATGCTTCAAACAATGTCATTTTGAACTAAGTAAAATATTTAAAAGGAAAAAAATGTTAAACTCCCATTTGTATTAAACAATATAACCAGTACACTACTTTTCATGATTGAAGCTCTATTCCTACAGTTGAATAGTGGATAGTTTAGTAGAGGGATAAAATAGTTTTTTTCATTTTGAATGGCAATTGATTTTTGAAAACTTTGGTTGATTTAGGACATCGGGCATTTTTAGTATTTCAGCTCAGCTACTGAATTTCCTTTAGGAATATATTCAAAAGATTATCTTTTTAATTGTTTTTATTTACTTGATATTTGATATTTAAATTAAAACTTCATTTTTATTTTTGAAATTCAAAATTGTGGTTATGATAATAATTGAAATGATTATTTATATAGGAAAATTATTTTGGAAAAGTTTGTCTTATTATTATTCACGGGGCCAATTGGATTAGGATTCGATTAGATCATAAAATGAAATGATTGCGAGGATAATAAAATTTTAAAGAAGATTTGGAAAAGAAGAATAAGACAAGTGGTGATGATGATATTAAGTAAATAGACACTTAGTAGTTAAGTAAGAACATAAACATTGGAAAGGAGTTTAGAAGCTAGACTGCAACCAGAGTTAGAGTGTAGGACTGTTTAATGTAATAAATGGGAGAAATAACATTAGAAATGGACTGGAATGATTTAAGGGTATAGAAATTATATATGTAACGAGTTGTAATATATACATGAGGAGTAAGTGGTAAAAAAAAAAAAAATTTTTTTTGAGGAATTCATGAATACCTTATTAGACTTTGATAAGGAAAAAGATTGGTTGAAAATCCTAAAGTCAAAAATGAAGTTAAAGATAGATAAAATAAGTAAGTTGACATATGGAGTGGATTCATGTTGCAAATATAATTGATAAAGGTATAGAAACATGTAGATTATTGCGACTATTGAAAATTTTAGTATGGTAGCAACTAAATGTGGTCATTAGGTAAGTCATCAGCGATGATGATTAGTAGTATGAAAAGGGGAAACCAAGAGGGATTAAAATAATTAATAAGGGAGTTATTTAATATCCTTAGGATTGAACTGTAATAAGCAATATTGGTGGAATGGAAAGTTATTTAAAAATATAAGAAGCTAGGAGAGAATTAGTGTTATTATGAAAGGCCCATTTGATGATAAGTTTTCGGGTAACTTGATAGAATTAAGTAATTAAAGAGAAAACTGATGTTTAAACAGGAAAAGATTATTAAAAAGTCTTTTGTAGAGCCATGATAACTGGGTACAGTTGCCCACCAGTCTATAGTAAGAATAATTATAGGGGAAAATAAGAAATTGTATAGATAAGAACTGAGAGGAGAGTAGCTCGATGTTCCGCCCTGTGGATACTAAAAAAACAACGAAGGGTATAAGGACGATTTTTTCTTTTGAAAGCTTTGGATTAAGTCAGTTAGTTTTTCTGATACTTTTGATTAAGAAAAAGTTTTAGTAATAATTATATGTAAATTAAACGAGTTACTTCTTATTATTATAATGAATTTAAATTTCAAATTGTTTTGTGTTTGGAAACTATGTGTTAAAGTTTCATTGAAGAAATGTTCTCGTGAAAGGCTTAATATTTGTTTTCTTATTAAACCCAGATTGTAAGATTTTTTATTCATTAAAGATTCTAAAGAATTTCAGTAGCTGTTTGGGAAGATAGTAATTAGAATTTAAAGGTAATAAACTCGAGTTTCTTGTAAAGGTTTCAGCTAGGTGTACTAAGTAGGGTGATTTTGATGGTGAAAAGTACAAGCAAAACGCCCTACTATTCCCGTTATTCGGTCTATCTTAATTCACTCTTGAGCCGACTTTTATAGTATTTGGGAGTATGCTCTTATGACTTTAGATCACCTTATTCCTTCTGTTTTCTTATTACCCCCCGTTAAATTCTCAATTCCGAGGACGAATTGCCTTAAGGGGGGGGGAGATTTGAAACGCCCTGAATTTTTATTTTCGAAACTTTTGAATTTTTATTAAATAAAATCGCAAATTTGCCGCGTGGGCTTTGCAATTGTAACACAGTTCCCCAATTCGAAGGCCCAATTTTCGAATTAGGGCCTAAGCCCAAAAATTAGATTCATTTGGGAAATTTTTCGGTTTGAGAAACAGTTAAAATTTTCGAGAAATTAACATTGAAAAACACGCAAGCGATTTCTATTAGTAAAATATATTAAATTAACTAGTGTCTAAAATTCTAAATTTAAAATCATTACTATTAATACTTTTATTATTATTAAGTAAATGGAGGAAACCTAATAAAAATAATTAAAATAAATCGAACCGGACCTGGGAATTTAATCGATTTATCGAAAACCACACGAATAATAGTAAAACCGAGTGAAAAACTCGAAAACCAAACAAAAAGAGACCAAATCACTAATCGAATCGAACCGGTTCGAATCGAACCGGAATGGCCCAGCCGACTTTCCTTCCTTCCTTTTCTTTTTCTTTCTTTTCTCTCCTTCCTTTCTTCTCTTCTTCTTCTTTCCTCCGTTTTAGCATGAGCGGCAGCCCCCTCCTCCCTCTTTTTCCCGTTCTCCGGCCACCGGCCATGAACTCCGGTACCCAAACCTTCTTTCTTCATCTTCCCGACGAGAGGAGCTCGCTGGTGGTGTCGTTTCGCAGAATAGGGGCCAGAACCGAATAGGGTTGCGACTGGAGCTCAGCGTCGCGCGTTGAAGATCCGGCGATCCACGGGATTTTATTTTAAAATCTATATCAGATCCACCACTATTCGAATCGAATTTTATCCATTCCATTCGGATCGGAGTAGAGTGAATATCCAACGGACCGAGTGATTTGATCATTTTTAGTCATTATCACATAAGAAGGATGTGGTAGCCGTGAGAATATTTGTACTCAATAATTTTACATATCTAACAAGTCTTCAAAAATAATGCTATTTTCTACCAAATATTAATTAATTATATAATTCAATTCATGATCAAGTTTTGTCAACAATATTTAAAAAAAAAACATTCGTTCATCTTTTTTGCCATATCGACTGTATAAAATTTAAGGCCTCTTGTAATCTATTGACTCCTCTAAAATTGAATTTATTACATTAATAATCGAGAGAAGGAAGAAAAAATCTTTATTTGACAGGACTTTTTTATTACCTATGAATTTAATCAGATTCAGATCTCTCATAACTCTTCTCTATATTTGAAAAGAGAGTATTTGGATTTTTCCAATAACTAAAAAGCCTGAAGTCTGAATCTAACTCATTTTTTGAATCTCACTTTTGGACTAAACTAATGAAATTAAAGATTTTTTAAAAAGTGTTTCGACTTTGTCCTTTGTTTCTTAAGTATACGATAAAAAATACTCAAATTTCAATAAAAATATTTATTCTAAAAAAAATAAAAGAATTTAATTGCATTGGCTTAATCCGTAAGTGAAGCCATGAACCCGATCTAGATAAATTTTTCTCCACTTATTAACTGAATTAAGTTGTGTGATAGTTTCCAATATCAACTGAATTAGAATACACCAAAATCATTATTTTATTTTATTTATTTATTTTTTTAAACTAATAATCAAAATTCCATTACTGAAAACTAAGAATATCATCCAATACAATAGAATTAATAGAAGATGGAACCTCTTCTATCCATATTTGCTCTTCTAACACAAGAGACAGAGCTAGTTTAGCTAATGAATGAGCTACTATATTACCTTTCTATAGGGGGTTTGAGTCCAGCATCCCTACCCATGGTGCCTTATCATGGTGACCCTATGGACAAAGTAAGGCTATTGGAGACGAGAATAGCATGTTGAATAGCATATGGACCAAGAATATGAGAGGGGAGACGCGGTGTAATGCTCTCCGCCACCCCGAGGCCGGTATGCGGGACCAGCCCTAGTGAGTTAGGTGCGGACATCATGTTCTATTAAGAGGGACTGATGTCTCCATAAAGAAGGAGCTTTATGGACATTATAGGATCGAGGACCTATAGTGCACATCTCTCCTGTAATGGAGGTTTCGGTATAGGTAGGACTATGCTGCCCGGGATGCCCGAAGGCATTGAGCCCTTATACGGTTGTGCGAGATCCTTAGATATGCACTGCAAGATGAGCCCTACAGTCAGAAAGGATGCCAAGACTCTTCAAATATACATGGCTGGCCTAGGTTATGAGCTAAGTCTAGGCGCCACACGCGTGCCAAAGGCTCCGAGATTCTGGCACCGTGACACTTTCCTACCCGCATGTGAGATTAAGAGGGAGTCACATTGATTCAAAAGAATGCAACATTCAACACTCTGAGTTCCCAAGTTAGACCGAGCCACAGATCTATGCTGTAGACTAAGAACCAGAGATTGACAATCAGTTTCAACCTCAATGGCATTAAAACCCAGCTCCAAAGCCTTTAAAACTGCAGAAGACGCAACTTCTGTCTCTGCTTCTTCTGGAGAAAGCACATGGGGATATCTGCACGAGCCACTAGCCCTAACCTCACCGCTAGAGTTTCTGATTACCAAAACCAGTTGTACCATCCGCACCAATAGCAGCATCACAGTTAACCTTAACAGCACCCACAGCTGGCGGAAGCCAACGAACAGACCTGTGAGCAGCAGTGCGAGCGGCCCTACCCTGTTGTTGCTCCTTATAATCAGACCACAGCGACAAAGCTTGACCAACAATCTTGCAAATCCGTGAGTCTCTTCTGCTGGTGTAATAAAACATTCCTACTCCGCCAAACAATCATTATTGCCATCTTTGTTATATTAAAAAAAGAAAAACTGTCCATAATTATGAAATTATGAAATTAGTAAATTTTTTATTCTAAATAGCCTAAGAATGGGTGTTTACAATTTTATTGGGACAATAACAAGATAAAAAATACAGTTTTAATTAGTAACAAAAATATATGACTCCTGAAGAGTCATTTATTCCATTACGACAGAGCTCATAATGCTTTTAAGTGTGGGCACATTGATGCAGGAGAGTCGGCGTCTGTTGTAGTGAAAGTGTTGCCACTGTTGGCGTTTCTTGGAGTCAAAGGGCGCGCCAGAACAGGAATCAACTTCAGATCTGTTTTTCTTTTAATTGCTCCACCAAATGATTCACTCATATCAAGATCCTCTGGCATCTTCCCGTCAGGAAGTTTCCAATCAAAATGATATAGCAAATTTGCCAGGAAAAGTTCAAGATTTGTTATCCCTAATGTCATTCCAGGGCAAATTCTCTTTCCCGCACCAAAAGGTGTTAGCTCGCAGTTAATACTCTTATAATCAATCGGATTATCGATGAATCTTTCTGGATTGAACTTTTCAGGCTCTGGCCAAATTGCAGGATCTCTTGAAATTGCCCAGACGTTCACCAATACCTTGGTCTTGGGGAAAATGTCATACCCATTAATCTTAGTTTTTCCTCTGCATTCTCTTGGAATTAATGGCACAGCAGGATGTAATCTCAAAGTTTCCTTCACAACTAGTTTCAGGTATTTTAATTCCTCAAATTTGTCTTCATCAACATATCCTGTTTCATCGAAAACTCTCCTTATTTCTGCTTGTGCTTTTCTCATTGCTTCTGGGTTCCTGATCAGCTCCGATAATGTCCATTCTGCTGTTTTTGAGGATGTGTCGCTGCCTGCGCCAAATGTATCCTGAAGGAAATTTTTAACTTATCAGTATTAATTTAATACTAAATAAATAAATAAAGACATCAACATTTCTCATATACTAACCAGAATGGCTCCTTTGATGGCATCATTTGTTAAGGGAAATTGAAGGTTTCCATTTTCTTGAAGATCCAAAAGAACATCAAGAAGATTCTCAACTTCACCATCACTTTTCTTGGAAGATACTGCCCTGTCGGCTTTATGTTCACTTATGATATCTTCAAGTATCTTATCAGTTTCTCTATGCAATTTATCAAATTTATGCTTATCTCCACTAATCACATGAAGCGCTTCAAACGATGGAAAGACATCAGTAACACTAAATCCAGCTCCCGCCTCAACGACGTCGTCTATAATTCTAAGAAGCGCTTCTTGATTCTTACATTTCTTACCAATGGAAGTTCTTGCAATAATATAGTTTGTCAAAACAAACAGATGATGGGTAAGATTTACCGGCGAACCAGATTTCGAAGAAAGAAATTTAATAAAACTTGACATCTCTTCTTCTCTTACTGATTTGAATGACTGCACACGTTTTACACTAAGTAATTCTAATGTGCAGATTTTTCTCATTTGTCGCCATTGATCTCCAAACGACCCAAAAACAATGTCGTTTCTGTTATATAGGACCATTTTCGCTGCATTAACTAAAGGTCTTTCAGCGAAATTTGTATCCTGCGTTCTTAATACTTCTTTGGATGTTTCTGCGGAGGAAACAACAACAGCGTAAACTTCGCCAAGGTGAACACCCATTACAGGTCCGTAAGTTTTGGCTAAGTCTGTTAGACGGTGATGGGGTAGACCGGGGCCAGCAAGTTGGTGAATGTTACCTATGAAAGGTAATCTCCATGGTCCTGGAGGAAGATTTATGGAGTTATCATCTTCTTCTTGTTGGTTCTGTATTTTTGATGCCATAAACATCAAAAGAAGAACGCTTACAAGAAATGGAGATGATTGGATAGGTTTTCCTATTTTGTTGAATATTTTGGTAAGACTTGTGGTAGTTGAAGCAAATTGATCAACCTGCATGAACATAAAAAATTAGAAAAAAAAAATTTAAGAAAATTTATACAAATAAAATTATAAAAGATTAGTATCTTCCTTAGGATTTTTTTTTTTTTTTGTTCACCCTAGGAATTATTTATTTGTACCACGAAACAATCATTTGAACAATTTAAAAGCAATACGTCGTTTTCACTGCAAGTGACGTCTTTTTTATGCTACGTTCAACGATCCAACTTAACAACTGTAATAAATATATTTTTTACACTGTCCAAAATGAACGTTATAAATTTGTAATTTGTGTTGAGAATTCTGAAATTGCTCGCCCCTAACAACTACAACAAATATTTTTTTTTTTTTATTGGCTGTCCAAAATGGACTTTGTAAATTTATAATTTGTATTGAAAAAGCTGTAATTATAGCATTGTAAAATATATTATTATAATATTCTGTAATTATAGCATTGTAAGATATAATATTATAATATAAGTATCTGCAGGAAAAAAAAAATAGAATTGTACTAAACTAATGAAAATAAAAATTTAAATATTATTTAAATATTATTTTTTTTATAATCAAAAATACTTTATTTAAATAAAAATCTATTTTTATAAATTTGATTGATAAATAGAAATATACGGAATCTAAATAAGTCTATTAAAAATAAAAACAAAAGAGATAAAAGAATTGATCGATAAAACAAGTATCTATTCTAAAAGGATCGTAATAGATGGCTATTCAAAATTTCACAACAAGCAGTCCTTCCAAGCAGGATGTCCTATAATATTATTCGATTTTTTTTTTTTTTACTTATTTTATGTCTCTGTATTGTTAATAATAATAGTTAATCCTTTTAGCTCCCTTAGATCTGGAGTTTTTCTGTTTCCTCTTGGAATAAGGGTGGAAGCAGGGGGAGTTGAGGGAGCCCTGGCAACCAAATTCCAAACTTTTTTAAAAATTTAAATAATGCAAAAAAAAAAAAAATCTTTGATTTAGCCCTCTAATTAAAATTTTTTTTTTCAATCCTCTAATTTTATAGTCTGATTCTTCTATGCTTTGAAAATATTTGACTTAGGAAGAAGATCTCACAGTGAAGGGCATCTACCAATTGAAAGTGGAATATTTAATGATAAACTAAAAACTCTAATAAACAGTACTTACAGATTGATTCATGGCCAAGAAACCAGAAGCAGGGAATTTAGTCAGCAGACGAACTACTGGCTGCAGTTTTGATGATAAAGACGCTTGCGGTGCTCTGTTTGCAGTTGGCTTAGCCGGAGAAAGAAAAGCGAAACGGTTGCAATTGCCAACCCATCTGGTAGAGGATATGCTTGATAATGGATGAAAATACTGTTTACAGGTATTTCCCTGTAAAATTGCTGGTTGCAGCGACATATTTGAGAATGAGAGAGAGAGAGAGAGAGAGAGAGAAGAGCAAACTCTGCTTATTCCAACTTGAAGAGTATGGATGGCTTTTTATAGATTAATGTCATGTTAATATTACATTAAGTCAATAAATACACGTGTAGTTTTTACTTTTTTTTTTTTTTTTGAATTTTCCCAAGAATATTGAGCTTTGATGTCACCATTTATTTTATGTTTATATGATATTTATATTTGATAAAATGGAAAAATATATAAAACTTAATTAAAAAATTCAATTTTAAAAAGATTAGTACTTTTACTTAAGTTTTCAAAAATAAACTATTCATGCTCCGTTTTTTTCTGTAAAAATAATTAATAGGAAAATAATTTACTGAAAAATATTTTTCATGAATAATATTTTTTTGAAAAATATTTTTCAAATGACTTATTTTCCGTTATTTGATTGTAATATTGAAAATTAGTTAAAAATATTAAAATCTTTATCTCATAAGATTTTTTTTTTGAAAAATATTTTTCAAATGACTTATTTTCCGTTATTTGATTGTAATATTGAAAATTAGTTAAAAATATTAAAATCTTTATCTCATAAGACTAGAAAAAACATTAATAATAAAAGAAATTTTATAATTTAAAAATTTTATTGTTAAATATGAAAAGAATGCAAAAAATTAAATTATGAAAGCCGCCGATGGCCCGTGATAGTAGCTGATAATGGTGGTCGGTAGTAAATGGTAACTGATGATAGTAATTACAATGATTAATAAATTAAAAAAATATGGATTTATAAGATTTATCAATATCAGGAAAATGTTTTACTCTCTCGAAAATAGAAAGGTATTTTTCTTAAAAATGACTTAATTTTTCTTTGACCAGAAAAATATTTTCTGATGACTTATTTTCCGTAAATGCCCCAAATAACGAAAAATTATGAAAAATATTTTCCTGCAAGTTAATTTACGAGAACAAACAGAACCCTAATCTAATCTATCACTCCTCAAATAAATAAAAACACCAATCAAACCATCGTTTAATGGGCGGAAAATAAATTTGTTACGAATATAAAAAAGCTTTATACTCTACAAGAGTAAAAGGATTGCAATTCCTAGTAAAAAAAAAACGAAAATAATGGCGTAAATATTCAATATAAAATTTTTTTAGATTGTTGTTCATAACAAATATTTTATTATTTTTCTAAAAAATAAAATAATAAGTAAAATTTTAGAGAAATCGAGATTGTAGTTTTGAAGAAAAAATGTAAAATTCGAAGAATATACTCATATAGTCAGTAAAACATTTAAAATTAGATTAGCTAAAAAATGCACATACTTTAGAAAATATAATTAAATTATTAGACAAAATTGAAAAGAGTGTTACGATTTATAAATTATTTTTTTGAAATAAATTAGAAACTTGGGAGCTAGGGAAATTAATGTATGTCTTTGAGAATAGATAAAACTTATGGGGGGGGAAGTAAAAATTTTAGAGAATTGGGGCTTGGGCCCCTTAGAGCAAATAATAATTTCACGTGCAGCCATAAACGACAAACAAGAATTTTCTGAAAGCTTATGCATAAAAAAATGTACAACAATATTATTTTCATCTACATATGCAAACAAAATTATACTTGGAAAGTTTTATTTTTTTTTTATATTTTTTTATTTCTCTTTTGGCATCGTTGTGATGTTATTGGCTAATCGATACTGTCAGTCAAAATTGGCCTACACTGACTAAGCAATGTCTTTCAAATAGATTATGGGGTCAAAGTCGGCTGCCATTGCAGCTTCCGATTGTATTATTTTTATTATTTTCCTTTTTCAAAAAAACCTCACTTTGAAACGTGTGTTATACAGTTATATTATTAAACAAAAAAAAAAAAGTTATACAAAATGGTTTAAAAATTTTAATTAGACCTAAAAAGTAAAATTTACCACACTAGATTACGGGCCTGTTATTATATTTTATTTTTTAATATTTATCTTATTAATTTTTATAAAAAAATATTAAAATCAGAAAGAGGAACATTGAGATTAACAGATATAATCCTACTAAATTTATAAATTGATAAAAATATCTTTAAGAATTTTAATTATTTTGGTTAAAAAAATAATTCAATTTGATTATTCATAAGTTTTCTATTTAAATTTAAATTTATTGGCTGAAAAATAAAATAAATATAAAAAATAAAAAATCTTGTACAAAATAATTTTTAAATTCAATAATTAAAAAATTTAATACAATCCTGATTGAGAAGTTTTATACTAATATAATTAAAAAATTAATACAATCCTGAGTTGCAGAAGTTTGTATACTAATATATATATATATATATATATATATATATATATATATATATATATATATATATATATATATAAAATTATTTTACATTAATTGATAGTCCCAAGCCATTGGAGAATCAGTATTGTTAGTCATTTGATTTATTATTAATTTTTACTGAAATTAATTCTTATTGCGTAACAATTTATATATAAAAGTTATTTTACATTATTGATAGTCCAACATTTGAAATCAGTATTGTTAGTCATTGATGTATTAATTTAATTTTTACTAAATTAATTTTATGCGTTAACAATTTTATTGGTTAGCAAGTGTAGCTGAATTTTTAAATTCCCTAAATTTTACTTTGTGTTGGCATAAATATTATAAGTTTAATTCTAATGATCGTCTTATTATTCAATATTTTCAAGCCTTGCTCATTCAAACAAGTTAATTTAACTTTGTTTTTTTATTATAATTACTGTTATTTTTATTTTTAATAGAAAATCATTATTTCCTATAACAAAATCATTATTATTATTTTATGGTTGAGTAAACATTTTCGTAAATCATTATGAACCATTTTTTTTTCGACTTTTGTGTTTATTAATAATTTCATTCAAATTTTTAGAAAAATGACATGAATATGAAAAAAAAACATGAAATAAATAACAAAATATTCTATCTAATTATCAATTGATTTTATAATTTTATTACATTTATTAATTTTGTATTTAATTATTTTTTGTTTTGAGAATTCAAATAACAATCAACCTTAATGTTGATAGACAATATTCTCTTTGTTCCAAAACTTAAGTCGTTAAGGTTTTTACATGAAAATTAAAGAAGTAATTAATTCTTCTAAATTATAATATAATCAAAGATAATATGATCAAATTACCCTTTATTTCAAAATGAAGGATAATATAATAAGGTTAATATTATAAAATATTATTTATTACTCTTTAAAATTTTCAAAACGACTTTAATCACTCTAAAATGATTTATAATGAACAAAAAGGAGTAAAAAATTACTAATAAATGAAATAACGAGTAATATAATAAATAACAACGTTTACATTGTTAAATAGTGTGTATAATTGAAATGAATGTGATAAACAATGCTCTGCATCGAAGACTAATTTTTTAATTAGATTAATTATTCATGCAATCCCCACTTGTTGAAATTATCTTAAAATATATTACTAACTCTTGTATATTTCCTGCATTGATTTTGACATTTTTTAACTTTTTTTTTTAATTCTACCTAAATGATTCTTTTAGAAAATTAAAGTACCTCACTAGTATTAATTACTGTATTCAACTTTATTTTTATTTAAATATTTTCACTAAAATTTCTTTATTTTGACTTTAAAAAATTAATTAAAATATAATTTTAATTAATTAATTTTATTTTTTGAATTGAGGTGATTTAATTATTTCTTTTAATTCTCGTGAAAAATCAAAGTCTTACAATTAACACAAGTTAGGAAATCGTAGTAGTGATATTTTAAATTATTATTATTATTATTATTATCATTATTATCATTACTACTCACTTATCCCAAAATATAAGTCGTTTAAGATTTTTTCACGAGAATTAAGAAAACAATTAGCTATCCTAAATTATAACAAAACAAAGAGTAATTTAATCAAATTACCCTTTATTTCAAATCCAAGAATAATTTATGGATGTAGTTAGTTTATCTAATATAAATAATGGTAATATTGAAAAAAAACATAATTTATTATCCCTTTAAATATTCAAAACGATTTATATTTTGAAACAAAATAAATATAAAAAGGGAAAAAATAATCATAACCCTAAGTTTTAACCTAATTTACACCTGAGAACCTTTATTTTCAAAGAGCAATTATTAGGTCCCTAAATTTTGATTTCATCAATAACTTGATCTTTCAGTCCAAAGTTATACACTTTTTTCGTTAGTCTTCGCAATCTAAGTGAGTCAATTGAGAGAGAAAAAAATTGAATCCCAGTGAACACCCAAAGCTTTGCTTAAGCCAATCACCATTGCTTTATTTCCCTTTATCAAAAGACAGTAAACTGAGGAGCCACCTTGAGCTCAATTGTTCACTTTATTTTACCGATCACCGTTGCTTTATTAGCCTATGCGTTTCAAGAAATTTTACCCCACTCAGATTATTCACTCACTTCATGCATGTAGTGAAACAACTTCTTCATAAGGTTACATGCAAACCAGCAACTAATTGTTCATATGGCCGTACACTAATGCTAGCAAAAAGAAATTTTGAAAACACTAATAATCAGAAGACAAGACAATGGCATAACAGCAGAGATTTTGAAAATACTAATAACCAGGAGACAAGATAATCATCAATCCAAGTGGGACTAGTGATTACCTTAGTTCCTGGGACATGGTGGTGCAATAATATTCTAGATTTAAATCGTTATTAACAGAAAAATGAATTAATTGTTTTTCTGATAATCTGATTGAACTGGTGATGACCTGAGTTCTGGGATACGGTGCACGTTGACAGTCGATGGTTGTGTGAAGCAAGGTACATGATTGGATGTTTGGTAATTAATTTGGTAATTATTTTTCTATAAAATTATTTCTAAAAAAATTAACTTAAATTGCAATCATTATCTGTTTTCTAAAAAAAAATTGTTAATTAATTTGGAGCATTTAGATAATTTAATAAAAATGAGTGAGATTTCTACTTTTCTCCATTATTTTCTCTTCAAATTGGAGAGATTTAAAACACTAGCAATATTCCCGTGCTATGCACAGTTAAACAAAAGTAAAATAAAATAAAATTGAAAGAAAAAATATATATAGTTTATAGATTCTTGAATGAAATTTCTTTTATTATGCTAGCTATTAAAAAATATTATAAATATATATCAATAGTCAAAAAAAAATATAGCGGTTCTTTTTATTATTAGAGTAAAAATGATGAAATTTATATAGATAAATAAAAAATAAATAAAATGAAATGTGGTAAAATTTATTAATTTGATTAATTTTAGAACTAATATAAAAAATAATTAACTCGCTATTTCATTAAAATCCGTAAATAAAAATTTATTTAAATAATTAAAAAATTTATATAAATCATCAACTTATCATGCTATTAATTCTCTAACACTACAATTAATCAATTATATTTAATATAATTTAATTTAATAAAAAATTAATTTTTAATTTTTTTATATAAATAATAACTGCTCGTATCATTAAAATTTAAAAATTATGTAATTTATTTATATCATTAAAACTTATATACATTTTCTCTAATATTATATTAATCAATTACATTTAAAATGACTTATTCAATCAATAAACAATCATAAATTAATTTATTTTTAAATAAATAAATATCATTAAATACTTATATAATCATTTCTTCTAATATTATATTAGTCATGTACATTTGAAAATGACTGTATTCAAATCAGATAAACAATCATAAATTAATTTCTAATATTATATTAATCAATTACATTTAAAATGACTTATTCAATCAATAAACAATCATAAATTAATTTATTTTTAAATAAATATAAAGATAAACAATTAAGGCATTACACATTTCATTAATTTGAAATCCTCCGTGGCAACACCAAGGGAAAATCTATCTGCTATATATATATATGTGTGTGTGTGTGTGTAGCTGATTGAAAAATAAGTGAATATTAATTTCTCCAATATTTTCTTCTTCTTTCCAAACAAGGAAAAAAAAACTTTTTTCTAGATATTTTCCATAGTTATTTTCCTTAAAAAAGAAAAAAACACTTATCCAAACAAAGGATAAATGTTCTTAAGATAGTATATAATAATCTCAAAATACGACCACCTTGAGGATGAGCCTAAATTTAAGAAATATCATGAAATTATATATTTATTGTAATTTTAAATTAAAATGATGTTTATACTTTGGTACTCCGAATTTATTGATCTATTTATAATTGCATCCTAAAATTAAAGGGTACAAAATAGTGAATTAGAGGTTATTTCCCCTACTTGAACAATTAAAATTGATTATCAAACTAATAAAATAAATTGGATAGAATTAAGTGAAGTCAAAATCTCTAGTAGTTTTTAATCCCTGATTTCTTTTTGTCAAATATTGTTGCTTGATTTCTCCTTGTTCTCTTTTATTTGTTTAAATTAATTTCTTAAAATAATTCCTCATATTGCCATTTAAATAATAGTAAATTAATATAATTTTGGTACTTGATATACAATCCATATAGATACGATACTCTATTCATTCTATATTACTTATTGCGATTTTGTACCCTTGCAAAAATCACTGTCAACGCGCAATTAGAAAACATGATCTTTGGATGGAAAGCAAAATTATTTTGGTAACGTATATACAAGACAAGCTACGGACTAGTACCTAATATTTTACTTTTCCAGGTAGAACACATTGTTTGACTGAGAAGCAAGTAAAAGCTGGTTATTCCGGTTGCCCAATTTTGACAATTTCAGTATTAAATGCCAAATTTCAACTCAAAAATTATCTGGAGAGAAATGTATGCATTCAGTAAATAAAATAACAAATAAATCCAAAATATTGGTCCAACTAAACAAAGTTAGCAAATAAAATAATTATATTATTAAATTAATTGTTAAATAAATGAAATGAAAAATCAGCCATATTTATAATGTGCATTGTAGAAACTAGAAATATTCCATCTATAAAAAGGTGGCCACAGTCTTTTGTTCTCAGAGCAACAAATCGAAGTTGGTAAATTATTCATATTTGTTGCTAATCCTCTTCAGTACTCAAAAATGGCAATGCAACCTGCAATTGTTCAAGCAAACTCCCAAAAACAAATCCTTACTACTCCGTTCTTATTAAGCACACCTAGTACTAAGCTTAACGACAGTCGTTTTGCTTCCTTTTCCTTGGCTAAGCCAACAACTTTTAGAAAACTTAAAGCATGTGCATCAACAAAATCTGAGACAGAAGCTCGTCCCTTAGCCTACTTTCCTCCTACTGTATGGGGCGATCGACTTGCTTCTCTTACCTTCAATCAACCGGTTTGTAATTTTTATCAAGTACAAGTTTTCTATATTCATGGTGGACCTACTTAGGGTCCGTGGTATTGCATTTTTAGTGCTTCAAAACTGATTTTGAATTTTTTTTTTTTAATTTGAGCATTTTTTTAAAAAAAAAAATTCAGTTTTCGACCCATAAAAAATTCTAATGCAACTAGCTACATATGTTGAGCCAATAAAATTACATGAAAAAAAAATTTACTATTTGCGATAACAAAGCCAAATAGTTGCTTAATATTTTCATATTAAGTCGGCAATCTCAATTATGTATTTTCATATTTCTTTTTCCTATTTTAAAATGTACATACTCAATAGTTTTTTATATTTGTGTGCAGGCATTTGAATTATTAAGTAAACAAGTAGAGTTGTTGAACGAAAAGATTAAAAAAGAAATGTTAAACGTCTCTACAAGTGATTTAGCAGAGAAAATCATTTTGATCGACTCATTGTGCCGTCTCGGAGTATCATATCACTTTGAGGAGGAGATTCAAGAGAATCTAACTAGGATTTTCAATACGCAACCTAATTTCCTTAATGAAAAAGATTATGATCTCTTCACTGTTGCTGTAATATTTCGAGTATTTAGACAGCATGGTTTCAAAATCTCTTCTGGTAAGCAAGTTTAGATACATTTAAACAAAAATATTAATTGATTAATTGAACATTGATAGGCTAATTTGATTTGGTTGATTGTGAATCAGATGTGTTCAACAAGTTCAAGGATAGTGATGGTAAGTTCAAGGAATCCCTACTAAATGATATCAAAGGCATACTGAGCCTTTTTGAAGCTACACATGTGAGCATGCCTAATGAACCCATTTTAGATGAGGCCTTAGCTTTCACCAAGGCTTTCTTGGAATCCTCTGCGGTTAAGTCATTCCCTAATTTCGCAAAGCATATAAGCAGTGCACTAGAGCAGCCGGTACACAAAGGCATACCAAGGCTAGAGGCAAGAAAATATATTGATTTATACGAGGTCGATGAAAGTCGAAATGAAACTGTACTAGAGCTTGCAAAGTTGGATTTTAACAGAGTGCAGTTGCTACACCAAGAAGAATTAAGTCAATTTTCAAAGTAAATCATCTTTTTCTATAAATGCTTTTCATTTATTTTTTGGTAATTAGAATTTAGAATTTATAATTTAACAATTAATAATATTTCAGGTGGTGGAAGAGTTTGAATATTAGTGCAGAGGTCCCATATGCAAGAAACAGAATGGCAGAGATTTTCTTTTGGGCGGTTTCTATGTATTTTGAACCTCAATATGCAAAGGCTAGAATGATCGTCTCCAAAGTCGTATTACTTATCTCACTCATAGACGATACAATTGATGCATATGCCACTATTGATGAAATCCACCGTGTTGCAGATGCAATCGAAAGGTAAATACAAATGCAATTATTACATATAGATTACAAATAGACAATTATATCAAATGAGATTTCTTATTTTTCTATTTAAATTTCATTAGGTGGGATATGAGATTAGTCGACCAACTGCCAAATTACATGAAAGTAATCTATAGATTAATTATCAACACATTTGATGAATTTGAGAAAGATTTGGAAGCAGAAGGAAAGTCCTACAGCGTCAAGTATGGAAGGGAAGCGGTAATCCTACATGCGTCACAGTTATGAAGGGAAAGCGGTAATATATCTTGCATAAAGATGCAATCGAAAGGTAAATACAAATGCAATTATTACATATAGATTACAAATAGACAATTATATCAAATGAGATTTCTTATTTTTCTATTTAAATTTCATTAGGTGGGATATGAGATTAGTCGACCAACTGCCAAATTACATGAAAGTAATCTATAGATTAATTATCAACACATTTGATGAATTTGAGAAAGATTTGGAAGCAGAAGGAAAGTCCTACAGCGTCAAGTATGGAAGGGAAGCGGTAATATACTTTGCATAGACCTTGAAATCTTCTAATTTATTGTTACATGTCAGAGGTAGTTAACCTTTGTTTATTGTTAATAATTCAGTATCAAGAGCTAGTGAGAGGCTATTACTTGGAGGCGATATGGAAGGCGGACGGAAAAGTGCCATCGTTTGATGAGTACATATATAATGGAGGGGTGACCACTGGACTGCCTCTTGTTGCCACTGTATCTTTTATGGGAGTAAAAGAAATCAAAGGAACTGAGGCATTGGAATGGCTAAAAACCTATCCAAAACTCAATCAAGCTGGTGGTGAATTTATCCGTCTGGTGAATGATATAACGTCCCATGAGGTACTATATTAATAATCAAATCTTGATTCCTTTCTTCTTTTTAATAATTTAGTATTCACATCAAATCAATGCTTACAAATAACCTCTTTTAAATCACAGACCGAGCAAGATAGAGGACACGTTTCATCTTGCATCGATTGCTACATGAACCAATATGGAGTGTCAAAAAAGAAAGCAATGGAAGAGATGCAAAAAATGGCTATAAATGAATGGAAGAAAGTAAATGAGCAACTTATCATGCGGCCTACAGAAGTAGTACCAGTGGACCTCCTCATGAGAATTGTTAATCTTGTTCGCCTAACAGACGTGAGTTATAAGTACGGAGATGGATACACCGATTCAAAACAATTGAAAGAATATGTTAAGGGATTGTTCCTTGAACCTATTCCAATTTGAAGTCAATTTCCATGGTTATGCCATATACAATAGTATGCATTTTCACTTTATAGGAATGCGTTTTTACGCTATTTTTTATATATAAAGAAATTTATTCCTTGCAATTTAAAGAAATTAACGAAAAGGAATATTTTTTTTTCTTTTTTCAGTATATTGTAATATTTCAGAGCAATTGTCAAGTGATATTCCCATCAAACTCAAGATTTTCGATAAATTTTTGTATTCTTATGTTTTTTTTTTTTTTTTGAGTCGGTATTCTTATGTTTTATATGTTTATTAATTTATCCAAATATTATTTTTTATGCTTCGCATGCCAATAAAAGAGAAGATAATAGTAACTCCGTCACATTATAAATAATATTTAAGGTGATTAAAGAAACCATTAAACAACCTTAATCTAGAAAAAAAATAGTTATAATGGACAAAAATACTCTTCCACTGATTTTTTAAATAATTAATTTTTACTTAGTAGAAACTAGAAAAATAGTAAAAATCACTAACATATTACCTACAAAATTAAAAAAACAACATAAATTTTATGCGGAGTAAATTTTACCATTAAAATTTCAACATTTAGCGACAAAATATTTTATCAGTAAATGCTGAAATCTCGTTTTTAAATGTCAATTCCTTTCTTTTTCTTTCATTCTTTTTTTTTTCCCTTCCATTACTCCTTTTTCATTAAGTCAACTTTTGCGCCTGGTAGATTAAAATTTAGCTCGACTTGTTTACACTCCAATATACTAGCTCGCCAGTTCTCTCTGGCATTCGAACGTGTTTCTTTCTAGGTGTTTCTGTATATATTTTCATTTTTTTTGTCTAAATAAATAAAGCTTGAACTTACGTGGAAATATCAACAATTTCATAGGGGCGAAAAGATTATATAATTTTTAATGATTTTCTACAACATTTTTTCTAATTCTAAATAGCAAAAAATAAGAATAAATATAATCAATTATTACCGATTAAATATCGATAAATACTTTACAGTGATTTGTTTCCACAACATTCTCTGTCGGTAAATACTTTTACCGGCCAAATATTGATTTTTCACAACTGAAAATTTTTATCGATAATACTATACTCCCTCGGTCCTATAATTTTTGTCTTATTTTTCTTTTTCATTCATTCCAAACTGTTGTCCTGTTTCATTTTTTAAAAATGAATAATATTTAAAGTTTATTATTTTACCCTTATTTAATATGCCTTTTTGTTAATAAATATAATATTCAATACACCACATTATCATTAATTACATCTTGATATAAATAAAATTAACATATCAATCTTTAATCTTTCAATAAAATTTTATTTAATTAAATATTTGATTAATTTCAAAAATAATTTAATATGGATCATTTAATTTTTATGGATATTAATGTAAGGGCATATTAGAAAAAAAAGAACAAAAAATTATAGTTTAATTAGAATAATTAATTTTTTTTAATCTGTGTGTAAGTCACAAATTATGACAAAATTATGACAAATTATGACAATTATGACAAAATTGGGACCAAGGTCTGGGGGCACCACCTTTGCCACCAGGCTTGGGATCACTCGCTATATACGAACTACTTCCGCTAGTATTCAATTGAATAACAAAATCATTTTATTTTATTATATACCAACTGCGTGCCTTCTATTTTATTTGCAATATAATACTTTTAAAATAGAAAAACGCAATATGAGGTCATATCATTCAACTTGCATATATGTATAGCCAGGGTAGGCTGTTGTCGGTTTTAGTAACAAAGTTAAGCTCATACTGTATAAAATTAAATTACAAAAATGGAAAGCCTGATAGAAGTGCAACATTAGCCAGTGAAAGAAAATAAAAAAATCCGACACGTTGGTTGGGGTAGTAATTTACTATAATCCTTATAAGGGTAAAAATAAAGTTAAATTTTCGAAAATCACACGTTACTGTTGTAAAAATTTTTATATTCTATGGCAGGAGGGAATTATACCTGCTGTACCAAACGAATAAAAAAATGTATAGATAAGTAATATTCATTGTGAAATGGCACTTCACCTTTTTCAACTTATAGATTTTGCCTTTAAAAAAATACTGAGATAAAATAATTAACCATTTTCTAACCTATATATATATTCTGCAATAGAAAATTTTAGAATTTAAAAACACATAAAGAACATTTATAGAGGGATATTCCAGAAGAAATAATTATTGTTGGTTTTGGTCAACAAAGTTAAGCTCCTACTAAAATATACACATAAAACAATCAAAATTAAGAATCTAAATTGGGCACATCCCACTAAATTTCAAAGGCTGCTAGCTAGAAAACGCAACGTTACTGAAATATATATACTTTCTTTTGCCGTGTAGCTTTATTAGGAAGTGGCATCTAGCTCGTGCTGTGGTGGAAATAGTATTAAAATATACGCACAAAATAATCAGCAAGTAACTCGATTCAAACGTATTGTATTAATGATTATGATTTTAAAATAGAGTATTGTATTAATTATTTAATCTCTGAATTTTATCCGAAATTATTATCGCATGTATAACAATAATAATAACAATTTGAAATTTAGGCTGCATTTAAAAACATGTCCCTGTACAGTCTTGAATCATACTACCTCCAACCACAAAACAAATAGGTATAGGCAAAGATCCATCATGATAATGACACTTCCAATATAAACAAACAAATTGTAATACTTGGAAAAAAGGGAAAGTTATTTCAAATGGCAATAGGTTCAATGAACAGTCCTTTGACATATGTTTTCAATTGTTTTGAATCGGTATATCCATCTCCATACTTGTAACTAACATCCGTTAGGCGGACAAGATTAACAATTCGCAGGAGGAGACTCACTGGCACAACTTCTGTAGGCCGCATGACGAGTTGCTCATTTAATTTCTTCCATTCATTTATAGCCATTTTCTGGATCTCTTCAACTGCCTCCTCTTTTGAAACTCCATATTGGTTCATGTAGCAGTCAATGCAAGACGCTACATGTCCTCTATCTTGCTCACTCTGTAATTTATAGAGGCATTTGTAAACATTTGGTGTACTCTTAATTATTAAGAACGAGAAACTTGTTAATATAGTACCTCATGAGACATTACATCATTCACCAAGCGGATAAATTCGCCTCCAGCTTGATTGAGTTTTGGATAGGTTTTTAGCCATTCAAATGCCTCAGTTCCTTTGATTTCTTTTACTCCCATGAAAGATACAGTGGCAACAAGAGACAATCCAGTAGTAACCCCGCCATTAAACATGTACTCGTCAAATGATGGCACTTTTCCATCGGCCTTCCATATTGCCTCCAAGTAATAGCCTTTCACTAGTTCTTGATACTGAATTATTAACAATAAACAGAGATCAATTATTCCTGAAATATAGCTACAGGTTCCCTAAACATAACTACAGATGTCAAGGTTTTTGCAAAGCATATTACCGCTTCCCTTCCATACTTGACACTATAGGACTTCCCTTCTGCTTCCAAATCTTTTTCAAATTCATCAAACGTGTTGAGAATTAACTTATAGATTACTTTCATGTAATTTGGTAGCCGATTGACTAAGCTCATATCCCACCTGATGAAATTTAAACAGGAAAATAAAAATCAAATTTCATTTAATTTGTGTACCCCTATTCTACCTGTAATAACTCCACTTATGTTTACCTTTCGATTGCATAAGCAAGACAGTGAATTTCTTCAATAGTTGCATATGCATCAATTGTGTCGTCTATTAGTGATATAAGTGATACAACTTTCGAGACTATCATTCTAGCCTTTGCATATTGCGGCTCAGAATACATAGAAACCGCCCAAAAGAAGATTTCCGCCATTCTATTTCTTGCATAAGAAACCTGCCTAGTAATATTCAAATTCTTCCACCACCTGAAATATTGTTAATTATTAACTTATAAGTCCTCTAATCATAAAATTATAAGTTCAAAACTCTAATTAGGATTTAATTAATAAAAAATAACAATATTGATAGAAAAAGATGAATTACTTTGAGAATTGACTTAATTCTTCTTGGTGTAGTAATTGCACTCTATTAAAATCCAACTTTGCAAGCTCTAGTACAGTTTCATTTCGACTTTCATCAACCTCGTACAAATCGATATATTTTCTTGCCTCTAACCTTGGTATGCCTTTGTGTACTGGCTGCTCTAGTGCACTACCAATATGCCTTGCAAAATTAGGGAATGACTTAACCGCAGAAGATTCCAAGAAAGCCTTAGTGAAAGCAAAGGCCTCATCTAAAATAGCTTCGTTAGGCATGCTCAGATGTGTAGCTTCAAAAAGGCTTAATATACCTTTGACATCACTTAGCAGGGATTCCTTGAACTTACCATCTCTATCCTTGAACTTGTTGAACACATCTGATTCACAATGCATCAAATCAAACTAGTATTTGCAGTTATATATATTACTTGATTTTATTTGTTGTTTAGTATATATATTCAATTCATGTTCTTATTTAAATGTATCTAAAGTTGCTTACCGGAAGTGATTTTGAAGCCATGTTGTCTAAATACTCGAAATATCACGGCAACCGTATAGAGATCATAATCCTTTTCATTAAGAAAAGTAGGCTGGATATTGAAAATCTTAGTTAGATTCTCTTCAATTTCCTCTTCAAAGTGATACGACACACCAAGGCGGCATAATGAATCGATCGAGATGATTTTTTTTGCTGGATCACTTGTTGATGCATTCAACATGTCTTTTTTAACCTTTTCGTTCAATAGTTCTACTTCTTTATTTAATAATTCAAATACCTATACACAAATATAAAATGTATTGGGTATTTACATTTCAAAATAAGGAAAGAAATGTGAAGATACATAATTGATTGCAGTACATGTGAAAATATTAAGAGGCTATTTGTCATTGCTATTGCAAATAGTAAATTCTAGACTAAAATTAACAGTAACTTTTTATGGTTAATTTTATTTGTGATTTCTGAACCTTTTAATTTTTTTCATTTTGATGTCTGAATGGAAAAATTTACAGTAAAGTTTCTTAAATATTAAAATGTTTCAATCAAGTGCATTTATACGTATTCTGTTGCATGGATATAACTCTCATATGTATTAATATATTTTGTTCCCTGTGGATTTGTTTAGTGGGTATTTCTTAGCTGAGGAAGAGTTTCAATTATGTAATTTCATATTCAGGTTATATTGAAATATTGTAAGTATTTTCTTTCAGTTTTTTTTCATCTAACAATATGAAGTCTAGGTTGAGATGTATTGGAGAGGCACGGTGGCCTGGGTGTAGTACTTCACACTTATAATTACTTCCTGTATAATAATAATAATAATAATAATAATAAAAAATTCAATTTTACCAAAAAAATAAAATGGAGCATTTTACTCCATAAATGATATCAGACATAAAATCCATTAAGTTCCTCCTTTTTTTACTTTTTTTTTTTTTTAGTTCTTATTTTTTATATCTCCTCTCTGAAAAAAAAAGTCTCAAAAAAATTATTCTAGTTTTCTTCCAAATCTAAAACAATATAAAAAAAACAGAAAAAACAAAGAAAATTAATAATATAGAAAAAATAAAGTAAAGCATTTGAGGTAATTAATTTTGATTTTTCAGTGAAAAATTCTCAGTAAAAGTACTTAATTGTATCAAAATTATTAATTCAGACATAATTACAAAAAAAATAGAAAAAAGTAGAAAGTCCATACACCACAAATATAATTAACCTTATTTTTATTGTTTCAATAGATTTAGCTACTAGCATTAAAAAATTTAATGGGTCGAAAACTGATTTCCAAAAAGCTTAGATCTTCCAATTAAGATCAGTTTTTCAAATTGCAACGCTGCGGACCCTAGGAGTATATCCAATATCAATATATTAAATAGTATAATGAACTTTGTGCCTCTTAATCATCCTAAAAGAAAAAACTCTGTGCTTCTTAATGAAAATTGCATACCGATTGATCAAAGGTAAAGGAAGCAAGGCAATCATCCCATACAGTAGGAGGAAAGTAGGCTAATGGACGAGTTTCTGTCTCAGATTTTGTTGATAAGCATGCTTTAAGTGTTCTAAGAGTTGTTCGATTACCCAAAGAAAAGGAAGCAAAACGACTGTCGTTAAGCTTAGTACTAGTTGGGCTCAGTAAGAATGGAGTAGTAAAGACTTGTTTTTGGGAGTTTGCTTGAAAAATTGCAGGCTGCATGGCCATCTTTGAGAACTAAAGAGGACTAACAAATATATATGTACCACTTCAAGTTTGTTGCTTTGAAAAGAAAAGATCAATCTTGGCTACCTTTTTATAGTGGGAATATTTCTATAGTTTAATCCTTTTCCATAAATGGACAATATTATTTGAGCTTTGTTACATACTGAATCATGATCAAATAAATATATAATTACTCAACTTCTGAGGGGTATGATAAGGTGGGAGGGATTTTTTTCCTTTAATTAGAGTTCAAGTCTCGAGTTTGAATTCTGAATATAAAGTTCCTTTAAATACTCAACTACATAAATCAGTTAAAAGAGCTCGATTAATCTGAATTCATGTTAGGTAAACCTAAGAAGAGGGTAAAACACTCTTTACAAAGTTTTTAAAAGTGTTTTATATGCAGGACTTAAACTTAAAACCTCTAATTAAGAGAAAATGGTAGATTTTATTCTCTAATTCTATGGATACGTTATTAAAAATTAAGAGGATGTCACTATCCTACTAGGTCATTTCTTGCAAAATTTAATAATGAATTCTTAGATCAATAAGAAATAAACCAAATTAATTGATAGCCAGCTATCAATAGATTTTTGGTTCCTTCATTAATTAATGTCTATGATAAATGACAAACATAAACAAATTGACATAAGTGTTGAGGCTAATCTTAAAGAAAGGATCAAGACTAGTTTCAATGATAGTGTTAAACACCAAAAGAACCAAACCAAAATAGAATGTTGATCTATATAGGTGAGAAGAGATAATAGAAATTTCTTTTCCCTTAACTAGATGTCTCGAATTCGAAGTATATATAAAGTCTCTTTAAAACATACAAAAAGAAACACTTTACCCCTTTCATAGACCTATGAGCTTCAAATTAGGGACGGAGCCACAATGGGGCAAGGAGAGCAATAGGCCTCTTGAAATTTGGAAAAATAATTAATATTTTAGTTTTTTCTTTTTTGAAAAAATGCTAAAATAATTTCTCAAATTGGACAAATTCTTTGTGATTTTGTCATTTTCTTCATTCTTAATCATATTCAATACAATTCCAAATTTATTAATTTTCTTCCTCACTCTAGTCACTTTTATTAGCATTTGGAGCTTGCAATAACATATGGTATTTAATTACTTTTACTTCCTTTGAGATCGAAGAAAATTGCTTTTTATGAAAATAATGAGTTTTTTATACGAGACCATCTATTCTCTAAAATTTTTATCTACAATTAGCCCATAAATTTATTATTTTTGTTACTTAATTCCAACTTAGGTAAAAATTTTTTTTTTTTTTTTTATATAACCAGAAGGTTTAATCCCCTTCAGACCATAAAGCCTAAATGTTTTTACCCTCCCAACAAATTATTTTTGATACAATCATAGTTTTTTTTTCCTTTGGGATCAAATTCTTTAATATTAAAATTATTGGAACACTTTTTTTGGTGAATAATAACAATAATACAATATTTTTTTAATTAATATAAAGAAATGGAGTGTTCAATTTTGTATTTTTTTCACTGGTTTTATTTAAAGTTATAAATCTATACTTAATTATATACATAAAAATTTTGGATGCCTTTTAGGGGCTAATAACTACAGGATTCAGTCCAATGTATTATAATTATGGAGTTTAATAAATTAATTTTGGATTACAGAATTTAACATAATTGCACGTTGGATCAACCGAATTATAGCATTTCAACAAATTAATTAATTTTGCAATAAAAGCATGGTGTTTAATTATTTAATGACAAATCATTAAAATTAGACTTTGTATTAAAATGGGAGATGAGTTATTGTTTGATTGTTTAATGACTTATGTTAAAAAAATATATAATTGTAAAATTAACAATGAAATTATTATGAAGAGAGTTCACGCAATAAAAAAAAAAAAAAGCGACGTTTAATGCAATATAAATATAACAATTTTTTTAAAGATTTATCATTATTTTTATTTTTATTTATTATATATATATATATTATTTTTGTAAAATATGTGTTTTACGTGCACCGTTAGGTAAATTTTCTGGAAAGGTTCCGAATTGTTTAGACAAAAAATAGAATATTGTTGAACTTTGTCTCCAAGTACAAATATAATATAATATCTGGATATTAAAAAACGATATCTTCATCAGTTTTCAGGTGCCGCTCAGTCAAACATTGTGTTCTACCAATACATCAGTATACTAAAATAAGTCACATCTTACCTCAAGCAGCAGACAATAAATGTTCATCGTATATTCGAGTAGCGTGAGTCCTCGGTTGCTTAAAGACAAAACTCAATTGTCAAATGAAAATATATTTTTGAACCGCCTTTCTTGAAATGAACATATTTTTGTTTATTAACGGTTTTATTAAATGCTACATGAAGAATTTTTTGTTGACTGCCGTTTAAAAATTTTCTATGGGGCGGCTATGAAAATATTTAATAATTAATTTTTTACAGAATCATGTGGGCACACACTAAATGAGACAACAGGAAATTAGCCAACCAATCATAATTATGCGAATGTATGGGCTAAACTTCCCATCCCTTTCCAAAAAATAAAATAAATGAAGTCCTGAAGGAAAGGACACTGCATCTTGTTTGAAGACAAACAATAAGTTGATTTGGAGGGGCTTATGAATAAAATAATGTGGACTGGACAACTATTTCTGTGATTTTTAAATAATTTATTAAAATAATGCAGTATTTGATAAGAAATTCTGAAAATTAAAAAAAAAAACATTAATTATTGGTAAAAATAATTATTTAATTAGCTGTTTAAATTAGAAATATTGGTAAAAATAATTATTTAATTAGCTATTTAACTTAAAATGAGAAAAAAATGATATTAATTATCTAATTTCAGAGGAAAACACAATGGGTATTATCAAAAAAATTTAATTAAAAGTTAAATGTTAAAATGTTTAACATTTTATAAAAAGCTTCCTTAACATATTATAAAAGTTATGTTACCAAACACTACAATTAAAAAATATAAAGTTTTTACTTGGTCTTTAATTCAAAAACTGTTGCCGAACAGAAACTTTGTATACCAGCGATAGATTATGCATGTTGAGGCTTTTCGTTTTTTTTTTTTTTTTTTTTACAATTAAAAAATATAAAGTTTTTACTTGGTCTTTTAATTCAAAAAAAACTGTGCGAACAGAAATGTATAGCCAGCGAAGATTAATGCATTTGAGGCTTTTTTTTTTTTTTTTTTTTTACTTTAATTTCCTAATTTAAGGTGAATGTAAATAGGGAGCTTTGTAGCTAAAAAACTAAGTTTTTCTTAAATTTAAAATAATAAAACTAATTTATTTTGATGATAAAAAATATCAAATAACAACAGTTCCAAATAACTTTATGATTGTAATAACAGTTGTTGGATAATTATCCTAAAAAAAAAAAAATTGTCTGATTTGCTTGTATTATTAATTAAACTGAATTTGCTTGTATTTGATACATTTTCTTATTAAATTTTATTTAGAATTTCTTATAAATTTGTTTAAAATCACATTATGTTTGGTAAATAATTTATCAAATCCAGATTATTTTAGTCATAATAAGATTGGAGCACATGAGACAAGCGAGAAGAAATCAGTTTCAATAAGGAAAAGTCATCTTGTTTTAACTTTTCAAAGTTAACTTCGGAATAAAATGGTAAAAAATACATTTTGCAATTTTAAAATTATGTGGCGGTTCAAATAAAATACTCACTTACTCCCAAAATGTAATTAAGAACATTTTCTTGCATTATTACTTTATTAATTGAAAACTACTAAATCACTAAAATACAAAGCCAGCTAGAAATGCAACATTACTTACCCAAAGAAATATGTAATTTATAATGCTCAGTTGCCTAGGAATGACGTTGAGGAAGTGGCAATAGGCCTAGTTAATTGATTCACGCAATAGAAAATCAAACCGGACATATCGGTTCGGTTCAAATCAGTTCAATTAAACTGATCCGGAAGAAAAGGGGATTTGTTTTCTCTTTTACTCCTTTGCCAAAAATTACCAATTACTATTTTAATTATGGAAATCGAAAATAAACCGCTTGTGTTTGTTACTGAGCTATATTTATAACAACGTTATCAAACTCGAATCAGATATTCATCTATCTAAAAGAACCGGATTGTCGATACATAATACCATTTTAATAAAAATATTTAAAAAATTACATGTTATTTTTTAATTGGTTTAGTCTATATTTGGTGGCGAAATATAAGAATCTAACTAGATCATCTACAAGGTATTTTCCTTTATTTTATATTATAAGAATTTTTTTTTTAATTAATAAATTGACTTGAATGTTGACTAGAAATACCTCATCAGAATAGTAATGTTAAGATTGGCGGCGAAATGAATGAATAATAAAAAATAATACAAAATTACATGACTATATATACTAAATACTTAGATCAGTGAAAATTAAACTATATAATATATTCAATAATCTTTGTGATTAGAAAAGGAAATTGATCATTTTATAAATTTTTATGTAACATAAAACAAATTTGAAAAAAAAAAGAAAAAAAAAGAACAAGGTACAGGATTTATGCAAATCCAGAAAAGGACAAAAAGAATATATTAATTGAAAATTAGCATGATTTCTCCTTTGTAATTCCGTCCATGGAAATTGACTTCAAGTGGCAATAGGTTCAATGAACAATCCTTTCACATATTCTTTCAGTTGTGAAGAGTCCGTGTATCCATCTCCATACTTGTAACTCACATCTGTTAGGCGGACAAGATTAACGATTCGCATTAAAAGATTCACTGGCACAACTTCTGTGGACCGCACGATGAGTTGCTCATTTAATTTCTTCCATTCATTTGTAGCCATTTTCTGGATCTCTTCAACTGCCTCCTCTTTTGAAACACCATATTGCTTCATGTAGCAATCGATGCAAGACGCTACATGTCCTCTATCTTGCTGCTCAGTCTGTTATTTACAGAAGCATTTGTAAGCATTTGATCTGTACATGCTAAATTATTAAAAACAAGAAAGCTGTCAAGATTTGTACCTCATGAGACATTACATCATTCACCAGACGGATA